AGTACTCGCGGACCGTCCATGGTGCGAGCTGCTGAACGAGGTCGAGGGTTGTGCAGTGTCTCCGTGCGGGTTCTCGAAAACGGGGATTCCAAAGCCTGGCGACAATGCATCCTGCCCAGTTAGCACTTCGCCGAACAGCTGCCTCCCGCTTGGTGCTGACGCCCGATTCGGCGAGGTCACTTTCTTGGGCGTTGACGTTGACGAGACGTGCTGGTCGATGCTGCTCCTGCTGCCGTTTGTCCTTCGCGCACTTCGGGTAGCCGCTGGGGCGGGCTGTGGGCGGTCTCGCGGCTTCAGGTTGTTGAACTTGTGCGGTCCGTACGAGGCTTCTTTGCTCGGGCGTGCAGCCGATGCAGTCGACGAAATGGACGCATTCGTACGTCTGGTGGCCGAGTCGTGTGCCCCAGCCCGGCTCGGTGTCCTAGATCTCGAGCGCACTGCAGGCGAAGAGGCCGTCGAGCTGCCTCCGGGCGACTGCTCGAATCGCTCTGCCAGGGCCCGGACCTTGTTGGAGACCTGGGGGGAGGAGCGAGTTGCTGCGGGCGGCGATGCAGGACCAGAAGCAGACCTCGGGGTCGCTTTGGGTGTTGTGCGCGCACCGTTCGTCATGGGCTGCCGCGGCCGCGCTGCGGGCATGTCGATGCCGCGTTGCGGTGAGGGAGGTGCTGTGTGCTCGGTCGTAGTATAGGCGGAGTAGTAGTGCTCGGGCGAGGTTCCCAGCTCTTGGTCGGCATGGTCGAGCTCAGTCGACTGCAGCCAGTGTGAAACAGAGAGGCCGGGGTCGAATGCATATTCATGCGCTTGATCAGAATCCATATCCCATAGTCGGCGAGCGCAAGGGCGCAAAAGCAAGGCAGCGCCAACGTCGTAGGAAGAGGTGGTCCAATCTCGACCAACAAGGGTTGCCAACTCACACTCGGCTGCTCTCGATTACAAGGCGTCTGGGCCAATGACGGTGTCGAGGCCAGTGGTGCCCCGAGTCGACGAGTTGATATGTTTCAGCCTGAAAAGCAAGCGGACTGGTTCCCGATACGGCGCGCTTGTGAGAGGTTCTGAACTGTCTGTGTCAGATCAACAACTGGAGCCCACACGGTCCATCTAAACTCCGTCGTTAACATGCAGCTAGGAAGCGGGATACCGGCGCCGCTCTTGATGGGGCGGCACGCGGCGACGGTCTGGCCTTTGCAGCCAGCAGACACATGTCGGTATGCTCAGTGTATGCAATGTATGCCGCCTTGGTACTTTGGGCCAAGGTTCGATGATCCGCATGCTCTCTCGCGGCCTGCTTATCCATCCGTGCTTCTTGAAGGGTATGGGATGATAGCATCCCGCTTCCCCAGCCCGTAGCCTCTACCAGCACTAGCGGGTCGTGCTAAACTTCCTTCCAAGGATAGCCGTGTTTTACGTATCCAGGGGTAGGTAGATCTGTAGATGCAGCTGACCTAAGATCGTTCCATGTGCATCTTTGTTCCATTGCCATCCTTCAATGGTATTCAGAGTCAGGTATAATGACCATGATGATGGGGTTTCCACGTGGCACAAAAGAAGCTAGTCCCAAACAGAAGAGCGTGGATCCATCCACACCCGACTCCCGAAGGGTGCGTTATAACAATAAGACAGAAGCCTCAACTTAGAGACGCGATGGTTAAAAGACTCATGCGATTGACGTCGTATTCTTACGTATGCGTAGCCAGCTCAACGAGAAGTGGTGGTGGGGTTCGAGATGCTCGCGGCGCCAAGAGTACAAGATAGCTATGAGTACATCAAAAAGAACATAAATGCTCCGATAAGATACGTGATCCACTTGTTTTAGGTGGCAGGCTTGTTGCAGATAGTTGCTAATTCAAGTTTCGCATCTTTCGAATATTACTTTGTAGAGTGTCAGCGTAATAAACATGTATCCATCGATGGAAGAAAAACTGTCTCTGGTTCCACTAGCCAGAGTACCCTCTTCAAGGAAACAATCGAACAATTACTAACAACGTTCTTCTTTAGCCTCCTAGAAAGGAGTAACACAAGTGTTCTATGCGACATTCATGATTTGGGCGTCCTTATTAATAAGAGTGTTTCTAGGAGTTCTGCTATGTGCTCTTGTGCACAGCATTGTGGTAGAAGAGCTTGCGTAAGGTGTTCAGTTGCTTCCTTTTAACATGCGATAAGCGTGCATGTATCTCTGAACAGGATATTGCGGCTCCAACATAACTGAGCTGCTTGTAATTTAACCATGCCGTGTAGACAGTCATTAACAGCTAGGTTACTGAGAGGGCGCAATGTCAGCACAATACCGTGTACTGTGACATTCTAGGTACGCAACCTAGACATGAACACCGGAAGCGCCCTCGACTTTTGGTCTCAACGGATGTCGTCAAGCCAGCGTCGCAGCACACGAAAAAAACATCACGTAAACATGTAATGTACGACCAATCATTGCGCTCTCTCCCACTGCAAAAGCAGGGAGAAACCGCACCCAAGATCAGCCAAAGTATTCCTCTCCACTTCACAGACGGTTTTCGTTCTCATGGAAACCTCACACCGTCCGTAGACGACGGGTCTCTCCAAAGAAAATGCTTTTCGTGAGTGTGCAAATTTTTTGCGTTGTTCAATGAAGAGGAAAGCCAGGGCCGGCGGCGGAAGAGATTTTGTTCAGAAGACCGGCGGAACCTTTCGCCGTGGGCGCTTTGACGCTGTGCGCAGCCCCGCCACAAGTGGGCTGTTCCGAATCTGGGTTTGAGTCACTTTGTGTGGGATTTGAAGTCGAAAGTTGCCAGCCGCCAGTCTCCACAAAGGCAACACTACGATAGACGAATCCAATCTCTCGACAACCACCCACACTTACAATCCAACCATCTCCCGAATAGCCAACCCTCGGAACAAATTGCCCACCATGGAGTCCGAGTCCGACCACGACCACCGCGATGACGAGAGCGTGTCTGAGCAGGAGGACATCGAGGACACGAAGCCAAAGTCCGCGTTGAAGAAGGGCCGGGAGCCAGTGGCGCCCGTGCAACGCCCAGAGCTTCCGTACGTGTTGAACACATGAGGCTCTACGCCAGATAGCTAACGCGCACAAGCGAACAACCAGACCCAAGCACACTTGACCTCACTACGCTCAACCCGCTGTCGCCTGAGATCATCTCCCGCCAAGCTACCATCAACATCGGAACCATTGGTCACGTCGCTCACGGAAAAAGCACTGTGGTGAAAGCCATCTCCGGTGTGCAGACCGTCCGTTTCAAGAACGAACTAGAGAGGAATATTACCATCAAGCTCGGTTATGCCAACGCGAAGATCTACCAATGCGACAACCCAGAGTGCCCGCGCCCAACATGCTACCGGTCATACAAGAGCGACAAGGAGGTCGACCCAGCTTGCGAACGTGAAGGATGTGAGGGCAAATACAGACTGAAGCGCCACGTCTCTTTCGTCGACTGCCCTGGCCACGACATTCTCATGAGCACTATGTTGTCAGGTGCTGCCGTCATGGACGCTGCACTGCTTCTGATCGCTGGAAACGAATCTTGCCCGCAACCGCAAACCAGTGAACATCTTGCTGCCATCGAGATCATGAAGCTGAACCACATCATCATCCTCCAAAACAAGGTCGATCTGATGCGGGAAGACAGCGCTGCGTCGCATTACGAGTCTATCCTGAAGTTCATCCGGGGAACCGTTGCCGATGGCTCACCCATCATTCCCATCTCGGCCCAGCTCAAGTTCAACATTGATGCTATCAACGAGCACCTCATTAGCAAGATCCCCGTTCCAGTACGAGACTTTACTGCAAAGCCACACATGATTGTCATTCGATCCTTCGACGTCAACAAACCTGGTGCTGAAATCGATGAGCTCAAGGGTGGTGTTGCTGGTGGCAGTATCCTGACTGGTGTACTAAAGCTGGGAGACGAGATTGAGATCAGGCCCGGTATCGTCTCAAAGGACAGCGCCGGAAAGATTCAGTGCAAGCCCATTTTCTCAAGAGTAGTGTCTCTATTCGCTGAGCACAACGACTTGAAGTTCGCTGTTCCAGGAGGACTGATTGGTAAGTAATCTTTGTTGCAGCATCATCAAGTCCTTAATTAACACGTTCTAGGTGTCGGTACACGCGTTGACCCTACTCTGTGTCGTGCGGATCGTCTCGTCGGTTTCGTTCTTGGTCTCCGTGGACATCTTCCTAACATCTACACTGAGCTCGAAGTCAACTACTTCCTTCTCCGAAGATTGCTCGGTGTCAAGACTGCAGACGGCAAGCAGGCCAAGGTAGCCAAGCTTGCAAAGAATGAAGTTTTGGTAGGTCTCGATCTAGTCTGTGTTCAGAATATGGCTAACAATCGCAAAGATGGTCAACATCGGATCAACTGCTACCGGTGCCAAGGTTGTGGCTGTCAAGGCTGACGCTGCTCGTCTGTCTCTCACCTCGCCTGCATGCACAGAGATCGGTGAGAAGGTCGCGCTGTCTCGACGTATCGAGAAGCACTGGCGTCTTATCGGTTGGGCCAACATTGTAGCGTAAGTTTCAAGGCACATCTAGTTGCGTCCACAAGCTTACAAGTCTTTTAGCGGTAACATCCTCCAACCTATTGTCGACTGAGCGGGGATAGAGAGTAGTGGGGTAGCTCACAAGGAGTGGAACGACAAACTTTATGACGGGACGACGTAGACGTGGGGCGTACGATGGCAAAACATGTGCATTTGGTTCCTCAGCATTTCCTGCCGGAGTCGGTTGTGCTTGGAGAAAGGCATCAAAAGTGGGTTTTCTCGCAGCTGTGTTTTGAACAGCATCTAGAAGCCACAACAGCAGAGGTCTAGCGTCACTCGAGAGCGAGCGTCTTGTGTATCAGCACGTTCTCCAGCTCAGGGTAGCCGCATATAATGAAACATGATCGATCCACTAGAAGTGTTGAGAGTGCGGATGACAGCGGATCCACAGGCGGAAAGTTGGCCGATTTTCACATGAAAGCCATTCTCAGTGACACATGCGGGAGCATGGCCTAACAACGTCAGATCAGCGTGCTAGCCTACATGTGCCTCATAGTCCCCTCACTGCACGTTCGTACGACTTCTCCGCTCACAGTATTTAATTTGATTGCCTATACGAGGTATGTTTGCGAGGCTCCAGTAATTATGCCTGTATAAGGCCGAGCACACGTTCACGTGCACTGACTCGGGGTTAGAGTTCAACTTACGTTCCATTCCAAACAACGCAACAATTATACGAATACGCGGCTCTGTTTGTGCTGCGAACCATAGCTCGTATCTTTTTTTTGCTTCTTGACGCTCGCTGTTCATATTGCCTTTATCCTTTATTGTAGTTGCAAGCCTCGATTGCGTCTGCACACATCACAACAAAGTTTGCGGAACCCTGCCCGCGTCGGAACTGGAGCGCGACGGCTATGGAAGAAGACCCTTCGAAGGCGAACGCGGCACCACCTCCGCTGCATATCTACCGCCCCATCCCGCGTCGCAACTTCGAATCCAACTACGACACGGCCGATTCGCCCACACACGCCTTCTCGCAATCCACGCCTCCAAGCGCGACTGAGAATCGGAGATCATCCGACTTCCTCGCTCAGCTGAACGCTCGCTTGCTGGGAACATTCAACTCTCGCGATGACGACTCGGACGACCAGGAGAGAGACAGGGGTCCTCCGCAGCGGAACAAGAGTTACTTGAACATGACGAGTAGCACTCTGTCCGGAATATACGATGAGACGGGTGTCAACACAGCTGGCGAATTGAGCACGGCGGAAACGCCATGGGGAACTGGTGCCGAGACACCCGCACACACAGCCATGGGCCTCCAATCCTGGGAAACCGGTATGGGAAGCCCTGATGGCGGAATGGCCTTGAAGAACCAGGCCAGGAAAGGGTCAAATATGGGCAAAGCTGAAGGACGACAAAGGAGTCGCTCAATCAAACAGCCGCGCCGCGGTGTATGGAAATACTCTGTGATTGCAGGAAAGCTTGTAGCGTTGTACGTCTTCGGTGTCATCTACGGAGTCATTGTCTCGCATCTTCACGAGACGAGGCAACTGGCAGCTGTACACGTTGAAGGTGTCGATCGCAAGAGTCAGGCATACCTTGTCTCCTGGGGGTTATTCGGAGTTGCTCTAGGAAGTTTGCTACCATACGTTGATCTCTTGTGGGATGCGCAGCGGAAAGAGAGCCAGATGGAAGACAAGGAGGCAGAGACACATGATTCACCCATTAGTGAGCAGATCAACGATGTGGTGAGGAGTGTGGCAGCCTTTGTAGGGATTGCATTTGCCATTGTAAGTCTCCACCGACCGACTCCTTCTATGCTTTGTGATACATGGACATGGACTAACGCTACTCTTCTCAGCGTCGTCTCCCCTGGCAATCAACCCTCCAACTGACCTTGACTCTGGCCCTCGTGAACCCCGCCCTATGGTATATACTGGATCGCTCGAAACCCGGCCTTTCCGTCTCACTCACCGTCACGTCGATTCTCACCTCTTTCATATTCCTGTCCAATCCAGATGTTCTTCCCTCGCCGTCTCTACCATCCACCACAAACGCCACACAAGTCCCATCCATTGGCAGCCATACGCACACAAAAGGAAGACCAGCTCCAGTTGTTACACCAGAACTGTTTGCTGGTATGGTCAGCTACGAGAACCTAGCTGTCGTTACGTGGGTTGGCAGTGTCCTGTTTTGTAGTTGTGTTTGCTTTGGGAGTATAGGCAGGAGATTGGCTGTGCTGGAAGAGAGTGGGTGGAAGAGGTGATGTTCCTTGGTTGAAAACTATAGATAATTGAGGGATTATATTGGATATTGTTGCACAACTATGGTGCTGCTTTGTCGGATAGGTTTGCGGACGGTTTGGGGCGTCCGGTCAAAATTGAAGCTATTGATCCTATGTTGGACATCTCTGGATTCCGGTTTCATTCCTCATTGGTATATGCTGACCTTTGGTATGACTCCAACCACGGAAAGAATTGAATGTCAACCCTCTCTCTAGACTACTATGCTAACTCGAACTGCGTAGTCATGTAAGCGAATCGTCTATCCAGAAGTCTGTATGAGTACAGAAACCTCGAACATGTAAGGATAATGTATCGTTATGGACTGCAGTGTAGTAGGAGAAATCTTGTGCGACCAACGCTCTCTTTATTGTAAGTGATCACATTTCTTTCGGTACTAGCACTGCAGGAAAGATACAACCGCAAAAGAAGTACACCAAAACTGCATTTTAATTATATCAGCCAAGAAAACTGGAAGCAAAAACAATCGTCTTTTACCACGTAACCCGTGAGATTTACACGGAGGCAAAAAAGATGTGTCGCAAATTGGCGGTACTGGGAACTATAGACATGTTAGTAACAATGTCTCAGTAAACCGACTCAATGTAGGGGAACGTACTCGAACCCAGGCTGGCGCGGATCTGGATCAGGACAAGCTAAGTTGTCCGCCAGCCACAACGCGACGTCATACCACTAGACCATACCACGATAGGGCTGTTAGCTGGTGTGTAGTCAATATGGAGGTATTGATGCTTACCCTTAGTGATTTGTTTTGATGGAAAATTTTGAAACCATTACATTCATATAGTTACCATAAACCAGGGAGATCTCATTAGCGCTTAATTTTTTGGTAAGTCATGTCCGGCAACGTAGAGAAATTTGATCAGTGAACTCGGTTGTGGGCAGCGGTACATAGTGGGGACTATGAGTCAAGTTAAAGGCATCGTGGGGAAAGCATGCAGAGCCGAGTGGAGAACATGAGCAAATGGGCACGGTTGGCACCTTCGAAAAGCGACTACAAAGACTCTTACTCGAGACTTCCATCCAGTACAGAATAAAATCTCCCTTGCACTTGGACTGTTCCTTGAGCACACTGCATGTACAGGTCGGAGAGACGCGTAGGATTCTTCTATGCTTTCTCGGATACATCATCTCTTCATACATGTCCTTTGTCTCATAATCATCAATGCTTTGCAAGCCACTATAGGCTGTATAACATCAACGGCTGACGCCACTTATGACTCCAACTTAGAGAGAATACGTTCCTACTCTATTCCCTGGCTCGGAGCCCCACGTCTCTCCCTTGTAGATTTCGAATACCATCTTCCGTGCTTTCTTTGGTTCAGTCTCGCATTCAATGCTAAGTGATACACGGGAAACATCTTTCTACAGGAAGCTTACTGCGCCTTAGAAAGCTTGGCCCTGCTAGCAGCAAGAGCAGCGGACAGACTGAACTGGGTGTTGATACCGTCAATGCGGTGGACAGCGTTAAGGTTCTTGACGCAAGTAATCTGGAAGCAAGTGGCAGATCCCTGGCGGGAGGCAATCGTAGAGTAGGCGAGGAAATATTCCCAGATCTGGCGGGTGGTTAGCACCTAGCGATAAAAGGACAAGAAAGTTGTTCTTACCTTGAACCATCGGATTCCGTACTTGGCAACAACCTTCTCCTTGTTGGCGAGCCAGTTGCGGTACCACCTCCAGAGAGTGGCAGAGTAGTGTACACCGATGGTGTCAACCATCTTGACCTCAAAACCAGCACCCTCGAGGGTGTCGATGACGAAACCTAGAGGAGTAGAAGCATCGGCGCCAGGGAAGACGTATTTGTTCATGAAAAGACCCCAGGTGAAGTCCTCGAATTGCCAAGCCTTACGGAGACCAGCAATCTGAAGGAAGAAGACACCGTCATCATCGAGCATATCATAGACCTGACGGAAGAAGCCGCTCAAGTGGCGGACACCAACGTGCTCAGCCATCTCGAGACAGGTGATCTTGTTGTAGCCACCAGGAGGGAGAGGGATGTCGCGGTAGTCCATGCAGAGAATCTTGGATTGGTCTTCTTCGATACCAGCCTTCCTGAGGCCATTGTTGCCCCAAGCAGTCTGGTTGCGACCGAGAGTAACACCAGTAGCGTGGGCACCGTAGTTGACCGAGGCAAACTTGGTAAGAGTACCCCATCCGCAACCAATATCGAGCATCTTCTCGCCCTTCTTCAGTCCGATCTTTTCACAGACGACTGACATCTTGTTGTCCTGTAGCTGTTCGAGACTCTCCTCAGTGTTGATGTCGGAGATGATACCGGAGGTGTAGATCATGCGGGGACCGAGGAACCAGCCGTAGAAGTCGTCACCGCGGTCGTAGTGGTCGCGGACCTGTTCCTCGTCTGATGTCGGGTCAGCATGTATATAGTTTGCGAATGATGGGAGCACCAACCCTGAGACTTGGAGTGGACAATCATTTCTGGGATCATGCCAAAGAGGAAGTGCTTGATCAATCCGAGAGTGAAGCGGGGCTTGGACCAGTCGTGGCGCCATTCGAGAATCTCGAGCATGTCGCCATTGAGCTCTACCTCGCCGTCGAAGTACTTCTCCTGGAACGTCTCGATGGGGATCTGCTTCTTGCCATAGTATGCGTCGCGGTCCTCGGGCTTGGTGAACTTGAGGTAGTGCTCAATGGGCTTGCCGGGAAGTTTGGCCTTCTCGTTCTTGCGGGGTGCAAATTCAGAGGTGAGCCACCAGAAGGGTCCTAGGATAGGGAGGAACAGAACGAGGGCTAGGAAAACCCATGTCTTGAAGCCCATACCCCAGCTCCAGGTGATGTAGGCGGGGATGCCCACCAGCAGCGAGATGAGGGCATAGTTGTTGAACGAGTCACGACCGGAACCTTCAGCGGGCAGGGGAGCATTCGCAATGGTCGGGTACTGTCAGACATGGAACGTCAGCGTGCTAGCTCTTTGTGTTGATGCTCAATGGCTGGCGGGGTCGCTCGTTAAACTGTCCAGATGCAACAACTTACCGAAGTTGTCTTGACGCCGCAGTCGAAGGCGGGCGTCGTGGGCGAGGGCGCCGGTGGCGTCTCAACCCACTCAAAGTTCTCCTCAGAGGTATTGCTGCTCATCTTGCGCACTGCTGAGCAATTTTGCAAGATGGGAAGCAAACGTGTTGGGATCTGGGAGGCTTTAACGGCGGTGAATCTAAGCGAACACCCACCGGGGTTGCGCTTGCCCCTGCAGATGGTCGACTAGCTCCAAACATTTAACAGCACACCGACGGCGACTCCCATGGATGTGCGCGATATACGTTGCAGTATTGCTAGCACAACTCTGCTGGTGATAAGGATTATGGGGCGTGAACAAACTTGCAATATCTACAACTCAGTACGCTTGGACATGGAATACAGTCTCCAGCCTCTTTATACAGCATGTGCACTCGCTCTTTCTTCGGTCGTATACGCGTATGATCCATACACGCTTCTTCCATCAACAATCTGTCTTTCAATCCCGTACAGGTAGGGACAATTTTCAGATTCTGCCAAGCCATATTCACAAACATAGGCGGGGCACGCTCAAGACACGTTTACTAGTAGCTTCCCCCTGACAAAGTCCACCTGCTCCTTGGCAACACCGGCTTTCTCCAGGTACCCCTCAACGCTGCCGTACTTTTCCAGTAGATACGAGTGTACACTGCTCACCAAGTCTGGAGGACATATCGCAAATTGTTCTGTCAGACCAATAGATGCCATCTCTTTCAGCCTTCCTTCTTTCTCTGGCTCAAGTTCTGGCTCGGACAGTCGGTAGTCGTCGTCGATCGTCTTTTGGTCGACACCGAGAAGCAAGAGGACCAGCATAACTATGAGCCCGGTCCGGTCCTTGCCCTGTGTACAGTGGACTAGAACTGGCCAATTCTGCTCTTCTCCCAATATATCGAAGACCTGCCTGACTTCTCGTGTGCATACGTCTAGGGATTGCTCGGCCAGACCGACGAGCCCCATGTCTTCCATATGAGGAGCTAAAATCTTGATAGCATCCTTGCGGTAGCCGACAATCATAAGTCCCGCCAACCTGAAAAACTCGAGCCATGTAAGCTTCGAGAGCAACATGCGCGAGAAGGCCGAGCCATTAAAGTTGATTTCGTGATAGGTTATGCCGGGTATCTTGAGGGGCTCTGCTACATCGTCGTTGCTCTGGGGAATTGCCGCTGATGCTTTGATCCTTGCATCATGCTTTTGCGCCTGTTCGATGTGCTCCGTTCTGTGCTGGTCAGTACGATATCGGCGCCGGCCACTTGTATCTGCGTACTTTGTTCGTAGATCAATAATGCTCTTCACGCCGAACTCTTTCAAGAGTCTCTGCCTGTCTTGGAAAGAAGCCTCATCTTCTATAGTCAGCCTCGCGCCAAGATACGTGTGTAAGATACGCACCAGGTCGGGCGCTTCGGAACAGTAAGCCGTTCCTTAGATGGCTGCAGCATGGTCAGCCAAAGATCCACTTCGCCGTGCTTTAGTGAAATACCGAGTTCCTGTCGTCTGATTGACAAATTCACTGACATCGCGAAAGTTCAATATGCTTTTCAGCGGCGTTTGTAGTTCAGTCATGTTTACTACGCTCAACCTTGCGAGGCTAAAATTGGTGGTATAGTTATTTGCTGGATCAAGGCGGAATGTCGAGATCTGGTGACGTAGTTAAGTTGGCACTAACCGCATCTAATCCAACCTGCAACTTTGCTTCTGAAGCCAAACACCCAGCAGTGGAGGTGCTCGGGCATCACGACAATAATCAGGACAGAAATGCGCCATAATCGTTTGTAGCTCTAAGATCTTAAACTACGCTGCTATGATCACCGCGTTCCAACTGGATGCAATCCATAAAAACTTATTGATCTCGCAGACGTACAGTACAGACATTGGAACTTGGCTTTCGTGTTCCACAATGCCACGGCGCAACGTTGTATCCCAAATGATGTGCTTCATTGTTTCATTCGCACGACGCAGGTTCGTGATCTCCAGATGTGCGCAAGGGTGCGGGCAGACAGGATGGGCCCTCCTGGACGCACTTGATACGTGATTTGACCACTTCGGTCAGTCCGTCGCATTGCTTCCGTCTGGAAAGGCAAGGTCATGGTCTGGCGGAGGCTAGAACCAGACCCAAGAGGGTAAGGCTGAGATTTTCCACTCGGAACGCACGCTCGTTCATGGCGATCACAGTTATATGACATCATTGCTACCTTCTCGCCATTTAGCCATGAAGGGCGCCACAGTCTGTATCCCTCGCTGGCGGTGGCCTTCCCTTCTTAACTCTTGTGATCACCCTCAAAGTAGCGCTTGGTTCGATTGCATCTTGCACCGACACGCTATTTCACAATGGCGACGACAGCCCTTGCCGCGAGTGCGCCCCCCACTGCTGACAGCAGACCCTTGAAGGGGACGGAAGAGGCGGCTCCACCACGATCCTCTGCCGAGACGAACATGCGTTGCCCTGACCCATCCGCGCATTCGCATCAGTCAAAGAACAGCGCATTGCAAAATCAGGCGTCTGCAGCAGCGCTATATTCCCATAACCACGGTGGCCCGGCCAAAGCAAACGTAGCGAAACCCATCAACCCGCTAGGAGCCGACGGCAAGCTCTCATCAGCGAGTGAGTGCGAAGTTGTGATGATCTAATTACATCATATGCTAACAAACATTCGTAGGCGCTGCTACAAGTCTCAAATACGCAAAGGCCCAAGACCTTCCCAGCTATCCCGTCGTTGGAATCGACACTCAATCTTCTGCCGGAGCTGCCGCGCTGCTCGCGAACCAGAACAAGAAGAGCCCGGAGTGGTGGAAGCCCGAAGCATCCCCCGCCGCAGGCAAGGCTGCGTTGCTCGCAAACGGTTATAAGATGGCTCCCATGTGGCACCCGGAAGCCAGTGCTGAAGGTCATTCTGCTGCTACCATCGCTATGAGCAAGAAGGGGCTCGGCCCAGAGGTCGACTATGGATACACCGATCAGGGCAGGAAGAACGCCTTCACTGCGGCTACCGATGCGCACTCCGCATCGAGGCGTAAGCGCGCTCAGTCAAACCCACCAACTGCGCCCCTGTATCCAGACTCGAAGAATTCGGCCAGGAATGCATTGGGCGCAGCAACACTCGCTCATAGTGCGTCTACTCGAGCCAAACCACAAGCTAGTCCTGCTGATTCCAACCACCGCGGACATGGTGCTATGGAAGCTGCACGCATTCAGCATGCAAAGAGCATATCGCGCGACATGTACACCAGCACTCCGCCTGTTGCGTTAGAGACAGAGGAGAAGAGGCACAACGACGCTCTCCGAGCTTCTGCCATATCTATGGCTAAGAAGATCTACGATGTGCAACAGCAACACATCGATGGCGCAACGGGCCAGTCTGTCGCCCGCACTGGAGCGACTGCAGCACACAGTCAACAGCCAGCGACTGGTGAGGCTGATATCAAGCAGCAAGCTATGCGCTACATCGGGATCCAAGAAGCTGCACAAAAGCTTGCTCAAGAAAGGCTGGCAAAGATAGGATATGACGAGAACGCCGCCTACCGAAGCTACTACGGCTACGACCAGCCAACCAGGTCGAAACTCTCCATGCGTCGTGGGCGTAATCGCGCCCACAGTGCTTCTGAGACAGCCCCTGCGGACACTTCGGACTCTGACGAAGACGACTTTCGTTCGAGGCGAATTCGTTCGCAGATGGATCAGCTCAATAAGCAACTGGCTGATGTGGACGCAAAGAAACGCGAAAATGATCGCAAATCCTTGCTTGCTGCTGCGCAGCGCAAGGTTCAAGCACAGATGCAGGGCATGGACAAGAAAATCTATGACGAAACGGGCAAGATGTCGTCTGCCATGGTGGACGATTGGGATGAAAAGGCGAGGCAGCGTGCCTTAGCGAACTCTGAGGCTCGCATGGAAAACCACGGTAGGGTGCATATCGGTAATGGCAAATGGATGGATCAAGGCGAAATCGACGCTATCGCCCAGGCCAGAATTCAGCCTACTTTAGACGAAATCACCGAGAAGACCGAAAAGCGCCTCGCCGAGGACGAGAAGCGGCGTGCTGAGGAAGAAGAGCGCCGACTCGATCAGGAGCAGGACAAGCGCCGTATTCGTACCGAGAAAGAGCGGGCCGCTGAGATCAAGGCTGAGGAGAGGCAAGGAAGGGGTAAGTTGTTCTTGTTGAGTCGTTCATCCCATTACTGACGTACAAACAGAAGAAGAGAAGAGGGCTGCCAAAGCGAAAGCTGCTGAAGAGAAGCTGGCTGCGAAACAAGCAAAGGAAGCGGAGAAGACCAAAATTACCGAACAACGCAAGTCCAAGGAGATCCCGCTGGCTGAACCAGCAGTCGTAGATGCTGAAGGGCCGCGTGACAACGAGGATCTTTATCAAGAGCCCACACCTACAGAAGCTCAACGTACTGCTGAGCATGATTCAACCGACCCGACTTCGCCCACGTCGCAAGGATCTTCGAAAGGGTTCAAATCGCTCCTGAACAAGTTGAAGCGCCGCTCAAAGCATGCTCCTGGGACAGAAACTGAAGGTAATACGAAAGAAAAGGAACCTGGCTTCATTGGTGGCGCAACTCTTCGGAACTCCACCTCACAACCCCAATCTCAATCTCAGTCTTCGAAGAGCGCTATCCATCCAGCTCGTGAGTCGATAGACAGCCGCGTATCTGCTGATGTCGAACCACCAAAGGATTTAGGCGCGGTTGAGCCTACTTACGTTCCTCACGTCGGCCATGTTGACGAGGATCGCTACTCAGATGTCTCATCCTTGTCTAGCGATGGGGAGGAGTTCAGCATCGCACGTGGAAGACCAGCAGAACGTGTTGTAAGTGGTGCAACAGCGACATCCGCGGGAGAGAGCTTTGAGGAAGCCCGTGATCATTTCGACGAAGCTCTAGCACCACCCCCAGCGTTCGGCTCTGATGCAGAGAAAGCGAGGATAGGAAGTCCAAACCGAGAGTCAAAGTTTCAGGAAGTGGGACTGTAGCCCTCGCAACGGTACCTCAGGGGAGAGCGTTGCTCCTAACAGAATGATGTTATGATTAAGCTGAAGCATGTACTGATGAGCTATATTTGGAATTACGTTGTTACGTGTACTAGCCTACAGGGGTACGGGGAGCACAAGTACGGCCTTTGGGTATAATTTAATGTCTTATTCTGTAAAAAGGAAGAAAGTTCCCAATATCTCAACCTTCTCTACGTGTATTGTGCGAAAGCTTTTGGGGAGAACACAGACAACAGTTCAGCCTTGATGTTCTGATTCGATGCTTATGCCGGGGAAGTACGGATCTACCTCACCGAGCCTTGCTACTTACGACCTGCTATTGTACAGATGTGCAGGCTACCAAACTAAACACTTAACTTGAGGCCCTGGTAGTAAAGCCATCTTGATCTCTGTTTCAACGCGATGGACCTTGTACAGAGTCGGTGTAGAAGGTGAGATCAGTCCCTACCAAGAACCGCAACAAACGTGATTGGTCAAAGCTGCCCCGGGGTGCTTATGTCATGTAGGGCGATCCAGCGTATGTGGAAACAACACGAGCTCCTTTCTTGAACAGCATCACCTCCACGACCCCGACCCCGCCTTATACGACCGTCTCTCATTTCCTATCACGCGCTTCTGGAGTTGTGCACCTGGGTCTACTTCTTCCTTTTCTTCCGATACCCGATTCTTGCGCGCTTTCTCACCCCGGTGAGCTTGGAACTGGACTGTCGCAAACATGGCTCAGCGACAGGTGCCATTGCACGTCACGCAGCCGACGCTGGTATGCACCGCACTAGATCTTGGTATTGCATAGTCATCAAAGCTAATAACTGGCAGCTCACGAACCTCAACATTCTCGTACGTTGGTCCTAGGCCACGCAGCCCGCGAACAAGGCAACAAGAGTTAGCAAGCTAACACACAGCCCAGCCAGCATCGATATCATGGCAGAACTGCGTATGTTATCCTACTCAATTGTATGCACGAGATGCAAATATGCTGACAGAAGGCCTAGACACTCGAGTCCGACAAGTACGTTTGCGTGCGACAGGTCAACACCGAAGCCAACGCGCCCGCCGAGACCGTCATCATCGACCTCAAGAACACCAACAATGTCATCCGGAGACCAATTCGCGCCGACAGCGCTATTATGCACTTGACTGAGCCTATCATTGCTCTCAAGGCGCAAGGCCGGACATTGCAGCTATTCAACCTTGAGACCAAGGAACGCCTGCAGACCTACAGCCATCAGGAGGACATTCAGTTCTGGAGGTGGATCAGCCAGACTACCCTTGCGCTCGTCAGCACAAAGGCTGTATATCACTGGGATGTACTGGACTCGAAGAACGCTGTTGCGCCGCGCAAGATCTTTGATCGCCAAGAACAACTCGAGGTATGCAGTGGCCCATTTATAACGAATTGCATCTAATCCGCTGTGTAGAACAATCAGATCATCAACTACGTTACCAACGATGACGAGAGCTGGTCCTGCTTGGTTGGTATCACATCGAACCCCGCTGGTGGCATTCGTGGAAACATGCAGCTCTTCTCCAAGGCGAGGAACGTCAGCCAGCCCCTCGAGGGTCATGCTGCTACCTTCGGTACCCTCCGACTTGACGGTGCATCTACCGATACAAAGATCTTCGCCTTCGCTGTGAAGTCGTCGACTGGCGAAGCCAAGATCAACATCGTTGAAGTCGACCACAACGCCGCAAACCCAGCCTTCCCGAAGCGTCTCATTCCAATCCACTGGCCCGCCGAGGGAACTGGTGACTTCCCGCTCGGCATCCACATTGCGCAAAAGTACGGCATTCTAATCGTAATTACCAAGTTCGGTTTCATCCACCTCCACGACCTCGAGACAGGTACCGCACTGTTCCTGAACCGGATATCTGAAGAAACAGTCTTCACAACGGCGCGTGACGATGAAGGCACTGGTGTCGTTGTCATCAACAAGCGAGGACAAGTTCTGCATACAACTATCCGGGAGGACAGCCTGATTCCATACATTATGGAGAACCCAGCGTGTGCTGAGATTGCTTACAAGCTTGCTTCAAAGGGCGGACTTCCAGGCGCAGACCAGCTCTACTCGCAACGGTTCGAGACGCTCATGTCCCAGGGCAACTTTGCCGAAGCAGCAAAGGTCGCCGCGAACTCGCCCCGGGGCTTCCTCCGCACAATGAACACAATCAACAGGCTGCGCCAGGTTCCTAGCCAGCCTGGCCAGATCACTACTCTACTACAGTACTTCGGACAACTACTGGATAAGGGCGGACTGAACAGAGAAGAAACTCTGGAGCTAGCTCGTCCTGTTTTCGCTCAGGGCCGTAAGCACCTCATTGAGAAGTGGCAGAAGGAAGGCAAGCTCCACTGCTCAGAGGAGCTCGGTGATCTTGCGAAGCCCCACGATCTGAACCTTGCGCTGGCCATTTACAAGGAAGCGAACGTATCTCAAAAGGTCGTTGCAGCACTCGCTGAGCTTGGTCACTACGATCTGATCTTGCAATACTGCAACGGCGCCGGCTACACGCCTGATTACAACGTCTTGCTTCAGCATGGTCAGTCCTTGTATCAGTCTAGCTTTGACGTGAAGTCCACTAACATATCGCAGTGGTCCGCATATCCCCAGAAAAGGGCGCCGAGTTTGCTTCCCAGCTAGCGAAGAACGAAGGCGGCCCACTGATCAGCATCGACCGCGTTGTCGACATCTTCCAGTCCCAGGGCATGATCCAACAGGCGACCGCCTTCCTTCTGGACGTTCTCTCCAACGATCTACCAGAAGAGGGCCATATGCAAACCAAGCTGCTCGAGATGAACTTGCTCAATGCTCCCCAGGTTGCAGACGCTATTCTCGGCAATGAGATGTTCCACCATTACGATAAGGCGCGCATTGCCCAGCTCTGCGAGAACGCTGGCTTGCTCACTCGCGCTTTGGAACACAACGATGACCCGGCTGCCATTAGGCGTATCATTGTTCAAACCGATAAGCTTCCAGAGGAATGGCTGATCAACTACTTTGGTCAACTCACAGTAGAGCTCTCGCTTGAGTGCTTGGATGCTATGCTGACCACGAACATTCGACAAAACTTGCAGGCCGTCATTCGTATTGCCCAGAAGTACTCAGACCTGCTCGGCGCTACCAAGATCATTGATCTCCTTGAGAAGCATCGCACCGCAGAGGGTCTGTACTTCTTCCTAGGCTCCATTGTCAACGTCAGCGAAGACCCTGACGTTCACTTTAAGTACGTCGAGGCGGCGACGACCATGGGCCAACTTAATGAAGTCGAGCGTATCTGCCGAGAGAGTCCTGTTATTCCTGCCGAGAAGACCAAGAACTTTTTGAAGGAAGCCAACCTCACGGAACAACTGCCACTCATCATCATTTGCGATCGTTTCAACTTTGTACACGACCTGGTGCTCTACCTCTACAAGAAGCAGCAATTCAAGTCTATCGAAGTGTACGTCCAGAGAGTCAACCCTGCTAGGACACCTGCCGTCATCGGCGGTCTTCTTGATGTGGATTGCGACGAAAGCATCATCAAGGGTCTTCTAGCTTCAGTGACACCATCTTCGATTCCAATCGACGAGTTGGTTGCCGAGGTAGAATCGCGAAACCGATTGAAGCTTCTTCTGCCATTCTTGGAGCAGACATTGGCGAGTGGCAACCAGCAACAAGCTGTCTACAACGCCTTGGCTAAGATCTACATCGACTCCAACAACAACCCAGAGAAGTTCTTGAAGGAGAACGACCAATACGATACCCTCACTGTTGGAAAGTACTGCGAGAAGCGTGATCCTAACTTGGCGTTCATTGCCTACAGCAAGGGACAGAATGATCTCGAGCTCATCAACATCACCAACGAGAACGCCATGTTCAAGGCCCAAGCACGTTACCTCTTGGAGCGCGCCGATTCTGAGGTCTGGGACTACGTTCTGAGCCCGAACAACTTGCACCGCCGATCGCTCGTTGACCAAGTCACTTCGTATGCTGTTCCTTCGTCCACCGACCCAGACAAGGTCTCCGTCGCTGTCAAGGCCTTCATCACTGGTGACATGCCTGCTGAGCTCATCGACTTGCTCGAGAAGATTATATTGGAGCCTTCTACTTTCAGCGATAACCCGTCCCTCCAGAACTTGCTTATGCTCACCGCCTGCAAGTCTGATCGTGGCAGAGTCATGAACTACATCCAACAGCTCGACCAATATACCCCTGAGGATATTGCTCAACAGTGTATTGAGGTTGGCATGTATGACGAGGCCTTTGAAATCTTCAAGAAGCAAGAAAACCACGTTGAGGCTGCTAATGTCCTCATTGAACACATTGTCTCAATCGATCGGGCATATGAGTATGCCGATAGGGTTGACACGCCAGAAGTGTGGAGCAGAGTTGCCAAGGCACAGTTGGATGGCCTTCGTGTTACAGACTCGATTGAGTCTTACATCCGCGCCGGAGACGCATCCAACTACTTGGAGGTCATTGAGATTGCTACACATGCTGGTAAAGACGAGGACTTGATCAAGTTCTTGAGGATGGCTCGCAAGACCCTTCGTGAGGTACCCATTGATACCGCCTTGGCTTTCTGCTTCGCTCGTACCAACCAACTAGCCGAGCTCGAGGACTTCCTCCGTGCAACCAACGTTGCCGATGTCGAAGCCTCAGGTGACAAGGCTTATGAAGAGGGCTACCATGAGGCAGCAAAGATTTTCTTCACCAGCATCTCCAACTGGGCTAAGCTTGCAACCACCCTCGTACATCTGGAAGACTACCAAGCTGCCGTTGAATGTGCTAGGAAGGCAAACTCCATCAAAGTCTGGAAGCAGGTTAACGAGGCTTGCGTTGCAAAGAAGGAGTTCCGTCTTGCCCAGATCTGTGGTCTCAACCTGATCGTCCACGCCGAAGAGCTCACCGATCTTGTCAAGCAGTACGAGCGTAACGGTTACTTCGATGAATTGATTAGCTTGCTTGAAGCTGGCCTCGGTCTGGAGCGCGGTAAGTACAACCCCTCTAATGACTACAATGTGTATGAAATGCTAACTGTGCCGTTCCAGCGCATATGGGAATGTTCACTTCTCTAGGCGAGGCTCTTGCCAAATACCACCCCGAGCGTGTCATGGAACATCTCCGTCTCTTCTGGAGTAAGTCACATTCAAGCTCTCTTCATCGCATGTGACTAACAATCGTCCTAGGCCGAATTAATATTCCAAAGCTCATCCGTGCGACTGAGGAGGCTCACTTGTGGCCAGAGCTGATCTTTTTGTATGTCCACTACGATGAGTGGGACAACGCTGCTCTTGCCATGATGGAGCGTGCCGCAGATGCCTGGGAGCACCAAGCATTCAAGGACACCATCACCAAGGCTACCAACGTCGAGATCTACTACCGGGCTCTGGGCTTCTACCTTGAAGAGCAACCGACTCTTTTGACCGATCTCCTTCAGGCACTGACTCCCCGAATCGATGTCAACCGTGTTGTCCGCATGTTCGTCAAGTCTGACAATATTCCTTTGATCAAGCCTTTCCTTCTCAACGTCCAGTCGCAGAACAAGCGTGAGGTCAACAATGCCCTTAACGATCTTCTGATCGAAGAAGAGGACTACAAGACACTCCGAGACTCGGTCAACAACTACGACAACTACGATCCTGTCGATCTTGCCCAGCGCCTGGAGAAGCATGACCTGGTCTTCTTCCGTCAAATCGCTGCCGACATCTACCGCAAGAACAAGCGATGGGAGAAGTCCATCACTCTTTCCAAGCAAGACAAGCTTTTCAAGGACGCTATCGAGACCTCAGCTATGTCTGGCAAGTCGGACGTTGTTGAGGATCTGCTCCGCTACGTAAGTTGTACCCTGCTGTTTCTCAATGCATCACTAACCCGCAACTTAGTTCGTCGACATTGGCAGCCGCGAGTGCTATGTTGGTATGCTATACGCTTGCTACGACCTTCTTCGCCCTGACATCATCCTCGAGATGTCATGGCGTAACGGTCTCCACGACTTCACTATGGTATGTATCTCCTCTTACCCCTCTCTTCTTGCAGATCACTAACTATTTACCAGCCATACATGATCAACCTCATTTCTCAACAGACGGCCGCCATTGAGATGCTCAAGAAGGACAATGAGGAGCGCAAGACCCGCGAAGTCTCGCAACAGAAGAAGGAGGAAGACACTCCGATCTTGGGCTCGCGTCTCATGCTTACCCAGGGTCCGATGACGTCGGCTCCTTCACCAGGTCCATACGGACAGGCTAACGGCATCGCCCCGCAGCCAACTGGAAGCTTTCGCGCCTTCTAGACGCTGTCCGACTTGAAGATGAGATACCTGTTCTGCAAATAAGGGTAGTTAGGATACCTCTTCACATTATATATTGATGATTGGTGGGACATGCAAAAGCGAGCGGAGGGTTCATACATTTTTGGCTGTGTGTGACGATGTACTCTACAGGCGTTCAAGGTAGCCTCTCAGTTTGGATGCTTCAAACATGGAACATCTTCAGACTTCTGTACTCTAGTTAATCACTTTGTTTGTGCTGAGATGTTATATTCCTGCTTATAATGTTCATGCGATGTGATTGACATGTAGCCTGGAGGTTTTTGCAGTAGCCACGTCATTGGCATGTCACTGCATGATACTGCGAAAGCCTTCAGAATGTAACCTGATGTTGGTGGTAGTGAATGAACATTACCTAGGTACTTGCGTCCTGACCCTAAATCCGCATAAAGTCTTAAGCGGACGTAGACTTGCCGCACAGCTGCTCTGCCAGGTTCAAACATTGCAAGAATCTCGCATTATATTGGGAAACAGATTGTAACCTGTGGGTGTACAACGCTGTTTCTATTTGAGTACACTAATGTAAAACATGTTGAATGCCTTCGAGGTACATCGTGATGACAGAGCTGATAGCACGACATCGCATGCTACAATTATCAAGTTCACGAAGGCCAGTAATGCAATCATCGTTGTGGACTTGGATATAGTGGTAAGTATACTAGGTCTTGATATGTTCTCTGGAAGGTACACACCAAGTTTTCTTTTCGAGAACATCGAGGAAATTTACAGCGAATACCTCTCAGAACACACATCAGAATGTGGTACAGCACTCATTAGTACCATGTATACTCTAATTAAAGAGTCTCCTGAAACCTTGAATCAGATGCTTGCAGCACAGTTGTTACTATCGGCTCGAACATTCTACGAAGTCATATTGTGCGTCCATCCTATGAACCATGAGCGATTGGTAACCCTAACCCTGGGTGCAGGATACCTAGGTAAAGGCAAGCAGAGAGCCGACCCACCCCAAGCCTCCCGTGGTCCTCTCAACCAAGAGATCATTAGCGATAGTGACGAGGACATGGATTCCAACGGGCAAACCATGTCTTGTGTCTCAGTCGAAGCTCCGACTAACGATCTGACCGATCCTATCATTAGCGCTTCCAGTGACGCTGCTATTGGTGTGCCTTCGTCCATCGCTGGTACACAGAAAACTCGACGGGGTAGCTTGTCGTATGGCCTCCCTTTCCTGAACTTACGAATCCCAAAATCAGGACAAAGACCACCAGGAAGGTCAGGAGCTGCAAGAAGTTTACACCGGTGAAAGTAGCGCGCATGTCCAATACAGAATGTCCTTGGCAACTCACTTACAGAATGGTGCTTTGACAGGTGGCTCTCTTATTGCATCCGTTCTGGTCGAACTTCAAGGTGATGATGTTGACTAAAGTCCACTGCAAAAGTTGTCTTACATCTAAGACGGTACAGGCAAAGGCCCTTCTCACTGGGATCCCGCCAAACCAAGAGCTCGATTGGGAAGACAGTCACAAAGTGGACTTGCTCAACGCCTCTCACGCCAAGCAAGTGTCCTAGTTCCATTGTAAAGATTCGATTAATCTATGACGTGGTTTCTTGATAGATAGGCGAAGTTCTTCTCCCATGGATCCACAATCAGCGCTCGAGTCATACCTACTCTTCTACACATCAAAGGTACCCCAACAGCACACCAAGATATGCTACGCTTTCTTTTTAGATCCTACCGACGTTAAACACAAAAAATACCTTCAGTGCCATTCGATAGCTCTGTATGTGCTCACGGAATAATTAGTTCAATGATTCGGGTGTTGATGTGCCAAGTAGCGAGTGTTTGAAGCTCCGCCCGCAGTACGCATGCATGGCCTTTGCCAAGTTAGGCTACTACGAGTAATGTTTCCAAATGCAGCCACTGAGTGCCTCAAACGACCCATCGTAAGCTAACGTCACCGGTTTCAGGGTCTTTAAAAGCCAAGTCTGCTCTATAACTTAAATGTCATCAGTAATAGTGAGAGGCGGAACCGCATGAGAATGATGCGCAGTCGGTAATAGCTTAGACCCATGTTCCGAATACTCCTCGCAACCATGCAGGTACGCGACTACCAAGCGAGGAGAAGGCCGGAAAAGTATACTAGGAACGAGGCGAAATAGCGGTTCTGCCCTCTACGGTCGTGAGGAAGCTCGGTATAGAAAACTACACCGAAGCAAAGCGCTGGATAAGCACGACATTTTTCCGCGATGCCGAGCTATCCCCGGCATGTGGCAGACACTGCTATGGGAGCTCGGGATGGAATCAAGCTTGCGAATGGCTTGCTGGAGGGGGTCGATGTGGGTAGCGGTCAAGGTTTCATTGAGCGTCTATCATCACACCGGACAAAATGCATGTGGCTTGGCTAGCCGTCCCACGTGCCTTGTCGGCGTGGGATAGAGCAAAAAGGTTTTATACATGTCTGAGAAATCCGGTAGGCAGTGGGGCAGGGCCTATGACCGCGGTGACAATTTTAATCGTGTCGCACATGGGGTGGTTCCGTCGGCGAACCTTGTCAGTGCCCCTCCATTATCTCCCCGCGCCATGAAGCTCTGGCCAGGTCGTGGCATGCAGCTATCCATGGATAGCTTGGTTGCTTTTCAGGTGGCCGACGGGGTCTTTGCACCGTGTTTCCATCTGGCTTGGCTGTGTGGATCTGTTTTGGGATTAAACTCGCGCTCTGCAGCTTTGAGCGAGTGAGTCGTAGCAAGTAGCAGACCCTGGGTATCCGATTGTCGGTACCATAATAAATTGGCGCTGTATCTGCCTTCTTCTGCGGCTCCAGTCCTCCCCCTCTCCTCCTCTCCTTCTCTTCACTTTCCCTTACCCAACACACATAGCCGTCATTCGAGATGACGACACTTGCAGTTGACCAGAATGCCTCGTCGGCCATTGACGAGAATGACTACGACGAGGACCATGGCGAACACCACCCCCACAGGAACTCAGTCCACCACAAGCTGCGTGCAAGCAGCTCTATCATGCAGCTGAAGAAGCTCCTCGGTAAGTCGACGGAGCTCAATGGCTCATGTGTCGCGTCTTGGGCGCTCTAACAGCTCTCCCAGTCGCCAACCGAGGAGAAATCCCCATCCGTATTTTCCGAACAGCCCACGAGCTGTCGCTGCACACTGTGGCCGTCTACAGTCATGAGGACCGCCTCAGTATGCACAGGCAAAAGGCTGACGAGGCCTACGAGATTGGTGCCCGCGGCCAATACACACCTGTCGGTGCTTACCTGGCGGGTGACGAGATCATCAAGATCGCGGTCGAACACAATGTGAACATGATTCACCCCGGTTACGGTTTCTTATCGGAGAACGCAGAGTTCGCACGGAACGTTGAGAAGGCTGGGCTCATTGTGAGTTTTACCGCTTTGTTTACGCTATGACGAAACTGCGTGGAGGGGTCGCAGCTGCTATCGGCCGCTGTTGAGCCTATCGCTCCCGCACAAGACGAGGCATTGGCGGGGCCGATCAACAAGCAGCCCGGCGCCGATCATCGCAGCGAGCATGGCTTTTGTTTTACCCATGCAACATGCGATTCATGCTTACTTTTTCATTCTAGTTCGTAGGCCCCTCTCCCGACACCATCGACGCTCTCGGTGACAAGGTCTCGGCGCGAAAACTCGCTGTCAAGTGCAACGTCCCCGTTGTGCCAGGAACCCCTGGACCCGTTGAGAAGTTCGAGGATGTCAAGGCCTTCACTGACGAATATGGCTTTCCCATCATCATCAAGGCCGCTTTCGGTGGTGGTGGCCGTGGTATGCGTGTAGTACGCGAACAAGAGACCCTCAAGGACTCGTTCGAGCGCGCAACTTCAGAGGCCAAATCGGCTTTCGGTAACGGAACCGTCTTCGTCGAGCGCTTCCTCGACAAGCCCAAGCACATTGAAGTCCAGCTTCTCGGTGACAACCAGGGCAACGTCGTCCATCTCTACGAGCGTGACTGCAGTGTCCAGCGTCGTCACCAGAAGGTCGTCGAGATTGCTCCCGCAAAAGATCTTCCAGTTGAGACCCGTGATGCTATTCTTGCCGACGCTGTCAGGCTTGCACAGAGTGTCAAGTACAGGAACGCCGGAACTGCTGAGTTCTTGGTCGACCAGCAAAATCGCTACTACTTTATCGAGGTTAGTATTCTATACCAATGTGTACAGAATATGTTTACTGAATATTCCGCAGATCAACCCCCGTATCCAGGTCGAGCACACTATTACCGAGGAAGTCACCGGTATCGACATTGTCGCCGCACAAATCCAGATTGCAGCTGGTGCATCTCTCGAGCAGCTTGGCCTGACTCAAGACCACATCTCTACACGAGGCTTTGCCTTCCAATGCCGAATCACCACAGAAGACCCCGCTCAGAGCTTCGCACCCGATACTGGAAAGATCGAGGTCTACCGCTCTGCTGGTGGTAACGGAGTCCGTCTCGATGGTGGTAACGGTTTTGCTGGAGCAATCATCACACGTAATTACTACCCACCTTTCAGCCAGATACCTCTGCTAACCGTCCTCGTTTGTAGCTCACTACGACTCCATGTTGGTCAAGTGCTCTTGCCGTGGTTCCACATACGAGATCGTCCGCCGAAAGATGCTACGTGCTCTAGTAGAGTTCCGTATCCGTGGCGTCAAGACCAACATCCCCTTCTTGATCAAGCTCCTCACTCACCCCACCTTCGTTGACGGACAATGCTGGACAACCTTCATCGACGACACACCCGCTCTCTTCGACTTGATCGGCTCCCAGAACCGTGCTCAGAAGCTCCTCGCATACCTTGGTGACCTCGCTGTCAATGGTAGCCAGATCAAGGGCCAGATCGGCGAGCCCAAGTTCAAGGGCGTTATCCCCATCCCGGCCATTCACGACAACAGCGGCAAGAAGGTCGACACATCCGCCCCTTGCACCGAAGGTTGGAGGAATGTCATTCTCAAGGACGGTCCTGAGGGATTCGCAAAGGCTGTTCGTGCCAACAAGGGATGCTTGATCATGGACACCACATGGCGTGATGCCCATCAGTCACTACTCGCAACTCGTGTCCGAACTGTTGACTTGCTCAACATCGCCAAGGAGACTAGCCACGCTTTCTCCAACGCTTGGGCTCTTGAGTGCTGGGGTGGTGCGACCTTCGACGTCGCCATGCGCTTCCTCTACGAAGACCCCTGGGAGCGTCTTAGGAAGATGCGCAAGCTCGTACCCAACATTCCCTTCCAGATGCTTCTTCGTGGTGCTAACGGAGTCGCATACTCCTCGCTACCCGACAACGCCATCTTCCACTTCTGTGAGCAAGCTAAGAAGAACGGTGTCGATATCTTCCGTGTCTTCGATGCGTTGAACGACGTTGAACAACTTGAGGTTGGTGTCAAGGCTGTCCTCAAGGCCGGCGGTGTTGCCGAGGGAACAGTGTGCTACAGGTAAGTCTCACATATAGGGATTGCGCATACGAAACATACTAACTCAATATTCCAGTGGTGACATGCTTAACCCCAAGAAGAAGTACAACCTGGAATACTACCTGGATGTTGTCGACAAGATTGTCAAGATGGGTGCTCATATCCTCGGTATCAAAGACAGTGAGTTTTTCAATACGCGATATACGTGTAAAACATGTGCTGACTTCCCCTTTAGTGGCTGGTGTACTCAAGCCCCGTGCTGCCCGTCTCCTGATCGGCACCATCCGCGAGAAGTACCCCAACCTGCCCATCCACGTACATACTCACGACTCTGCTGGAACCGGTGTTGCATCCATGGTTGCTTGCGCTGAGGCTGGTGCAGACGCTGTTGATGCCGCCATCGACAGCATGTCCGGTATGACATCCCAGCCCAGTTTGGGCGCCATCCTCTCCTCCCTGGAGGGTACCGACTTTGATGCTGGCCTGGACGCGCACATGATCCGTAACTTGGACGCATACTGGGCCCAGCTTCGTCTCCTCTACTCGCCCTTCGAGGCTGGTCTTACCGGACCTGACCCTGAAGTATACGAGCACGAGATTCCCGGAGGCCAGCTTACCAACCTTATCTTCCAAGCATCGCAACAGGGTCTCGGTGAACAATGGGCTCAGACCAAGAAGGCATACGAGCAGGCCAACGACTTGCTCGGTGACATCGTCAAGGTTACCCCCACCTCCAAGGTTGTCGGTGACTTGGCCCAGTTCATGGTCTCCAACAAGCTTTCCTACGACGACGTCCTAGCCAAGGCTGAACAACTCGACTTCCCGTCCTCCGTCTTGGAGTTCTTCGAGGGACTCATGGGTCAGCCATACGGTGGATTCCCTGAGCCGCTCCGATCTCAGGCTCTCCGTGAGCGAAGGAAGATGGACAAGCGCCCTGGCCTCTACCTTGAGCCTGTCGACATCCCTAAGATCAAGGCAGAGCTCAAGGCCAAGTGGGGCGATGCTACTGAGTGTGATGTAGCATCGTACATCATGTACCCTAAGGTCTTCGAGGACTACAAGAAGTGGACCACCAAGTACGGAGATCTCTCCGTTCTTCCTACTCGTTACTTCTTGTCGCGCCCTGAGATCGGCGAGGAGTTCCACGTCGAGCTTGAGAAGGGTAAGGTTCTTATCCTCAAGCTCCTCGCCATTGGTCCTCTTTCCGAGCAAACTGGTCTGCGTGAGGTCTTCTACGAGATGAACGGCGAAACCCGTACTGTGACTGTCGAGGACCAGCACGCCGCTATTGAGAACGTATCACGACCCAAGGCCGACCCCACAGACAGCAGCCAGGTCGGATCACCCATGTCTGGTGTCTTGGTCGAGGTTCGTGTCCACGACGGTAGCGAAGTCAAGAAGGGTGACCCTGTTGCTATTCTCAGCGCCATGAAGATGGAGATGGTCATCTCTGCACCACACTCCGGAAAGGTCAGTGGCCTTTCTGTGCGTGAAGGTGACTCGGTCGACTCTGGCGACCTGGTCTGCAAGCTCGTCAAGTGAGCATATCACATGTAGGATTGGCGTTGTTTAATGAGAATTATGAAATCCAAGAATGGAAATGATTAGATAGTAACGAACGAATCACGGCGCTGGAGTGCCATTTCAACTTCACACATGTTCACCTGCTGCCTTGAAATGTGCTGTGTGCTCTGCAAAAGATTCCTTTTTCTATGGGGTTATGCTCAGTAGTGGCAACGCTGATATATATGCAAGGCTTTCAATTTCTGACTATAGTGTGTAGCTGTGATGTTGTCACCGAGTGCTTGCCTTTTAGTGCGCTTACAACATGGAAGATATTGTCGTCGTCCACTTATCCCCATGATTGATTGGTCATGTCCATGGCCTCATGCTATATTTTTAGCCGCTCGGAGTGTCTACTATCTTAGATACGTGCAGGAGTAAATATACTACGATTGGATATGATCGAGATGGCATGTGAGCAACCACATGCATCTTGTAACTAGTACGTGGCAAAGACACCACCTATGCACAATTTTGACCTGAGTCATATGTTTGTGGAACCGCGGAGAAGTAACCGATCATTTGAAGTTTACATGTAGTGGAAGCATGCAGTGTTGTGTGTGTGCATTGAACTTCGGGGGCTGATACGCCGAACAAAAAAGCTATCTACGGGCCCCAGACTCCAGGAAATGCAGCATGGCTAGCCTAGACGAAACGGCAAGCCTTACCCGTATGCAGGTGCTCTTGAACCGAGCTCCAAACGCCCAAACGCCCATGCCAGATCGAAGGGATCCACTAGACCGAACCGCTGTCGGGTGATGTCGGAATGGGCATCTACCCCATGGAGCCGAAGTCAAGCTTTCTTGCTACCTTGTCCGCACGACCATTGGTAGGCGTCTCTCCTCCCCTCCGCTTCAAATCCTCGCCCATGGCCTTTGCCCCACCGCCTTCTTTTGGCAAGTTCTCCTTCTTTGTGGGCCGGGGTGCATTGGTCCACCATTTATCCTCTAGCGCTTTCCGGGCAGTGTACCTTTTCATCGGGTCCAAGGTCAACAAGCCTCTGATGAAATCGCATCCATCGTCTCCCAGGGTGGAGAATTGCTGTTTCCACCAAGCGCGAGGGCGTGTCTGTCGGAAGGCTGTGGAACCTTGTGGGCCAGTTTGTTTGTCAGGCGCAACGTAGTACGGGAGAGACGAGACACCTGGCCATGTCTCCTCGGTGGGCGTTCCAAATTTCTCGCAGATGACGGCGACTTGCTGAATATCTGTGTCGGAATAGAGGAACCAGTTGCGAATACACAGTTCTGCCATCAGGACGCCGATACTCCACATGTCGGCCGTGCCACCGTAATGCGAACAACCGTACAGCAGCTCTAACGGACGATACATGCGTGTGATGACCATGGTAGTCATCTTGGTTCCTGGATCAGCAAAACTCCGCGCAAGACCGAAATCAGCAAGCTTGACCGTCCCGTCGGCGGCAATCAGGGCGTTGCTACCCTTGATATCGCGATGTAGGACAAAGTTCTCGTGGCAGAACCAGATTCCCTGACACAGCATGTTCATCCAAGATTTAATATCCGCCTTTGTATATGTAATCTCCTTGTTCTTCCATAGCTGCTCCAAGTCTCCTAGAGGTAGATGTTCGAGTACAAAGGACAAGTTCTGGTCCTTGCTTGAGAAGACGTCGTGTAGTTTGATGACGTTGGGATGGTCAATCTCGAAGAGGAACTGCATTTCGCGAAGAGCATCGGGGGCGATTCCGTTGGGGTACTCGGCGTTGAGCTTGATCTTTTTGATGGCGACGAGCTTCTTGGGATTATTGACATAGTGAGCCTGGAAGACAACGGCATATGTACCCTCTCCTAGCTTCTTGCCCATGACGAACTGGCTGCGAACGCGGTCGTTCATTTGCTCAGCGAGATCCATGCCGCCGTCTCGTGCCATAGGGGCCGCCGGTGGTATAGCCGGTGACCTTGTGGGCTTGGTCGTATGGCTTGGGAGCGCGAGAGTTCTGGCCTTGGTCGCATCTTGGAATGGTGCGCCAGGCGGGTTCGGCCGTGGGCTCAGGACAGCTGGTGATGCCATGGTGAAGTCGTGTTAGGACGGACGGCCTTAAAAAGATGGCAGAGTATTGGCGTTAGCGGTTGCTCCACAGCTCTCGTAAAGTATGCAACGCAATCTCCATACCGCAATCCTCCTCTTTCAGATGGTGAAGGTAGTGAGCGCGTACTTGGCTGGTGGGTGAGCGGTCGCGTTGGAGAGACCGCGGCGGCCGCCATGCACGTCCCCAAACATTTTGGCTTGGCCGCGCTTTTCAGCGGGGAGCTCTTCACCACCGACGCCTACGCTGTCGCACATCACATACAGTATGGCTACTTCTACGCGAGGACCGCCAGGCACCGTCGCCGTTTCCAAAGAGGGTATCCCAAACAGGACGTGAGTCAGTCCCTCCAACGCCCAAGAACATGTGCTGACGTCCAACAGCTTATACGTGCGCAACCTCCCCGACAAGCTACAAAAAGAAGACCTCAAGCGAAACCTGTACATGCTGTTTGCTACCTATGGCGTCATCCTCGATATTGTTGCGCTCAAGACGATGAAGATGCGAGGCCAGGCGCATGTTGTGTTCCGCGACGTTGATTCCTCGACCCAGGCCATGCGCGCTCTGCAAGGCTTCACTTTCTTTGGAAAGGACATGGTACGTCTGTTTCCAGCCAATGAATTCATGTGGGACATGCTGACATTCGCAGCAAATTGCGTATGCAAAGACCAAATCCGACACCGTAGCCAAGCTGGACGGTACCTACAAGATGCCCGAGCCTGAGCGTGAACACGAGCCTGAACAAGCACCTGCGCAGCCCGCAGGTTTCGGTGCTGCACCCGAGAAAGCAGTACCTGTAAATGTGCAAGACGCAGCCAAGGGCCAGAAGAGAGGGCGCGAGGAGGAGGAAGAAGAGGAAGAGAATTCGGACGCGGAGATGGAGATGGACGTGAGCGACGACTCGGACTAGATCTTCAAGAGTTATGGAAGAATATGATACCCACGAGCAACGACCAGAATCTAAAGGGCACTTCAGAGAGATTCGTTTATTTGAACCATCTACGAATGTGTACGAAGATACATCACTGCTAGCCTGGGATGGTGCTGACCCGATCTAGACCCATGCTATTGAGCGGTACTGGTACATGAGATGGCTGTGGATCCTGGGCACCCTCTGAAATGAGCATCCCGGAAACGTTGAGTTCTACTTTGGCCCTCAACTACAACGCTCTTCGTCGGCCACTCCTCTTACTACGAAGATGCTTGTTCTTTTCAACTTGTGCCGGATGTGTAAAAGAGTCTGTTCTGTGACTTCAAGTGTCACATATATACAACATGTCAACCCTTGATAGTATATACTGTCTTCTTTCGTAGGTATCTTGATAGAGTTACAGCAAGTAGCTCCAGGATACTTTTTGGTATCAAGTACAATTCAAAGAAAGACCTTCGTCATAGCCCGATGGCCAGGCCTTTCTCCAACGAAAAGCTTCGTAGTTCAAGACGAATCTAAGCATGCTTGTCCATGCAAGCGTCGAGCAGGCCCAATAGTTCAGACTTTCGCTTCTCTCCTATCCAGCTGCCGTGAATCGAATTGCTAACGATTGTCCTCCATTCCTCCATGCTTAAGTTGAAGGCCTCTTGCACCGCGCAATAATTGTTTAATATGTATCCACCAAAGTACGCTGGGTCGTCGCTGTTGATACTGAATTTTACACCTGCATCGAGGAATGTCTTGATTGGCACTTGGCTGACCTTCTCCACAGCCTGGAGGCAGACATTGCTCAAAGGGCAAACCGTCATTAGTACCTCCTCTTTTACCACTCGGCTAAGCAGTTCGGGATCTTCTGTGAGGCGGATGCCGTGGTCGATGCGTTCGGCTTGTAACGCATCAAGTGCTCCGCTAATGTAAGTTGGGTCACCCTCTTCACCCGCATGAGCTGTCCTCCGTAGACCTCTCTTTTCGCCCTCGCGATACATGTCCACAAAGAGTTCTGGGCGGAATCCAACCTCTGACGAGTCCAGCCCAAGTCCAGTAATAGCGCGCTCCTGGCTGTCGCTCTTAACATCAAAGTGTCCGCCCTTGACGGCCAATGCCATGGTCTCCGCCGCGGAACTAGCAGGTAGATGCCTCAAAAAACACATAATCAGACAACTCGTTATTCCCAGCTCTTTTTCCGCCCGTACTCTTGCAGCGTTGAAGCCACGTACCACAACATCAAAATCAATTCCTCTTTCCGTGTGACTCTGCGGGTCGAAGAAAACCTCCGCATGACGAACTCCGTCCTTGGCTGCAGTGGTGAAATACTCCCATGCAAGCATCTCAAAATCCTCTTGGTGCACTACGACTGCGATGCCACGGTAGTAGTACGCCAGGAAATCATCGAGGTTCGTGAAATGTGAATAGCGTTCGGTGAGTGTTGCAGGAGACGTGTAAGAGACATCCTCAGATGGCGATGGCAAGGTGATGTTGTTCTTAGACGCTAGAGTGAATAGAAGGCTTGGACTGAGGCAGCCTTCTAGATGGAGGTGATGTTCGCATTTTGGGAGGTCCGCTAAGAACGTGTGAGTGGGAGATTTGCACATGGTGTTTGATATATGAAGAAGTAAGAAGTCTCGTACGTTGGAATTGTTAGATGAAGAGATTGGATATAAGTTTTTGGCTTTTTCGAAAGACGGGCTGTTTAGGACTAGTTTTCTATCGGAGTCTGACGGCGACTGTCGGTGTTCGCCGGCCTTGCTGGGATAATGGAGATGCTCCAACTAAAGGGTGGATCCCAGATTGGGCTTGCAAAATGTGTTCGCTCCTGTCGAACACGTTTTGTAAGCGCGCCAACTTCACACGAGGATGCTTATCGCTCAATTTCATCGTTGAACGTATATAAATGCCCACATAGGCGGTAGGATTTTATTAGTGTTCAGGCTTTTGTTGACCGCGGCTCGTATATAGTCTTCCCGAACTCTTCCAACAAGCCTTCCTTTTCCGCATCTTCTCTCGTTGAAGAGGTTGTTCTACTCCTGGCATTGATCGTCGGCAATGTACAATCACCTATTGTCCTCTCTCCATCGCCAAAAGTTCGTTTGAAAACACCGTCGTAACTGGTCCACATACCCGCAAAGATCATGGCACTGAGCTTTGCCAGCCACCAAGGTGACCGCCCCTTCTTGTCTTGCAGCTTCCTCCCCATTGTGAAGATAAACATGACGAACGGCATCCAGATGGCCAGGAAAATAGCCTTTCCCATTTCCTGCTTCTTGGTTGTGATTGTGTATGTGCGTATATTGTTTAGGTATTCTTGATACTCGTCGGGAAGTTTGCATTCGGCGGCGCCATCGGTTATGAGCTTGAGGTATCGTGCCGAAGGCTGCGCATAGCTAGGGTCGGGCCGCGTTACACGGTCGGTGGTTCGTTGCTTGGTTTCTCGGTCTATAATGGGCGCGAAGAGTGTGTGGGCCTTGAACGGCTTCGAATCGGGTGTAGAGGGGACCGTGTCAGAGGGTGGCAGCACATGGCAGTCAACTAGGATATCGTTGTAGGCACTCCCTCCGCCCTCTGTGGCGATGATGTGCGCGTAATCAGAGAGCGTCACCTCATACACGACGCCCACCAAGCCCTTGTGCCATCGGTCCTTGTGGTAGTCCTGCGCGTCCGGCTCCCGCAGCGCTGTGTTGGCAAAACAGGGCTCTTTGTATGGGATACCGGGCAGGTCAAAGGTCAACCTCAGCGAGGGAACAAGGACATTGACTTGTGAAAGCGGACGGATGCCGCGCACGCCTCGGAAGGTTTCGTTGCACAGATTCGAGCCATATGCCAGGTACAGCACTGTTTTGGCCTTCTCTTGCGTTGCTGTCGATTGTTGCGACACGAGCTTCTCTGTGTCCAGGGGCGCGTCGTTCAGCGAGGCATCGAGACGCGCCTGGGATGGTGCAGGTACGGCTTCGAAGACGACCGTCATGGTGGGGTTCGGATGTTCTTGTGTACTACAAACAACAGCGTTACCAGCTACTTCATATACTGCGCGTAGCTTCCGGAACGGCCTGTCCGCTGGTGATTTCGTCCGTATGTCGGGGCCTACATCATCGATTTCTCATCATAAGCCCGATGGTCCGAGCACGAGCGCCCGACTCTACTCACCGTAAGCCGCACGACCACACGCATACTCTCAGGCCAGCCTACTATACCACGTTACTTATTCCTACACGACTGCAGTAGTTGTCAGCGGTAACTGTGGGCCACCCTTGCACGGTAGCAGGTCATGTCGTATCCTTCGTACACCGTACTAGCGCTTGTCCCAGCTGTCGCATGGCTTGTGTACCTCCAGATAAGCCAATGGCGCTTCAAACGATATGCGCATATTCCCGGCAAGCTGTCATCCAATCTCCTCTTTGGGCACCTTGGTCATATCGCGGCTGAATACAGGAGAGCTGGATTCAGCAGTACCGTTCACCCGGGTAGGATCCACATCCTAGTCACTGGCCTACGCTGACAGCAGGCAGACTATGTGTTTGAAAATATATGGAATGCCCAAGGTAGCCCTGAATACATGTTTTTCGACACGAGACCTGTGCAATACCCACTCGTTCTCGTTGCATCCCATGAGATGGCCGAGCAGGTTTCAAGAGCCAGCAAAACGCAGCAATATAGTGTCACCAAATCTCCAACTGTTCAGCAAGGATTTGGAGAGCTTATTGGTAGATATTCCTTGATCAGCGAGAACGGCGAATCTTGGAGAGGGCTTCGCAAGACATTCAACCCTGGCTTTGCGCCGCAGCATTTGCTTACCCTACTTCCGGTTGTCGTAGACAAGACTTGTACGTTTGTAAAGAGGCTCGACGCATTGGCGACCTCTGGCGTTGCAGTTGAGATGGAGAGTTACTGCACAGACGTTACCTTTGACATCATTGGTGATGTAGTCACGAACATTGACTGTAGGGCCCAGGACGATAGCGAACAAGCCCATGATATCGTTCGTAACTTCCGCACGCTCAAGGCTGTATACACTGGTGACAACGGTCTGATGGCTTCCTGGTTGAACCTGCCTTTGCGCGTTAAGAAGTACATCTACAGCCAACGGCTCGACTCGGCCGTCAAGAAGTGTATCTTGGAGAAGTTCGCAGACATCAAGGACGCTCAGCATTCCGATACAAAGGGAAAGAAAGACCGATCGGTCCTGGCGCTGGCACTAGAAGGTGTTGACGAGCTGACTCCATATATCTTGCAGAGTACCGCAGATTCAGTGAAATCGTTCCTTTTCGCAGGACACGATACCACTGCTATCCTCCTACAGAGGCTGTTTTATGCCCTTTCAATACATCCAGATTGCCTCGCAAAGATTCGTGCGGAACACGATGCCGTCTTCGCCGACTCCGAACCAAGCGACGTGTTCCTCGAGCGACCGGATGAGACCATGAAAGCGCTAAAGTACACATCTGCATGCATCAAAGAAGCTTTGAGACTTTGGCCTCCAGCAGGATCGGCACGAATGTCACACAACGGCTTCAAATTGCGCACTTCGGATGGAGACGACGTGTGCGTCGACAAATGCGTCATATACTTGTGCCATCACATTATTCAGCGAGATCCCAAAGTGTACGGAGACACAGCAAACGATTTCGTCCCTGAGCGCTGGGTTGGTGACTCCGATACCAGCAGCGCTTCAACCGAAGACGACGGATCAACTGCTGGCGAGAGCAAGATACCCATTAGCGCATGGAGAGCATTTGAGCGGGGACCGCGTAATTGTATTGGCCAGGAACTTGCTAACATGGAGGCTCGCGTGATTCTGGCATGCGTCATGCGACGATATGACTTCGTCAAGGTCGGATTGGGAGAAGTCGATACAGACGACATGGGTCAGCCTGTCATGGACCGGAAGGGCAAATACAAAACAAAGTCTGATTTGATCAACGTAAGCTACTATCCCCTTTCGCAAAATAATGCAAGCGACTTACTCTTGGATAGACAATGTCCATCACAGCCAGGCCTGTCGACAAAACCATCATGCGTGTCAAATTCCGCGGGTCCACGAATTGACGAACCATGACGTTTAGAGATATGCGGTTGTGGCCGTATTTGTAGACGGTAGATGCTAGACTACTCTCTTGCCATACACATGAAAGAAACTGAACAGACACAGCAACATCAGAACTGCTACTGCAGCCTACAATAGTGTGTGAGCAAATGGTTCATATGTTTTGACAGCTTTATAGACTTCTAGGTTCTTGATCTGCGTTATCCTCTAAACTGTAAATTTCGTCTTGTTCTCCTGAGCGCAATCCTCCGCAATTTTCCGCACCTGCTCCTGGCCTAGTTCTTCGAAAATGTCGAAACCCCATCGCGACTGTACGTTGAACCGCTTGTGTCTCTCCAGACCGCTCAGCTCATCGAAAGCATCCTTCGGTAGTTCCTTGACCTGCATATTACTCTTGATTCTGCTCGGCGTGACACTCTTGGGCAGGACCACAGTGCCCCGCTGAATACCCCAGCTCGCAAGCAGCTGGCCGCCGTCCATACCTAATCTGTGACCTAAGACGCCCACTAATTCGTCGTCGACAGTCCGCGGCTCCCCTGTTTGGTTGTTTCCAAGAGGCGAATAGGCTTCAATCAAGATACCTTTGCTCTTGCAAACATCGAAGAGAGCAGGCTGCTGGAGGTATGGATGTGCTTCGATCTGATTTACCGCTGGCACAACATCAGTCTTCGATAGAAGATCGTTGAGGCGTTGAATAGTGAAGTTAGATACGCCAATGGCGCGAACCTTGCCGGTGTCAAGTAGCTTCTCCATGGCTTTGTATGTAGTTGCAGGATCAATGTCGACGAGGTCAAACACACCACTCTCGCGTAGTGGGAACCACTTGCCTGTGGCACCATTGAATGCACTTCATCTGTGTCAGTATCATGTGTATGCAATGGAAAGGATATGTGACATACACTGGCCAATGCATCAGGAACAAATCTAGATACTCGACGCCTAGATCTTGAAGCGACTTGTCGAGAGCAGCTTCTACATCCTCTGGCGCATGTTTGGTGTTCCAAAGCTTGCCAGTAAGGAAGATTTCAGAGCGAGGAACACCACTCCTCCTTATGCCGTCACCTACTTCGGCTTCATTGCGGTAGATGGCAGCGCAATCAATGTGGCGGTAGCCTGCTTTGAGCGCCGTCTCGACAGCGCGTTCGACTTCTCCTGGCTTCGCTTGCCATGTGCCGAAGCCTACAGCCGGTATCTGCGCGCCTGTGTTGAGGGTGAAATGTGTGGGGATAGGCATGATGCTGGTCGTGGTGTGACGCGACGTGATGAGAGATAACACTGCGCGCGATCAGAATCGATACAGGCTTCTATAATGCAATGCTAAAAGAGTGGCCAATGTTTGGAAACGGGGTACAGCCATCTGAGCGATATATACATCCAACTTATGTTCTCCATGTCCGACGGAGAGACGCAAGTATCGGAAGGAGCGACCGGAAACGACTCCGGAAAGAACGATGCTAGCACAAAACGCAGCAGTGCCTCCCGAGGTTGCGGCTAGTTTTCCCAACGGCTTCATTCATGCCTTCAAGTTGCACCCGTGAAATCTGGAGTACCTATGGGGTGGTCGGTTAGCGTTCCGAAGCTTGGCAGCGGATTCTTCGGACGGAACGCGGATTTGCCTCATCTTTCCTACTCCACAATGTCTAATGATGCAGCACCAAGCGGCACGGTACCCCGGAAGCGGAGCCTTGACGTCGCACCAGGCAGCAATAATACGAGGCAACGACTGGTCAAAGTTACGAGAGCCTGCGATGTATGCAAGGCGAGGAAGTCAAAGTGCTCCGGCGACCAGCCGTGCGAGACCTGTACCCGCCGGGGGTTGACATGCCAGTACGAAGCCGCCTACTCGCGAGGCAAAGTAGTCTCCCCACGCCCAGTTCACCCAGCAGCTGTGAATGCTCAGCAGCCCGCGTCGGCGCCAGTCTATCCTCATGCTATACTCAGTGTCGCACCAACTATGAATGTCGTCGGTGAGGAGACGGAACCTCCTTCGCGGGCTTCTCCTGGGCTCGAGGTAGCTGGCCAGTACTCCGACTCAACATCTGGTCTTTCATTCTTGAATCGCGCTTGGCGGCGTATCTCCAATAAGGAAACTAGCCTAATAAATGGGCTGGGGTCCACAGAAGACCGTCAGTTGCTGACGAGCGCGGGTGACAAGCCGTTCCTAGAGACTGGAGAAGTGCAAATGCCTTCGTTAGATCGCAGTCGTCAGCTTCTCCATTTGTACTTCGACGTGTGTATTGCGACCTATCGGCTATTACATAGACCTACTGTCGAAGCGTGGTTGGAGACTGTGTCTGATAACGCGAAACAGCACCGAGCCCTCTTTCATGGTATGTACGACTGCAACTCGAGAGCAAAAAACATCTCACTTACAAGTCATGTTGATATAGGTCTTGGTCGCGCCAAGACTTCGGCAGTGTTGTCAGTGTTGGCGATCGCATCATTCCATGAAGAGAAGGCAAGTGGAGAGATTGGTCTGTCACCAGTGACCCAACCCGACATGCAGTTGCAGAGCGACATGCTGTTTATAGAAGCTTCACGTTTGACCCAAGCCGAGACTGGTATCCCAAAGCTTGAGTCAGCACAATGCAGGCTTATACAGGTCTTGTATCTTCTCATGTCATGTCGTTTCAACCAGGCATGGTATACGTTTGGGCACGCTTTGCAGATTATTTCTGCTTTGGGGTTGCATCGAAGAGACGATCGCAAGCGACAAGCAACCGCCACCAGACGGGATTACATCGATGAACAGTGCAGAAAACGCACGTTCTGGGTAGCCTACACCCTAGACAAGTACCTTGGCGTTATTTTCGGCAGGCCCAGGTACGTTAAAGCTTTATAAAATGCATGTGAGACATACACTGACACCGTACCTCCGCTTTGACAGGCACTATCACGATGAAGATATCGACCAAGATTTCCCCAACGCTGTCAACGACGAAGATATGACTAGTACAGGCCCAAAAGCCACAAGCACAGATGACTGCCATATAGATTCGCTGGTGTATCATGCTAGACTAGCACAGATTGCCGAGAAGATATCGCGAGAAGTCTATTCCATCAAACCAGTATGTTAAATGACGTTACTTTACAAGAAGTCATACTTACCAAGCTCCGTCATCAGGTGCCAGATCAGATTCGACTTGCAGCCTCTCATCGCTTAGCCGCAGAGCTACGCCAGTGGAAAGCATCGCTGCCACCATTCCTTGGTGCTGTCAATCCTAGTAGCCTAATCCCAACTTTCCGGCGACAGGCAACAGCACTCAAGCTCTCTTATTGCCATGCTGTCATCCTAGCGCATCGGCCGTTTCTCCTGAAGAACACTAGACGCGGCAATACTGAGATGCATATCCTCGCGAAAGACAGCCTTGCAGAGTGTCTTACAGCTGCACGATCAGTATTGGAAGCAGTAGACCGTATGGCGCGGGAGGGCCGTTTGTTTCACGCATTCTGGTGGACTCACTATGTATGCTTCTGTGCTTTGGTAGTAGTTTATGTATGGGCTATTCAACAGAGTACTCACAACACAGCCTCGGCGGAAGACCCCCGCAGAATATTGGATCAAGCTGAGAGCTGTATGCAGCATCTTGCCCAGGCAACTGCCTCAAATTCACCCTCACGACGCTATAGCATCATCCTGCAGGAACTCCGTACAGAGGCAAAGCGGAAAACAGCAAGGTCACGTCAAGAGCAGGCACACTCATCGTCAAATACGGGTGAGACTGGAGCTTCTGTAGCGTTAGGTGGCGAAACGACACGAGACATTTGTTCCGATTCTGCTTTGGAAGCCTTGCAGCCGATCTTTGGTAGTAGCCCAATGGACGTGACCACACCAGGACTGCAAACCTTCCTGGACGATTGGCAAACGACCGACTGGCTTGATCTTGATGCATCTGCATTTGGCCCTTTTCCCGAGATAGATGAGTTGGAGATTGCCTGGATGAACAACGTATCTTAATGGTCGGGAGGCGACATTATGCTGGAGCTTACACCTTCTTAGGATCCAAATGTCCCCAGGAGATATTCGATGTATGTGGAGTTATCACAGCAATCGCACAAAGATAGTGTGTACCTTCGGGGTACATTTCGGTATCAATTGAGACTCGGAGTACCCGAGATTGTCGAGCGTCGTATTAGAGCCTTTGCCAACACAATAATAGAACCCAACTCTCTATACCGCACCCATCCATCCAACTTCGTCAGCTTCCTCATCCTTTCTCATTACTCTTACAAAGTGTATCGGAACAACGGAGACTTGTCACCCATGTCCAGTAGCTCTTGGTCTGAATACTTTGCCCGGATCTCATCCTCGCTGAGCCTTGCCTTCTTCGTATTGCCCCATTTGTACGACAACTCCAACAGGAACGCAACAATGAAACCAGTCGCGCCAAACGCCAGCGACAGCCCAAAACCAGTGTAGTACTTTGGCTTCTCGCTCTCCAGGTACATATAGCTGCCAATGACGCCTCCGATGTTGCCAACACAGATGTTGAAGGCAACGCCAATGGCACGGCGAGAAGAAGGGGCAAGGTTGTTGGCTGCCCAACTGCTTCCGGCCGGTTGAATGGGGTAGATACCCATGCAGGTCAAGATGATGGCAAAGAAAGCCGGACCGATGTTGCCACCGAGGTCACCATCGAATGAAATGACCACAGCGTACCCGATAAAGATGAAGGAAAGGGGAATAGCGACGAACGGCAAACGCCAGTAAAACCGATCAGAGAGCTTAGCAAAGAAGATCGAACTCAAAGCGCCGGCCACGTACGGCGGCACCGTCATGAGTTGAGCATTGGTGTTGTCGAATCCCATACTCTTCGTGATGGTGGGCAAGGTAAACTTGGTTCCTGTATGCCAGTCAGCGAGTATTCTTCTTTACTCCAAGTTGTACGTACCGTATGAACACGCCGATATGCAGAGCAGGATGTATGCTTGCATGTACAGGCGCCAGTTGCATAACACGGCCTTCAAGTCGCTCCACTTGAAACTCTCTTGCTTTTCCTCTCCAAACCTTCCACCGTCCTTGATGAATCGTTGGAGCTCGAGGAAGCGGATCTCGTCAGGCTTTAACCATCGTCCGCTCAAGGCAGGGGAGTCGATCAAGAGGAAGAAGCACGAGACACCGAGTGCAACAGTAACAATGCCTTCCAAAAGAAAGATCCATCTCCAACCTTCGTATCCTCCGACGCCATCCATCTTGGCGATGGCTGCGGCAAGCAGACCACTGAATGCTCCAGATAGTGCCGATGCACAATAGAAGTACGAGATTCTCGTCGCGAGATCCTTTGGCATGTACCAGTAAGAGCAAAGATAGATTGCGCCCGGAAAGAATCCAGCCCTGTTTGTCGTCAGCAGAGTACATATCGCTGACGCGTAAGACTTACTCGAACACGCCAAGAAGGATACGAGTAGCTAGCAACCCAGCAAAGTTCTTCACCACGCCCATCGAAGTCATAACAATGCCCCAACATACGATAAGTATGCCAAGGTAGTAGGATGGACGTTTGAACTTCTTCAAAAGAATATTCGAGGGAACTTCAAGAAGGATGTATGGCACGAAGAACACCGATAGAACGATGTTCCATTGCACCCCATCGAGACCGAGGTCAGTGACCATGCCTTCGATCTTTGCGTTCTGTCGGACGTCAGAATAAGCCCCAAGGCTGAACCAGCTACCCATTTCGACTTGCGCGCATATGCAACACTTACTCCGATGTTCGCTCGATCGATATGAGATATGAGATAAAGGACCGCAAGCATTGGGACCAAGCGTACGTCCACCTTCAGGTTGTTAACAGGGATCGACTCTAATGCAACAATAGTCGTTGCTTACCTTGTGGATGACTCTCTTCCTCTGCTCATCCGAGTAGTTGATGTAGAAATCCGCATCCTCAGGTGCCAAACCTAGCACTTGGAAGTTGTCGATCTTGATGATCTGATATGGTTTCGGCGACTCGATCGATTCCGCCTTCTCATCGATGTATTGAATCTCGCTCTTGTCCATTGACGGAGACATTGTGACCAGTGGATAGCGAAGACGTGTCAGGAAAATGAGATGAGAACACAAGGTCGATGCGAAGATCGGAGTGAGATAACCCTGAGCAATTTCGGATCCCAGAAGCTTTATACACGAGATCCTGGTTGCGGCACACCATGTTGATAGCAGCTGGCTTGCGGAGAAACAAAGCCACCCCAGTCTTTCGATTTTCTGGAGAAAGCTAGTTGCGGGGAAAGTAGTTTTGCACCAAGGCCGGTTTCTGCTCCGGCTCTCGATCGGCAACGAATCATCGATGCTACCGAAAGCCAACGAAGTTCGCCGCACGAATCAAAAGCGAATCCGATCCGACGTGATATGCAATGCAAGTCTCCACATCGCCCCAACGTTCGAGGTTGAAGCTGGGGAAAGCAGCCGCGCGAAACGAGTCGGCGAATACTAATACAACAGCCCTCATCATGTCTGCTCTCGAAACCACAGCCACTTCTTCATCTTTCCTCGAAGTACTCATTGTCACAAGCCACCACAGCCATGGCGCCAGCTCAGATCGCTATCGCTGCATCCCTAGGGCCGTCGACACCACTGTCTACATCCAAACCTCTGCGCCATGACTTTCCCCAACCTGAAGAGTCCTCAATACAAACAGTTGACGCACTCGTGCGACATCGTGCGCGGCGCGATCCCCATGTCACCATTGTGTCGTATCCGCGCTCTGGAGTTGACTTTGTAGATTATACAATGCAACAGCTAGATGTGTTCGCCTACCGAGTAGCCAGACACTATCAGGCTTTCATCCCCACACGATCCAGCTCTGCAGAGAAGCCTACCACGGTCGCGGTGCTAGGGCCAAGTAATTTGGACTACATCGTGACAATGCTTGCGCTTACCAAGCTCGGACACACTGTGCTGTTTCTTTCAACGCGAATATCACAAGCCGCCATTGATTCTCTTGTTACAACAACTGGTGCTACATATCTGTTAGCAGACTCCCGGTTTGCGCAGTCTGCAGCCGACGCACAGACAAATATCCCGACGTTGCACATCGGCGAGATTGCAGGGTTCAGCACCTACAACTTTCCTATCGAAGTCCATGCGGATACCCGTCTTGACTATCAGCTGGATCACGCGGTTGAAACTTCGAATAATATCTACATAATACACTCTAGTGGTACGTTGTATTTACCCGTCTATGGCACCTGAGCTGACGCGAGGAAAGGCTCCACTGGGCTACCGAAGCCAATCTATCAGACACAGAAGAGTGCAATCGCCAACTATGCCATCAGCATGGATATGAAAGCCTTCATCACTCTTCCCTTATATCATAATCACGGAATCTGCAACTTCTTTCGTGCGATATACAGTGGCAAATCCATCCATATCTACAACGCCGATCTACCCCTGACTCAGTCTTATCTGTCCACGATCTTGAGGCAGCACACATTCGAGATCTTTTACGGCGTGCCATATGCTCTTAAGCTTCTTTCCGAATCGGATGAAGGAATCGAGCTATTGAGACAACTCAAGATTGTCATGTACGGAGGAAGTGCTTGTCCAGACACTCTGGGTGATCTACTGGTGAGCAACGGAGTTAATCTTGTCGGTCATTATGGAGCGTAAGTTTCTTCTTTCACCTTCTATAACGTACCCAGGCTTACAATAATTAGTACTGAAGTCGGTCAGCTCATGACATCCTTCCGACCTGCCGAAGACAAGGTGTGGAATTATGTTCGTGAGTCACCGAAGCTATCTCCGTATCTTCGGTGGGTACCACGCGGACCAAACCTCTACGAATGCACAGTCTTGCCAGGTTGGCCAGCAAAGGTTGCCTCCAATCTACCAGACGGTAGTTACGCCACGAAAGATCTATTCGAACCTCACCCCACGATTGATAAAGCCTGGAAATACATTGCGCGCCTAGACGATACAATCGTCCTGGTGAACGGCGAGAAGTTCAACCCGGTCATGATGGAAGGAACAATTCGTTCGCATCGAGCCGTGACGGAGACGGTCGTCTTTGGTTCAGGTCGACCATACCTTGGCGTCCTTGTGGTCCCAGCAATTGAAGGCATGTCGACTGCAAGGGTCATTGATGAGATATGGCCCGTCATTGAAGCTGCGAACCAAACAGTGGAAGCATACGCAAGGATCTCCAGGGATATGATTCAAGTTTTGCCATATGGTTGTCAGTTTCCACGCACGGACAAAGGCAGTGTGATTAGGCAAGCATTTTACAAAACGTTTGCTACCGAGATTGACAACGTATATGATGTGGCTGCATCATCTGGCGGTGATTTGAAGACATTCACTCTTCTGAAGATGGAAAACCACTTGCGTACGATCCTGGCCAAACACTTGCCGCAGGCAAGCGACATCGAGTGTACCACAGATCTCTTCTCGCTGGGACTGGACTCATTACAATCGATTCAGATACGGATGGATATCCTCAAGACCGTCGACATTGGTTCCAACAAGCTTGGTCAAAACGTAGTATTTGAGCATCCGTCTATCTCATCTCTCGCCACACATCTCTACAGACTACAGACCGGGCAAGAGATTGAGGCTGTGTCAGCCGCCGCACAGATGCAAGACCTTATCACGCAATATACCAAGTTCGAGTTGGTTGATAGAAGACAGACTGTGCTTACTGGTGCGACCGGCTCGCTAGGCGCTCATGTTCTTGTACAGCTGGTCAAACGTTCGGACATCGACACAGTTTACTGCCTTGTACGCGCCACAGACTACAAGGCAGCAGCTCATCGTGTCCAAGAATCCCTCATCCAGCGGAAAGTGTATCATACCCTACCGCTTTCTGCACTCAGGAAAATCCAAGCTATACCTTCTGATCTATCTGAACCCCATCTCGGCCTAGACGACACAACTTATGCACGCGTAGCCTCAGGTCTTGCTAGTGTCATTCATTGCGCATGGAGCGTCAACTTTAACAAGAGCTTGATGTCATTCGAGAAGGACTGCATTGCTGGAGTGCGACATCTAATTGACCTATGTCTTGCTACATCGTCCATCAAGCCTGCATCCTTCGACTTCTGTTCTTCTGTCAGCACTGTCGCACGATGCCCTGATTTACACACACCCGAGAAGCTAGCGGAGCTTGACTGGGCTCAAGGAATGGGATACGCTCAGAGCAAATGTGTCGCGGAGCACTTATGCTTGGCCGCGGCGAAGAAGACTGGTGTTCGAGCGCGTGTTCTGCGCGTCGGTCAGATCGTTGCGGACACCGTACATGGCGTGTGGAACGCGACTGAAGCCATACCTCTTATGATGCAGTCTGCACTTACTGTTGGCGCGCTACCTCGACTCCAAGAATCGCCGAGTTGGACACCTGTTGACGTTATCGCGAAAGCCGTGACAGAGATCTCACTCAGCGACGCCGGCTCTGTGGTGGCGAATGTGACCAACGCGAAGAGCTTTTCCTGGACCGATGATCTACTTCCCGCCCTCCGAGAAGCTGGCCTCCAGTTCGATGAGGTTGAACCCAAGGAGTGGGTGCGCAGGCTTCGTGAGTCAAGTCAGGACGCTGTGGCGAACCCACCCATCAAACTGGCTGACTTTTTTGCGTCCAAATACGACAAGGATACTTTCGGCCCTTCGCGTACATATGAGACCAGCGTGGCCAGGACTTTCTCTCCTTCACTCGATGAAGCACCTGTGCTGGATCCGTTGTTTGTAAAGACGTTTGTCAAACAGTTCCAAGCTGCTGCTTGGCAATCACATACTCCTGGAGTTGCGAGGAAACCAACCAAGCAGGTCGTTGTAGTCGCCGGGCCTTGTGGCAGCGGCAAAAGCACGATTGGACAACATCTCAGCGCCCGCTTCAAAGTACCTTTTATTGAAGGTGACGAGCTCCACACTGAAGATGCTATTGCATCGATGGCTGCCGGCACACCCCTCGATGACCTCGTCCGTGCTCCATGGATCGCCCGTCTCGGGCAGCGCGCGCTGGATATCATCACCAATGGAGATCATGAGTGTGTCTTTCTATCCTGCTCAGCCCTGAAGAAGTCGTACCGCGATCAGTTCCGCGCTCTGATGAACGATCAAGTACGAGTTGTCTTTGTGGGTTTACAAGTTGATCAGGAAGAGCTGGTGCGACGAATGCAAGAGAGGAGTGATCATTACATGAAGGAGGATATGGTGGAGAGCCAGCTTGCTATTTGGGAGGTTGCTGATGTATCAGAGACGGATGTGCTGCCTGTAGATGCTGCAAAGAATGTTACAGAAGTTGTGGAAGAGGCTTCTGGACTATTAGAAGCTCTCAGCTCCGCATAAGAAGCATTTTCGAGTGTGGAAACGTGTATGTTACCGCTGTTGCGAGGCTGTAGATGTTATGATAACCTTTAGACTTAATGACCAACTCCCTCTCACGTGCACAATTGTCGTTTGATATCGATTGTCACACATAGGTAAGCGTGAAACATAGGGAGAGTTGCAAGACGTATTTAACGAAGTTGTCGCAAGCTATGTCGTGAGCTTGTCGGTCTTGATACGCACGAGTTGGTGAACGTCAATAACCTGAGCGATGAGTGCGACGAGTGCGATAGCAGCAATGTAACAACTCCCAAAACATCGCCATATGATCTCCGGCGGCTCAGGAACGCACTCACCAAGTCAAAGAAAGATAGCAATGTCTCGAATGATGAGACAAAGAGGTGCTTCTCACCGCCTCACAGGCATCCCCCTCAAAAAGAAAATGATAGCCATGGAGTTCATGCTGAAGTATATATCAGAAAACGAAATAGGGCATCGACCGAAAAAACGACGGGGCCCAGCCTTCGTATACGTTTTCATAGGTATAAAAAACAAGGAAGAACGCGCCATTCAGATTGGAGATCTGTAACGGCGACACCACGAAAGGACACTGGTCTTCCGTCGATATCAGAAATCTCGGGAGAGAATCTGATGTCGCTTTCCTGTTGATTGAAACGGAAAGCCAAGACAACCCACAACTTGATCCTGAAGTGCGCTCTTCAATTCGGTTTTGAGGCGAATCTTTACCACGAAGATCCCAGCTGCAAGTTCAGTGAAGGGTGGCAGAGGCATTTGCGTGCTGCCTGCAATGATCTCATGGATATCAAGCAAGCTAAAGCAGTGAAAGCTTTACGGAAGTAGGACCGTGCTGGCTCCATCGCTGCGACGGCCCCTGCCGCTGTTGTCAATATCTTACCACCTCAGCCTCGCTCTGCACACCTGGATCTCACCGAACAACAAACCCAGACCATGGCAGGCAACTCTGATAACGAGCGGCCATCTCGGCGAGAGAACCGTGACCATGTTGACCCTATCCAAAACCCGCAAAGTGCGAAACCACAATATGGTCTAGCAGGAGCTGACCGCAACCCATCTCCTCCCCAGTTGTCGTACTACAGAGCTCCCCGCAGCATACGTGAACCCCAACCTCATGGTCATACAGCCACTCCTCCGGATTCTAACGTTTACGGCGCTCCACCCTTTCCACCGACGCAGTCACCTTACTACTGTAATTACCCAACTGAAACCATGAGCTCACATACGCAGAAGCCTAGAGCTTATTTCCATCCGCAGCTGGGTTCGACAGATCGGTTTGATGGGAGATCTGGATACCGAGGATCGAGTTTGAAGGAGGGGGTATCGAACTCGTCGGGTCCAGTACCGAGTCAGCGCAGCACATCTGCTCTTAGTCGTTTCACCACGCTAGAAGATGAGTACGCAAGCTTGTATCGAAAACGCCATGAGATTGATGTACGAATGGAGGATATCAAGAGGAGCCTTACAGCAGAGCGATACACTGCTTTGATGGCAGAGCTGGATCCCCAGGAGCTTGCAACGTTGAAAACATGGTCAGATAACGCCGACAACTGACAGAAATGTGATAGGCTTTGCTTGGTATAACTTGGGTTGATCGTGTTCAGTTTAGTAGCTATTCGCAGCCTGGAGTGCTAATTCGAATTGAATCGATGTTAAGACGAAGTATACCGTTGTGGTGAAAACTTGAATGTCGTCTGAACAACGTGACGAAGGCGTAGGCGGTCCCTGAGACCCCTAATTACCATAAGCGAATATGGTCCGAGCTCAATCCCGCGGCGTCGCGGGTGGAGCTCCAAGCATCAACACGCCGAAGCAGCCAATTCCCTGCCGACGTCCGCTGTCCCCTCGCACGTCGCCGCCATGCTTTCCGGAATCCTTATCTTCAACCAGAAAGGTGAGAACCTCATCTTTCGCGCCTTCCGTAACGACTGCCGCCCGCGCCTTGCCGATGTGTTCCGAATCCAGGTCATCTCCAACGCCCAAGTCCGCTCGCCCATCCTCACCCTTGGCTCCACCACCTTCAGCCATGTCAAACACGAGAACATATATCTGGTCGCCGTGACGAAGAGCAATGCCAATGCAGCGCTGGTCTTTGAGTTTTTGTACCGTCTGGTGGGACTGGGAAAGGCATACTTTGGCAAGTTTGACGAGGAGGCCGTAAAGAACAACTTCGTACTGGTCTATGAGTTGCTAGACGAGATTCTCGACTTTGGATACCCGCAGAATACCGAGACAGACACGCTGAAGATGTACATCACAACCGAGGGTGTCAAATCGGAAAGGGCTATGGTAGGTTACGTCCGACGCGGCTGGAGCAACAGCTGACAGAACTACAGGAGGACTCGTCAAAGATCACAATGCAGGCCACCGGCGCTCTCTCCTGGCGACGAGCCGACATCAAGTACCGCAAGAACGAAGCCTTCGTCGATGTCATCGAGGATGTCAACCTACTCATGTCCGCCACGGGAACAGTACTGCGAGCCGACGTGAACGGGCAGATCATAATGCGCGCATATCTCTCAGGCACACCCGAGTGCAAGTTCGGCCTCAACGACCGCCTGACGCTGGGCGAAGATCACCTCCAACAGCCATCGGGTAACAAAGCAGGCGCGAAGGCTACCAGGGCAGCGGCGGGAAGCGTTACCTTGGAAGACTGTCAGTTCCACCAATGTGTCAAGCTGGGCAAGTTCGATGCGGACAGGATAATATCCTTCGTGCCGCCCGACGGCGAATTCGAGCTCATGCGCTACCGGGCGACTGAGAACGTCAACCTGCCTTTCAAGGTGCATGCCATTGTCAATGAGGTTGGCAAGACCAAGGTTGAATACAGCATCGCCATCCGTGCCAACTATGGCTCCAAACTCTTCGCAACAAACGTCGTCGTGCGGATACCAACACCCCTCAACACTGCGCGTATCACCGAGCGTACATCACAGGGCAAGGCCAAGTACGAGCCAGAACATAACAACATTGTCTGGAAGATCCCAAGATTCACCGGGCAAAGCGAATTCGTTCTTAGCGCCGAGGCCAGCTTAACGAGCATGACCAACCAGAAGGCTTGGTCACGGCCGCCGCTCAGTTTGAGCTTCTCGTTGCTGATGTTCACGAGTTCCGGATTACTTGTCCGATACTTGAAGGTGTTCGAGAAGAGCAACTACAGCAGTGTAAAGTGGGTGCGCTACATGACGAGAGCGGGTAATTATGAGATAAGGTATGTTTCTTTCCCCCCTAGACCTGGTTGCATTCGTCTTACATTGATGGTTCAGGTTTTGAGCATTATTATTCTGTATATTAGCTTGGATTTACACAAGTGTTGTTGCATTGCAGGCGCCATGGAGCCATTAAAGATATCCTTGAACGCAATGAAAGTACCTCATCGGTTTCTCCAGAATCTCCTCATGCGCTTGTCTTGGACAACATATCCTAGGGCCGACTGCTCAGCCCGCTCCACACAGTCTTGCTTGCAGCACGCAGTATCGCCATGCATCGCATTGCATCGCATCGCATGATGTCTCTCCCTTTCTGGACTGCTTGTAACAATGAACCTATATGGATGTATTTCACGCTTACTACAAACACTGAACATTGAAGTAACTAGAGAATTGGGAGAATATTGATATGTCAATACGTTGCGCGTTGCTTTGGGGCTGTTTTAGAAGCAGATATGGGAAATCGCAACATGTCGCTAAGTCTTCTCATCTTTACTTTTGAGTGTAGTAGTAACACGAGAATGTCGTTCCATTAAGAAGTGAGCTAATGTCATGAGAAGATTTCCTGTTCGTAAGGGCTATCTACCTAACGTGCTCTGAAATCCTGTCATTGGGACTGAAACAATCCTGCTCCGATAAAAGACATCGCAAGACCAGCGCCGCAAAGTCCCCAAACCCCATTGTCGAATCCGTTTGGGCCCCATGCTGCAACCCAGGCATCGGCAACACATACCAGAACCCAAGCCATCGTCAAAGCACCCATCTCTTTGGTCTTGCGTTCGCTATAGAACCAGAACAACGTCAAAGCTGCGGCTACGTCACGGATACCAAGAAAGACCATTGACTTCTCGTTGATTTCATAGCCTTCTCGTGAGGTAGGAACGACGCCGAGGCCCTTTGAGGCGGTAGTTGGCGAGACAATGGCCAAGGTTCCAAGGCTAAAGATCATCGTCGTGAGACCGAGTCCTACTTGACGCCATGTTGATTGGCTTAACAAGTTGTTGGGAAAGGACATTATGAGATGCGTTTTTTTTTTGAAGGAATCGTAGCTTGATCGGAGTTGGGAAGAGAACTTGGAAAGACGTGAAAGTGTAGGACTGTAGCTTTGGTAATCAAACATGGGTGAGGCTATGTCAGTATACTATTTATATAGCCTAAAAGTGAGAGGACGATTGGCGATTATAAATCAAGGATTGGCAGTCGCTGATCGAGCATGTCTTGATTTGGCTACTCTGCTATACTATGCTAGTTTACCGCTCACAAGAACCTTGTTTCTCGGTGCTACTTTCTTCTTTTCCGTTTTCTCCGACTCCTCCGCGATCCGAGCCGGTCTCTGTATTTACAAACGACACTGGCCAGCAAATACCTTGGACTCACTTGCTGCTTAAAAATGCATAATCTTGAGCTTCTCGGACGCCTGGTCGCTCACAACTACGAGCACTAAAATCGCGCATGACGCATGGAAAACACCAAGATCTTGGCACCATTTCAGACAGTCTGGACTTTTGCATTGGGTTTAGACACTGTTATTCGCGAAGATTGAACATGGTGGCTGGCTAAGCACTTTTCTTCATTGCAATCAAAAGAGAAGATTTATGATCCATTTTGAACGACCACCATTATTATTGCAGCATAGTTGAAAAATAAATACAAATGTAGAGATGAGAGGCGATATCAAACTCCCTGCAACATTGCTACCGACCAATCATGCATTAACAGGAATTCCACGGTTCGGCTTGACACGGTGCCAGTTCATATGGGTCAGTGGCGGAGGAGCCACCAGAGGTTTACCACTCAGTTCTCTTGCGTCAACCCAATTGCCATGAATCTGAGCTCGCATGCGCATTGGCAGCTCAATAACTGCTACCGGAGTCTGGAAATCACCTGCGGTATCGAGAATGACAACGTTGGTGAGATTGACATCAAGACGATCGACAGCGAAAATGATGTATCCATCGCCTTCAGGGGCATCGTCAGAGCGCGGAATGTGGACGGGTTCTTGACAACGGCATTGCGGCCCGGGAGAGTAGATCTTAAGCTCCCCCGTGCTCTTGGTGAGCATTGCGGTAGCATTGAGTCCTTGGTAAATATGCTTGTTCTCAAATAGATCCAGACTTCCATCCTCGGAGTGGAATACGTTCATGAAGATTTTGTCATACTTCCTGCATTGGTAACGTTCGTCGATCCGGCAAAACTCGTTCGGAATGTCAACGAGGACAACAGGATCAGGGATGGAAGAGTTTGTAGGCTTGCTTGGATCGATCTCGAGCCTAACCAGATCGCACAGCTCGGTTTTCGCGACGGGTTTCCCGTTCGCCTGTTGCCAAAACGGAAAGTGTCCATGATGGGGCCAAACGCCTTCGAAAAAGATCTTCCCATCCTCTTCCCAGGCTCCCGCTGTGTGCAATATCTCGGAATTGTAAGGATGAGTGTAGATGCGGCTTTCGTATGGCGCCCATCCTGAACCCTCCAAAGGCGACTCCGGACGTCGTGGAGTTACTATGAACATAGCAGGCCGCTCAGTGTCCCATATGATAGGAGAAGCGCCTGGCTCTTTGCTGGGATTGGGGAGGGTCGGCCATTGGCAGAAGACGTTCCAATTATCTGTGATAGCCATGTCATGAACAGTACCGAAATGGGACTGCTTGAACAAGTGCTCATTCTTGACGGTGCCCTGACGATCGATAGAATAAGAAATGATTTCCTTTTTCATGAAGTCAAGGCTGTACGTGACGAGCTCATCAACATGCGGGTCGACGTGTGGATGTGCCGTGAAACTAGTGGTGGTAATTTGGTCGCCAAAGGGATCCTCTCCGGTGGTCTCAAGCGTGTCGGGATCCATACTATACGCTGGGTGTATTTCTACAAGCGCAAGCAATCTTCCAGCCCAGTGAATTATGTTTGTGTTGCTAGTAGCGCCTAGCACAGCACTAATACACGGATGTTGTTGACTCAGCGGTTCGTTTATGATATCTGACCAGAGAGTCTTCTTCGCGTTCCTCTCGATCTTGTATCGGTCGTTGTGAACGTAACGGACTTTGAAGTCGACATGACCATCATGGATTCGGAAAGCTGTAACAGATCCGTTGCCGCCAATGGGACTCAATCCTTTTGGAGCCGGAGTAGCGAGATCCTGACAGACACGATAGAACGTTCCATCAATACTCTTGGGAATCGTTCCGCGCACCATGACGTCCCCAATCTCTCCCTCCAAGCGGATCGGGATATCGAAACCAGCCAAATCTTCCGTGAATGCCCACTGCGATGGCAAACTTTCAGCTCCTTTGATGGGGCGCGGGGTAGTCATCTTTTCGAGGAAGAGGCGGTACAGGCTAGAATAGATTTAAAATGTTTATGGACAAATAGCAGGAAGAGGGTATTCTCAATGTGATGGAGTGTATGATCTTCCTCTTTGCGACTCTAAGATGACTTATATACTCGTGAGCGAATACCTACGCTCATCAGGAGAACCTTGGACTTAGGTTAGTCCGACTGCTGTGAATCTCCATACCCTAGAACCATTACGTGGCTATCACAGCTCGGAGTCCGCGGAAACCTAGGCGGTATGGAGTTGTATAGGCTCACCTACGTGCAAACGCCCCCATATCCATTTCCAGACATCAAAATCGTAGGATTCAAGGTACCGTGTCAAGGGCATGACCAATGAGAGTGAAAGTGATTACACAAGCGTTCTTTGTTTGCATACCTCCGTAATGTAGATTCGGTCAGACCAGCCATCAGGTCAGAGTAGTTGAGGGTCCGCGTGGTAATACCTTGCAGCCTTCATCGAGTGATAAACGTAGGCACTTGCTACAGCAACTTTGGCGCTAATCCGGAACCAGCGATCGAATCCGCCAAGCTTTAACAACGTTAAGAACTAATGCGCAAAGACCTTCTGGTACTTGCACGTCAACAAAGATCGATCGCGCCGAACGTTCAGTATAGACAGGCTTCCTCATCGCTTCAACCTCTGCATCTATGGTAGTTGAAGTCTTGTATATCATGCCCAATGCAGAGGACAGACCTTGATTGTCGCTTCACGCTAGCATTGGATAACGGATTGTTACACATACATGCATGAAGCTATATAACTATGGAATCTTTTAAACTAGGTAGTTTTCCGGGAAGTAAACATCTCTGCTAGCTAGCAGTTTGGCTATCCGTTGAGAGCGCCTGGCTCGGCTGCTACTAAGAACCTGCTCTTGTCTGAACACGCGCAAAGCTGTAGGAAGGGTGAAGAAAGCAGACCAGAGTCCGTGATACTTGAATACTGGCTGCAGGAGATATGAGGTGCTGTCACAGATCATATCGGCCAGAACTAGAAGTGAGTATTCCGCAGAAGCTTCCGTGTATACATTTGTGTGGGTTTGAGAATTATGTCCCTTTGCTGTAGAAGCAATCTGGTGCAAAGCGCTGATATGTGTTCTCACAACAATCTCGAAAGCCCAATAATGCGTGAGACTAGTTGCTGTCATCATATTCGGAAACCAGAGAGCATTCGCACCTGGTAAAGACCAAGTCTCGGGGTCAGACCTTGACCAAAACAAAGGATGCGACACTTGGGATTTGAACGTCTGTTCCCACTCCCGAAGTCTGGAAAGGACGGCGTGAAAATCCTGTTCAAGCTGGTTAACCGTAACAAGGTCCGGAAGGCTCGATATGTGATTGATCTCGCAGAATCTCTCCAATAGTGCCGGAAGACTGCAGGCTCTGTTCAGAAGCTGCTGGATTATGGACACAGGTTGTCCTTGAAACGGCTCAGTGATCCATTCTTCTCGCGCAAGAAATGTTCCATGTCGGTGGAGTATCGAGCTCAATAGCTAGACAACCCCCCAAAAATGATTAGTCCTGTGCTCAGCACACCTATAAGAATCGTTTGTAACCTACAAGCAGAGGTCTAAACCCAATAAACATCGTATGCATTGTTCCAATGCTGAAGGCTGTAGGTCCTAGGCGTTCTAACATGTCTCCAACAGCTCTTACATGTGTCATCCAACCGGACTTTAACTCTGGGGCTATGATCTTCATTCCCACTACGTTAGCCTCCAGACGACGAATAGTATGCAGCGGATTGGAAACATACGTCGGTATCTGCTAAACACATGATCGCAGTAATGTGCTCGATGCTCGATGCGCCTCGCGCTTCTGCTATTGCTCTGCCCATATGCCTAAGCGACTCGCAGTACACCTCGACTATCCGGGGCCGGCACCCTTGTCCATCGACATCAACATCGGAGTGCCGGCGGAGCGCAGAGGCTAACGCCCTAATTGCAGGTACTAGGGGGTAATCTTTGCTTCTGTTTTTGGCAATGAGTGGAAGAACATTAATCCATGCCCCGCAGATTTGATTATACGACAAACTAGGTTCTCCAGAGGTATGTTCATCAGCGGGTGCAAATTGTTCCATGATGAATTGTATGTCGTCTTCAAGGTCATAACAGGATTGACTCTCAACGATGCTCGCCTCAACGGGGAGGACTGGTCCCGTGGTGTCTGAAGGTGAGGCGCTTCGTTGAGTCTTCTTAGCGTGAATTGTATGAGTATCAAGAACCACCGTGGACCTGGCAAACGTGGTCTTCTTCTTTTGTGCTGATTCTGTGCGAACGTTGGTGTTGACAGTGGTGTTACCCACGAATACGAATTCTTGTTTGTATCCGCTGCAACGGATTTGTTTAAACACGCATTGAGAGCATTCTGGTTGCGCGCCATCGCACTTCAAACATCGTTAGCGGATCAACCCCGTACCTGCACAGCAACGACAAGGACTTACGGCAAGCTTTTTAGCTCTACAATTCTGGCACACGTTCTTTCTTTTTGGCCTCATACTGGGAGTTAGAGGGTGGGGTAGATGCCTTACAGTGAAATCTGCAGTAACTATTTGAGGAGTTCTGTTTCGCCAAGACCCTGGGGTTAACCGGAGGTGTCTAGCTAAGCCGCCTCATCGAGCAAAATGATTACTCATTAGACATTGAAGACTCGGCGAATTAAGTGCCTGCATGTAGTTAGCGTGTTCACGCCGTACTCGGTCTAACTTTACTATGCATGGATTAGGGTATCGTCTTGCGCAATGTTCCTATATCTACATTACTCTTGAAACACCAACTTCCTCCTTGCTGTGTGACGTAGGTGCCAGCAGGCACTCACTGCAAATCATGTTGGGCGGTCCGTGTCATTACTGCCTTACATACCTGTCATGCTGTGACACTGGACTTTCAGGGCTATGAACTGATGTACGGAAGATAAGTCATCGGGCTATTAAGGTATGTTTTGTAACGATTGAACATGAGCTTCTATGGTAATATAACCATGCTCTGTACAATTCTGTAAGTTAGATTGATGTAATCTAGTTGTATTGGTGTTTAGTAGAGTACGCCCTTGGTACTGCGGACCTCGCCCTCCCACTGCTTTACCACGGTTGTCGCATGCCTGATAGCAACTGCAAGTGCCTTGAAAGCGCTCTCGGCCCTGTGGTGGTCGTTGTCGCCGCGTATGCAGTCGACGTGGAGGGTAGTGCCAGATGCTTGCGCGAAGCTTTGCAGGCAATGGGGAATCATCTCACAGCTCAAATCACCAATCTTCTCCCTCTTGAGACCCAATTCAATAATGCTGTATGGCCTGTTCGATAGGTCGATGACGGCTCGCGACAGTGCCTCGTCGAGCGGTGCGTACGCGTGTCCAAAGCGAGCAAGACCCGTGCTTCCCTGCAACGCATTCTTGAAGGCCGTACCTAAGGCCAGAAAGGTATCTTCGCTTGTGTGATGGTCGTCAATGTGGAGGTCGCCCTTGCACCGTATGCGCAGACTCCAGCCAGCGTGCTTGGCCATGGCGTGAATCATGTGGTCGAGGAAGCCGATACCCGTGTCGACGGAGATTTCTTGAGACGCCGACTTCTGGGTCGCATGGTCCTTGTCGACCTTCTCACCCTCGCCATTGAGATTCTCCTTGTCGAAGGCGGCCCAGAAGTCGCTGTGCTCGTAAGGGGAGAGGTCGCCGCCATCGAGGTTTATCGAGACCTGGATCTTTGTCTCGTTGGTATCGCGGTTGAGGCAGCAGGTGCGCGGCATTTTGGCGGTGGTGTCCGAGGGGTATGTATGTTTTTGGGTGCTTCGGGTTTACCAATGGCAAAGTGAAGACATAAAAAGTTGAGGCGGACTCAGACGGGCTTCCCCACGCCCCACGTCATGTTGCCAAGCGATATAGGGCTGAAAAAGTCTGGCCAACCAACGATTCGCCGAACCAAAGTCCGCCCCAAAATTTTGATATCGCAAAGTCACGACCCATCTTTAGGATCAAACTTGGGATCAGAATCAACTCTCAGCGCATCGTCCCTCGTCTACCGCCAGCTGGCTATAAAGAGCAAGGAATAAGAACAAAATGCCAGGCACAACACAAGAACCTACCCAAGTTCCAATCATAGATCCTACCTCTGAGAACAACGAGGAGATCGACCCAGCAGTTGATCGCGACAGGATCAGAGTCGTGCGTTGGATCTAGACCAGTGTTCAAGTACACCGTATCTAATTCGCTATAGCTTTCCGGCGCGACGGAAACCGCCGCGTCTTTCCAGTTTGATGGAGAGGATCATACTCTAGGCAACGCGTTGCGATACATCATTCACAAGAAGTAAGTTGAACAAGTCGTTGCAACTTGACAAATAGCTGATGACATTTCGAGCCCCGACGTCGAGTTCTGCGGTTACTCTATCCCGCATCCCTCGGAAGCCAAGATGAACTTGCGCATCCAAACATATGGTAGGTCATACAAACGAGATCGTCCTGAGCGCTCAGCTAACAACCAAGTAGACGGCGTCAGTGTATACACTGTGCTTGAGAAAGGGTTGGAGGATCTCATGAACATGTGTGATGTCGTCGAGCAGAAATTCACCATTGCACGTGATGACTTTGTCAACAAGATGGAGGAGTAGGCCCGCGACGCGGTTGTTATGATAGCATTGCATTACCGGCGTTAAAGGGTAGCATAGTTCATCGGCGAAGGGAAAGGAAAATGGTATTGACTTCAGCTATATACACCGAATTTTGTTCTTGGTTGTTCTTGGACTCTGGTAGTAATAGTCAAATCAGTTGCGACCCTATGCGTATGTTAGCATCGAGCTGCCCCGGAGTTCAAATCAAACATGAACATACCTCCAAGAAGCCGTTGATGAAGTTGTTTGGTAGCCGGGCCTTGGGGTCTTCCTCAGCACGAAAGTACTTGAGAACGTGGGACAGCTGCTTCCAGAAGTTGAGCGTCTCCTGTGCGTTTGTTAGCACATGCCCTCCGAGTATCAAACATAGTGAGTCAGGGTGTACCTGGAACTCCTGGTGACTGTTGAACAGCAGTACATCCACCGTCTTTAGTTGATTCACGTATCGATGCCGCTCAAATTCCTGCCGCATTTTCGTCCGAAGTGTAGATACCGGCATGTTCAGCGAGTACATGGTCTGGATCTCGGGAGCCTGCATAATCATAGTCAGTACGGGTTCCTGGCTCCGCATCTCACGCGTTCCCTCGTCTCGTTCCAGCTGTTCCGCGTACACGTCCAGTATCTAGGACGCAGTTCCTGCTAGTCAAGTTCCAATGACCGGGAAGCAACGTACCGACCGCAGCCAGTCCCGGTAGCTGTGAATGACCCTCTTCTTCGCATCAGTCCAGTTGACCGCTGTGCCCGTGTTAGCCTTTGTGCTCGTCCAATGTTCCGTGTGCGTGTTCGACTGACATGAGCGCGTGCGCTGAGCGAGGTAGGTGGGGTTGATGACCATTTTAGCGGTGTTGCGGAGCTTCCAGTCGTCTCACAGCTTGAGTTGCAGTGACGATGCGGCTCGCGGGTGGAGTGGAGTGCCAAGACCTGACGTTAGCGCGGATTTTACTCCCGGCGCAAGTCGCGAAGTTATCCATTGCTTCCTTCTCGAAATCACCTTCACCGACAACGTCATTGCAGGAAATCGCAAGCTCGGCCGCTTCCACTGCCACACAAGCTACTCTCGCTGACACACGCGCCAAACCCGTGACGGTCGACCTTCCACAGCCTGCCCAGCCATGCCTCCAGTCCGCACCGCACGCGCCTCGCGCAAGGCCCCGCCAGAGGGCTTCGATGACATCGAGGACACACTCCTCGAGTTCCAGAACAAGATGAAGGATGCTGAGAATGCATCGCATGAGGGCAAGAAGAAGTACGAAATGACGTGGCCCATCTTCCAGATCACCCACCAACGTTCGCGCTACATATACGACCTATACTACGAGAAGGAGGCTATCACCAAGCAGCTATATGATTACCTGCTCAAGAACGGATATGCGGACGCCATGTTGATTGCCAAGTGGAAGAAGCAAGGCTACGAGAAGGTAGGACAACTCTTACCACGCAGCTTGCCAGCCCAAATCAAACTAACTCAGTGATAGCTATGCTGCACCCGCTGCATTCAGACCAAAGAGACAAACTTCCGATCGACCTGTATCTGCCGTGTCCCTAGGGATCAGCTCAAAGAGAACCAGGAAATACAATGCGTAAACTGCGGCTGCAGAGGATGCGCTTCCAGTGACTGAGCACCATGATGAGGAGAACGTGCGAAGATAGTCATACTTTCACCCAAGGCGGAGACGCCCTCGATATTCTGCAGACACTGCCTGGGAGGACTGCAAAGACGCACACATGCGTTCACACTAGAGCAAGGACTTATCCACAGGCACGACACCTCTAGATGCCGCATCAGACAGGCCAGAGAGATCGTACACATGGATGCATTTGAGAACATGATGGTCAAAACAAAGCATAGGGTGTGTCTATTGACCAGAACATAATAATTCAATTGTTAACATGTTTACAGAGAAAAGTGAGTGAATGAAGGTATCCCCAACCTGGACGCCTGTAACCTATGGGGTATAGTGAACCACTACAAAAGTCGTCCAGTCGTAAGAGAAGACCTATCGCAGTCCTGATTTCCGCCCATCTACCACCTATTAACCAAAACGCCTTGCCAAGACCTTAAAACACTGAGCTTGCATCGCTCCTTCGCTTGTAGTCTGCGCTACATTGTGATCTCCTATTCATATCCCGACCGAATCTCGATGACGGCAATGAATTGAGGATACCCTGCCGCCTTACCCACGCGGTTGGTGGTGGTGACGGCCAGAGTTCTGATATTTCAGACCCCAAGCTTCTTCTGAGGGTATCGCCTCGCTTTAGTCGGAATGGACTTGACCCATCAATAGGCGAGTCTCGACCAGAGCGAATCTTTTCTACCTTTATGCTGCGTGGCGGTGTCCTCAGCGTCTCGAGATCATCGTCTTGATTTCGATCTATCGATCGAACGAACTCCCTGCTTTGACCGAGAACTTGCGCTTCTCTGTGCCGACCGTCGTAGATGTGAGTGCTGAATGCGGCCATGTCGAACACCTTGCTTCCTCTCCGGTCACTGTCTAGTGACGGCAAGCGTGTGACATAGTCTTTCTCCGGGACCGGAGGTGGTGATTCCAGATCTTGACTCATTCTCCGCGCCTTTCGTCTGCGGCACCAGAAAACGGCGAAGATGCAGATTGCGCACGAGGCGATTATGACGGGTATCATCCCGAGACCGATTTTTGTTGCGGAAGACATTCCTCCTGCTTGTGGTACGGATCGTGCTGATGTGACTGGCAATGTGGTTGAATCTATGGCGACTGCCCTTGCTAACGATGGTGGTTGCGTTGAAGGTCGAGTCGGTGGTGCGTTCGGTACGCTGGCGTCGAGGGTTGGAGTTATTAGTGCTGTAGTATCTGCGCGAGCCCGCACATGAGGTATATTAAGGAAAGTGTTCATGCTCGGTGGCAATGTATCTTCGCTAAAACGAAGCAATGAAAATTTTAAGAATAGTGATGAATGACAGGAAAAGATACGGCCATGCTATGTCCAGGATCTTTTGGTGGTGTATTAGGGATGTCGATGAGCTGTTTCCTTCATCGCATATCGAACGCGGACATGAAACCCAGCAGACAAAGCCGCCTTTGTAGAATACAATGAAGCACGGTCAAGCACTATCTAGCCGTGCTTTCGAAGATGACTACCACACTGACCACTAGATTATTATCGATTTGCGTAATCCGCTTGGTCCCCGGTGGTCGAATGATGAAACGCAAATGTCGAACACAGTCTTACAACACAGCCTTCGGAAGCGATTGCTGCATACTGGAGCCAATCAGTGCTGCATTTTTCTTTCCCACCCAGGTGAGTACGCAGGAGGGGCATCCACTCAGAGCATCCTACCCTATACAATATCAGAAGTGTTGTTCTCTCCTTAAGGTACCTAGGTAACGTCTGCGTTCGCATTAACATGACATGCCTTTCTTTTGCGCGCATAGATTATCGTGAAGTACCGACTTCCTTCCGCACACGCAAATGCCAGAACCCAATCGAACAAATGTCATCATCACGCTCATCTTCTCATCTGCTCAGACACCATAGAATCAGATCAACACGACTAACACGCTGATTGATATCAAATTACCATATGCTCTAGGATATCGGAAAGCCTAAACTTCAACACCGATGTTGGGGTTCTCGGAAGGGTTAGCGTGGTGCACGGGATACGCTACTTGTAGCGTCTCCTTGTTCGTCCTTCCACCCGTCCCTCCACAGGACTGAGGCTGAGCATGGTCTCTCGAACGCCATATGCTCCTCGTAGTCTTTGTCTGCGTCTCTTTCACCCGGAGGATGTGCAAAGGTAAGATATCTCCTCGTGGCAGTTTTCCATAGGTGAAACGCAGAAACGACGCACATGCATTCTCGACCACGTTTCTCGCCGCACCTGCATACGGGAAGATGAAGAGCTGACATGCTGTGTGCATCTGCGGGATATCGAAAGAATACAGGGCCTCTGGCAGTCGACATGTCCGAGATGATGACATATTTTCGGCGTTATGTGTACGCACTTGGGCCGACACGGAAATGTTTGTCCAGGAACATACCCAGGTACACATCGTCCCCTTCTTTGGTCTTTGATCCCTCTCCCTGCCCTTTACCTGGCAGAAAACGACACATCGTAGATTCCACAATGAAACGTAGATTATGAAATGCTAGGGAGCAAGCATACCTTCGAATGGATGCAAACTTGTTCGATTACGAGGTGTGTTCTACATATCCTATGTGATCGAGGTGACCCATCACAGGCTACAGAATATTAGCTTCTACAAAAACACAGGGACAGTGGACTTCTGAAGCAGAGGATCGAGTTTGCGCAGCCCATAAGGATTTGTTCGATTATGCGCTCCACGATGGCCTTTGCCTTGCTGCATTCGGTAGGGAACTCAGAAGAACCTCAGAAAACAGCTTCAACAGGCGAACGCTGTCAGTGAATATACGACTTCATCCTCTGCACTGCACTCGGTGAACTTGTGGTATCTGTGGTAGGCAAGGCTGCTAGGGCAGACTATTTTGAGACACTGGGGGAACCGAAGCAGACATATCTCGTTTCACAGAGGACATGTCGAGTGGTAGATATCGCGTGGAAGACACAACCACGGTGACGCAATGTTGGCGAAACAGCCGCTTTTTGGCCAAGTTATACCAGCATGTCATGCTGCCAGTCTATTTTAATAGGGTCAAACATACCAAAACCTTGTCGCACATGTAGGTTTACGCTATTCTACGCTGCTTAATGTGCACAAGGAAATGCTCGCAAGATGGCTCCTTACCTGGCGCTTTCCGGATGCCCTGCCAATACTAATTAATACAGCTCGTAAGAACTTAGTTGTGCTGGGTTCTTATCATTCGTCATCTATAATTTCAAAGGAGCAGGGCTGACGAAACAAGACCGAGGCCGAGTATGAGGCCAAGATGCCATGTCAAACAACTGGGTCCGCCTGTTTCATATGGCGCATTCCAAGACAACCAACATTGGTATCTAACATTGTTTGTACCGCCCAAGCGCGTAGATAGCATATAACATGTAAAGAGGCCTCATAAATCGAAGTGCTCCATACTCGTCAATTCAATAGTTAGCAATCATGATGTCCTATACTTCGGAGAAAACGCCGCTCCTCCCTGTCGTCGAACGCACACTCGATGCCTACATGAACAAGATCGACCAACGCCATCGTGAAGGCGTCGAATACGCACTGCTGGTGTCCACTCTGTTGCTTACCGTCTTCCAAGTCGTGGTCCTCTACAGCGGCGACAGTCTTGTGTCCATAGCTCTGGACGGCCAATACTACGCCCTGGTGGCTCAACTCGCTCGCGGCCTGCGCATGTCGATCCCCGCCAGTCTGCCCACAGCAGCCATATTTTTCATTGTCGCGCCCTATCTGGCGCAAAAGGAGCGTGTCGTGATGACGCGATACGCGATTCTCGTCTGTTATTTGATGGGCTCGACGCTGGGCGCGTTGTTGCTCTAGACGCGCAAGGGTCTTGACTCGACTTGGCTCGCGTGGAGATCGGCGGGGAGCGATAACGGCGGAAAGTCGCATCCTGGAACTTTTTGGGCAGCTTCAATCGCAAGACTCATAGGGCGCAGGACGTCAATTGGGTGAGTCAAAAGATACAAGGGGTACAAGAACATCTCCAGGTATGTTTGGTCCTCGCATTAGGCTCCGCCAGGCATCATCTTCACGAGAAGGTCTCTGCGTCCTTGCAATTGTCGCAAACAGCGACTCGAGAGACAACACATCTGACAGTTTCATCCAGTCATGTCCCTCACACGCCCCAACCCTCGCCTCCTCAGCCGTACAAAGCGCATTTTCACCTCGCAGATACGAACATATGCTGCGCCAGGTGACGGTGTGATCCCCCCTGCGAAGAAGAAGTATGTCCCAACCTCGGGCACATATCCACTGGGCTTCAAGGCTGGAAGTGCACATGTTGGTGTCAAGGCGTCGAACACCCGCTTCGACGATCTTGCTCTGATCGCATCTGATACACCGTGCGCAGGAGCTGCTGTCTTCACCACAAATAAGTTCCAAGCGGCTCCTGTGACCGTCAGCAGGGATATGCTGAAGAAGAGGAAGGGCGAGGGAATCAGAGCTGTCGTGGTAAACTCGGGCTGCGCCAATGCGGTGACAGGACGTGGAGGCATCGAAGATGCTATATCCATGGGCAAAGAAACTGACAAGTGCTTCATACAAGACAAGAACGGGCAGGATGACCTGAAAGGAAGCCGGAGCATCGTTATGAGTACCGGTGTCATTGGTCAACGTCTGCCCATTGACAAGATCACATCAAAGATACCCACTGCATACTACAACCTAGGAGATACACACGAACACTGGCTCGGCACCGCACGCGCAATTTGCACGACCGACACATTTCCCAAGCTCGTCTCAAAGACATTTACACTACCAAGCACTCAACAAGAATACCACATCGCGGGTATGACTAAAGGCGCAGGCATGATCCATCCCAACATGGCCACTCTTCTAGGCATAATATGCACAGACGCACCCGTCGCCCCCTACTTGCTCCGTCAGGCACTCGTCTCTGCAATCGGAAAATCTTTCAACAGCATTTCCATCGACGGTGACACATCCACCAACGACACAGTAGCTATCTTAGCCAACGGTGCCGCGGGCGGCCAGCCTATCAACTCCGCTGATTCTCCAGACTTTGCAGCTTTCCAAAAGGTTCTCACAGACTTTTCGATTGACCTAGCCAAGTTGGTCGTCAGAGATGGAGAAGGTGCGACAAAGTTTGTCACCATCAAAGTAACAAACGCTGCGTCCTACAAAGACGCGCACCGCGTAGCTTCCACCATCGCGCGCTCGCCACTCGTCAAGACAGCCTTGTATGGAAAGGATGCGAACTGGGGCCGTATTCTGTGTGCGACAGGCTACGCAGAGGGTGTTGATTCAGTGGTACCTGAGGAGACAAGCGTAAGCTTTGTACCCACAGACGGCAGTGAGGAGTTGAAGCTGCTTGTCAAGGGTGAGCCAGAGCAAGTCGACGAGAACAGGGCAGCCAAGATACTAGAGGCAGAAGATTTGGAGATTAAGGTTAGGTTGAGCGAAAAGGAAGGAGAGGAAGCTGTCTTCTGGACATGTGATTTTAGTCATGAGTACGTCACTATCAACGGCGACTACCGGACATGAGGAGATGTAGTCATGATACTTTGATGAAGCGATTGGCGTATTGCTGCAGCTGAATTCTCCATACCATGCATTCTGTTCCATGTTAGGACTATCTAAGCTCAAGGCCTTTAACCACACAGGTCTTTGTTGAGCATATATGATTTTGAAATCGGATGATGACTACATACGACCATAGGTAAAGGAAGACTCTGGATCCCGTCCGCTGTCCACACGATAAACCCTTAACCGGCGGATTAGTAGTCAGGTGGGTGACCACTGGCGAATCCCCGCTGTTGTATGTTTTTTGCACAATCTTCACTTGCCATATTCTTGCTTCCGCCCCGATTCTATTGTCATTGAGCTAAATAGACAAGTAGGCCAAATGAAGGTACGCTTGATGAAGCATAAATTGTAGAATTACGAGAACGTGCCACTCGCATGCTTCCGGCTCCCCTCAGAGCACATAGGTATCTGGTCAATCCAAGGTTCAGATAAGGGCACGTACGTATACGAAGAAGGCAAGCTTAAAGCGTAGACCACGTTGCCACGACACGTTACTTCTTCTACCTGATTGAGAAATTCTGCTTTGGGCCACTACGGGTATGTATGTACTATGTACTTACTACATGCTGATCATGCACTGACGCACAGACGTCCGCACAGCCATCGTATGCTTGGTAGTGTTTACCTCTGTTGATCACGGAAGCGGATGTATACAGTTCCATGGCGCGCTATTACCTTGACCTACCGAGAGTGCCGACATATTTGCCCTAGGCTTTAGCTGCGTAATCCGTTTGTGGGGTAACGACAGACTAGAAAGGTGGGTTGCATATGCATATGCAGGTGCATCTACAGCAAGGACGATCGTGACTAGTGTCCCAAGTTTTGCAATCATACACGGGGGGCCGATAGCCCGAGGGTAGTATATCCCGCGCGAAACGAGGAGTGATGCTTGCTTTTTGCGGGTAGAACGGTGTTGTTGGGACGAATGGGCTTTCGTTGAGAGGAGAAGAGAAGAAGAGGGGGTACCGGAAAAGTAAGTCTGCGGAGAATTAATTTCAGGAGTACTACTATTGGTTGTTTTCTAGGTGCACGTTTGTATGTTTGTATGCAGCATAGATCGTGCCATTAGAGTTCCTATTCAGTCATACAGACTGCTTACAGTCTCAGTCAGCGTATAGCAGATCAGAAGGAGGCGTATGATAATTGTAACTAGGCAGTGAACCAATTCACAGACTGAGGTGTAAGCATGGTGGATATAGTGTTAGGGATCAAGAAACATGTTCAATTCGCTGAATGAGAAAGACTATAATATCCGCTACGTTCAGGCATGTTCGCGTTCTCGTCCGCATCGTGATTACGCCATATAAAAATGACCATCTCCGTTCAAGCCCAATGTCCAGCTCAATATATCATTACGCTTGCATCGCTCGCTAAGAAACAAAATCCCAAACACCGTAGTAAACACAGCAGCAGGCGTAATGTGTACGTCCCATGTGGCCTTGCAACGCCTCGCCTAATGAGAAGATATGTCAAATTAGACTTTATAAGTAGAGGGAGCCAGCCGTTGCTATCGTGGGTATCGTTGGTCGTTACATCGTGAGTCGGAATTATCCAATGGATAATGCAAAGAGGGAGGGGTCGAAGTGATGACCTGGGGAACCGTGATATGGAGGGCCAGGGGGAAAGAGCTAAAACATGTAGTCGCAAGATGAGGGGTATCGAGAATGGCGAAAGAGGCATCCAGATCCAGGAGATGAGATCCAGGAGTAGAGCAAAAGATTAGACGAAAACCAAAAGCCAGTGACAATGGCATCTTGGTAGTTTGCTTAGAAGCGAGTTGTTGAACTGCGGGCCAAGCCCGGTCTCGCAGCCTTCTTCTGTGGCGAGCCGTTGGGTGCGACAGCCAATGTTCGCGCTCCTATCTTCTCAAAACCCTGAAGCAAGTCAATACCTGGCTCAGACTCGTCACTGTGCAACAAGTGGAAGATGTCCTCATCATCCTGCTGCTGCGGCTTCGCAGGAACATGGAAGGATTGAGGAGGCGTAAGACCCGAATGTGTGTTCTCTTTGTTTGGCTGGGGGAGGGCAAACTCAGAGAGAGAGGGAGATGTAGTAGACTTCAACATGGGAGCTTTGATGGGTGACATTTTCTTAGCAGGTGATAGGTCTGGGATGTTGAGGAAAGAGGACGACATCTTCCAGTTGGGTGTAGGCGAGTTGATCATGTTGCTCTTGGCGCCAGTAATGTCAGCGAGGACACCGCTTGTGGTGACCGCACGCTCAAGACGGGGACGCTTAGCAGATCGCTTTAAAGGGCTTTCGTTGTAGCCAAAATCTCCAAAGATGTCGAAGGTACTCTCGAAACCGTGGCCAACAAGGTTGACATTCTCTTCGTTGGGGATCGATACAGCCGGGCTCCACGCCTTGTTATCAAGGAAGGAAGTGTCAACCCACATGGCCAAGCTCTTATCCGGTGAGCCACCTACTAGTTCTCGCATCTTATTGCGATGGTTGCGTAGGTTGGTATTGGGTGACGCGGAAGCGGGTGGGAGGGCAGGACGCTTGAAGACGATAGCAGGGGTAAGAGGGTCGAGGACCTTGCCACCCTGACGAACCGGCGACGAGATGACAGGTTGCTTCGTGTGAGACCTTGTCTTGGTGGGAGAGTCGTAAGAAGAGCCACGTATGCGGGCAATCTCTTCTTCAGCGCGGCCACGTTTGAGGTTAGGGCGATCGAGATCCGCTTCGGAGGTGAGTAGAGGTCCCATCGGGTTACCCTTGGTCGCAGACGATTCAATAGAAGAGTAGTAGCCGCTGTCACCAAGGCCGTTGAACTTGCGCCTGCGTCCGCCCGAGCGGCTGTTGGGAGGGAAATGTGGAGCACGTGGCGGTGTGTCCTCACGAACCGAGCGGGATCGGGAGACAGGTGGAGGCGGTGAGGAGTGGATGTCGGCTGGTGGAGGTGAAGATGGCATTTGACGGGGCGGCGGCATGCTAATAGGATCATGTCCATCATGAGCAGCCGGGTCGGAGCAGGGGATGGTAGCCTCGGAAGAAGGTAGCTCGGCCTCTTCCGGAAATTTGCTCGAGTCAAATCCCTTTGTCGAGCTCATGGGTGGGAAGCTAGCTGACATGGATGTGGACGGGCGCGGGAGATCACTGGCATATGCCGGAGCAAGAGGTTCTGGATGAGCCGGTCGACGAACAGGCTTGACCTTGTGATACTGCTTCTCGAACCCAGCGTTGATGACCCAGTAATGGCCTTTTCCAGGGTCGTCCTTGGGGCGCTCTTGCTTAGAAAACGATTTGCTCAGACTGAGATTGTGACGGATGCTGTTTTGCCATCCTGTCTCCTGGGAGTTGCGGTAGAAGGCGAATGTGTCGGAGATCCATTTGTAGATCTGGGCGAGGGTTAATCGACGGCTCGGTGCTCTTAGAATGGCCATGCCAATGAGCATCGCGTAGCTGTAAGAAGGCTTGTTTCCGTCGTCCTCGATGGTGGGCATTTGGTCTGGGTTGGGTAGTGGTCCGTCTACCTCTTCGATCTTGATGTCCTTGACGAACTTCTGTTTCTTGCTGATGTTCATGTTGGTGCGATCGCGTAATGGGGCAGCGTCCATAAGTGGTCGCTTGCTCCCTTGCTTCATGAGCGGCTCTGCCGCTGACAGGGTGGACATGACTGGGCCGGAATAATACGCGTTCTCCTTGTCCATGTGGGAGGGATAGCCGGACCAGTACTGAATATCGCCGACCATTGGGTGCGAGTCCTGCGAAGACGCAGCCTGGGCCTTCTTGTTGGGCGCGTCGGTGCGAAACCACTGCTCTTGCGGCGGCGGGATCTTGAGGGTGTTGAGGCCCTTCTCGACGAGGGCGCTGGGTGGAGGAGAACTGGAGACTTGGCGGGTCTTGCGGGGCGATGCTTTGGCGGTGAAGGGCGCGGGAGGGGCGAGGAGCGTGTTTGAGTTGTTGGACACGTCGGTGATGGACGTGAAGGCGTCGAGGTAGCGTGGGTCAAAGGCGTTGATCTGGTGGTGGTCGTGAGGCTGCACAGGGTCCTGAAAAATCTGCATGGAAGGTTGTCGACGCGCTGCAGCCATGGCGAGACTCAGCTACAAGGGCACCAACAGCCTTGTATAGTCTCTCCAGACGCTTTGACGCGTGAAGTCGCGTTTAGAAATGCAAAATGGGTCCGTCGAGGCGACTAAGCACGGTCGGCGGGTGCGGTGTTGACTAAGATTGCGGTGACGAGGGCCAAGTGGGTGGTGAAGTCGGCGGCCAGGTGTGGGCTGGCAATTGTCGGAGGGAGTAGGCTGCCTGTCATGTGCGGTGCAATTCTACGTGACTCTGTGAGAAAGGAGCTCCTTTGAGGGGGTGTGGGCTGCTATCTAACCTGTGCTGATGCGATGAGGCAGCGGAGCAATTCGCTTAAGGGCGCTAAAAAGTAACCTCTGACGACAGTAATGCCGGATCTGCAGCGGGAGGGCGGTGTGCGTTTTCTTCTGATAGCAGATAAATTGAGGGTTGGGGCAGGAGAGATGCAAAGACGCGAAGAGGACGCTGAAACAAGAAGACAGGAAGAGGAGCGTCTTAGCCTGCTACTCGACCGCGGAGAGGAAAGCGGGCAGGACAAGAGCAAGTAGGCAGGCTTGGAGGCAGCTGCAGCGCACCTTCCTTGGCTGCCACCGCAAACGCACCTGCAAGGAAGGAGCAAGGGAGCGCGGCCAATGAGGCCGTCCGAGCACGCGTTCCCTCTGATCGATCGCACGTCATGTCCCATCTCGCCCAGGAACAACCTCGTGCCGGCAATTACACTAGCCAGCTGTTTGCAGTGGGCGTGCACCGGTAAGGCTGCTGCTGCTACCATTGACGCCCATCTGGAACCCGTTGCTTTTGCCCGCCGCGACACGTCGAATCCAACGCCTGCGGCCACGCCTGGGGAAGCCTCCGCCCTGCAAGCGCCTGCACAACGCGCCGGTGAAACAACAGATTCGTCGACGCCGAGTACTCTACAAGCCGGTGGTTAACAGCTTTCGTATGCCTAGGGGACATGTCCCGGGGCGTGCTGCACAGCCTATCGAGTGCCAGACAGTGGCACAGTCTGATCCGAACACTAGGGGCGCATGAAACTCGACAAACGGCACCCTGGTTCTTAGGTGCAGCTCAGCTCAACCACTAAAGCCACAGGCCGACACCCTAGGGGCACGCTGTCCACGCTGCATAGCTGCCCTCGCGGTCCAGACGCGTCCACACAAACTACCACAGACACCTCATTTCGATCTCTCAACTCCAGCGCACGGAACTCCTCCTGCATCGCGATCGCGAACTCGCAAAGGAGATGAAATGCCATCTGGTCGACTACATGCGCGAAAACTCATCTTGGCTCACTACGTGAAAAACGGGTAACTCGTCGTAGTGCGCTCCGAGTATGCCGTCTTGATGCGAGGAAGCCTTCGCTACCATGCTTCCGTGTCAGCTTACCCCAGTACTGTACCCCACCCAACAGTCATCACGCATGTACCGTATCCGGAGTACCCATTTACACATGTCTAGCTCACCACTTCTCTCTTGTTCGGTACCAAAGATCTTTGTCCTTGCGGCTCAGCTCCTGTTGAAAGGCGCAACGCTCTGGTCCGGGCTAGACAGCCGTCAACAAACGTCTGTGGTTCCATTAATAACCTCCTAAGCGAGTCTTTACAGATCACGATGCGGAGCCTCCTCCGTGATTAGCAACGTGGGGCGGACGGCTCATCATGGTGATCAGCGGGTAGCCGCAACTTCGACCTCAACAGTGTCTGTTCTCTACGCGTCTGAGCCTGCAAACAGGTTTGTATAACCCGGCCGGGAAGTGTATTTCCAAAGTGGAGGGTCGCCAGCTGGTCGTTTTCGCAGCTTGCCTCACTTCGTCCGTAGCTCACCCGCCCGACGTTACCTGTCTGATCGGAGCCCAAGTTGTAGCCGGTACTCCACGGAATTACAATTCTATAACCAATCACGAAAATTGCATTTTGATAATCCTCCGTTGTGAAACCGTGAGGCCAAAGTCTAACCCACCAAGATTTGAGCCAGATACTGCCAGAGCCCAGAACGTTGGAAAATGAGTGACATGTGCGATTACCGAAAGTCTATCTCTCACAGCCTTACCTGCCTGGTAACCCTACATCCTCTCATTCTGATCTTTTCACCTAGTTGCACAGTTGACATATCTCCAAACGGTATGCCCACCAGTCATGCTTTAAAGCGTACACGAACATGTCAAACACTAAATCGCTCACACGGCCATTTACTAAACTTAAAAACATGCTCTGTCGGGAGATTTCTTGACCCTTCCTATTACCTACATACAAGTCCATTGCTCCGGCCGTAAATATCATTCTCGTTCTGCATGGGACTGCCTGCAGGGTCAGGTAGGGCAAGGATACTTAAAGATGTCGCGATTGGAAGAGGACTGGAGCCGCTGGGTTAGATTGTCAAGCATGAGATTAGGTATGTATCCCTAGTGTATTTGACGGTGTCATGTGCCCAATGTCCAGGGCGTTTGATGTACTTGCGCCCAAGGCTGGAATTCGCACCATGTTCACTGGACCAAAAGCTTGTAGGAGTCTTGACGTGATCTTCGTGTTGGAATCATCATGCTGCCTAAGTGATGCAAAGTGAAGATTTAAGCTTAAATGGAGTTCGTTACAAGGCGTAGATGTGAAATGGGAAGGCCTGGAGCCTGCTGACGCTGGACAAACATGATGCGTGTGGGAAAACAGTATCAATGGCCAGGTTTGTGCTGGTGGAAGCTATCGTCGTTTGAGTTGTGATATTAAAAGGTTCGTGAGGCAGATCAATTGTAGCAACGAACTGATATTACATCAGCTGTGTCACATCCAAGGTAACGGGAAGACGCATGAGGCGCAATTTGCAAGGCTTTGTAGTCTCAAAAGTATGGATGTTACGGCAACAATAACAGCAAAAGTTTCGAGAAATAGTCGCAAATGTGACCTATGAGGTGTTTGACTTAGTGCCACTCCTGATGCCAACCAGTCTTGCCGTTATCTCAGTATATTGCTATAACCATGCTCTTCCATTGTTGTGCAGTGCTATGAACATGTCTTACATGCGACGGACAAGAACCAAAGTCTCCGGGCACCAAATCGCGTTGTCATTCCTATTAGAGACTTGTTCAACAAGGAGCTATGAAGAAGGCGCGAGAGTCGCTACGAGCGACAGGACCCCATGTTGTGGAAGACGACAGTTAAGATATAATTGAAGTGAAGAAATTGGGTATCTAGGTACAAATGCACCGAAATGGTCTATCCTTTATTCCCACCAACAGTGCTCGATAGCTCAACCGCCGCGTCTAGTTTCATATGGTCTATGTGTAAAATTCAAACAAAGTACGTGATCAAATGTCGGCGTGTGACCATTCCTCTAAAGGTCTAACAGGGTAGATCACCTTCGGGACCCGATCCTTAGACCTGGTACTCCCTTCAAGCCCATCTTTCCAACGGTCGACTTCTCCAACATAGGCGGCTCTGGGCAGCCCATCGTCCTCGCATAATCATTTGCAAGACGAACCAAATCCGCTGTACTGATCTGCAGTTTCTTGACGAAAGTCTTGTTGTAACCAAGGAATGCCTGGTACGCCTTTGACTTGGCTACTTCATCGACGTTAACGAAAGCTCGGTCGATGTTCGCCTGGTGCGAGGGAAGACGTGATACGAGGTCGACAGGGTAAGGGTTGATGGGCAACGTCTTGTTGATCCTGGGGAAGAAGGCTTCTTGCTCGAAGAGAAGGAGAACAGCGCGCCCATCTTTGCCTGCACGAGCCGTTCGGCCAACTCGATGAACATACTGGTCAGTGCTTGAGGGAAGACCCAGTTGGACAACTAGACCAACATTGGGGAAATCCATGCCTCGACCGACAACATCAGATGCGAACAGAATGCCACTTTGAGCATCCTTGAAGTCCTGAGTTGTGCGCGTACGAGCAGGCTGGGACATGCGGCTGTGCAACTCAAACATTTTAAACTGCGGCAGCGCATTTCTGTATAGATCGTAGAGTAGACCAACGCCGTTCGCGGTGGTACCGAAGACAATGGCCTTGAAGTCGGCAGGGTTCTGATTGTATTCCTCTTCGATCAAAGCCGACAACGCAGGGAAAGTTTGACCAACAGTGGGAACAGAGTAGAAAAATTGCGGTACGCGCTCGTGGGTCGGCACTTCGTTCGGGTCGACTGTCGAGAGGTGTGTGTAACCAGGGAACAGGACAATCTTGGCAATATCGAGAACTTCTTTGGGCAATGTAGCAGAGAAACACATTCCTTGCCAGCCATCGTTCTTTGGTGGGATGCGCCTCAGGATCTTTTTGACCGCAGGTGCAAATCCGGCATCAAGCATTTGGTCCGCTTCATCGAGGATGACCGTTTTCAAATCAGAAAACTTCTCGCGAACTTGCTCTTCGCCTAGGATGTCGTCAAGACGACCAGGGGTGGCGACCAGAACGGTAGGATTACCATTCATGAAGGCTTTGAGATTCGAGGCACGAGAAGTACCGCCAAACGCAGTGTGGCACTCCATCTTCTGGGGCAGACACGCTGTAACGCCATTGCACTCCTTCGCTATCTGTAGAGCCAGCTCGCGCGTGGGACAGACGACGAGGATGGCGACCTTGCCTCTTCTAGGCATATTACCCGCTAGGAGGTTCTGAATCGCAGGGAGCAGGAAGGCCACGGTCTTGCCCGTACCTGTCTTTGCCTGTACAACGCAGTCGGAGGATAGTGTGGGTAGCTCGGTGAGGACCTTTTGTTGGACTGGAGACATGAATCTGCAACAGTTAGCAACGGCGCCGTCAAAGAGCAATGTGTAAAGACGTCTGCTTACTCGAATCCCATCTTATCCAAGCCATTCAGCAAGGCTGGATTCAGCTTGTTCTTCAGATCGGAAAAAGGCTTCGGTGCCGCATCGCCAGCCGCGGTGCTGTACATCTGCCGCACGTCGACACCGGTTTCGGCTTTCGCCTGCGAATCCTCAACTCTGGGACGTTTTGGCTGCTGCGACATGGTTGAGCGAGGATTCGTGGGCCCGCTGCGCCCAGGGGCACCGTTCGCACGATCGCCGCCACCGCCGCCGCCTCGGCCGCGAGGCCATTTGCGCTTGGGTGGTGCAGACATGACTGAGGGTTGTGCTGGAAGTCGGGTGTAGTGTCTGTGTTGAGTGAGGGGGACGACTGTTGAGGTGTGGCTATATCTTATATTAGTTGCTAGAGACAGGCGCGACGGAATGAGGCGAGCAAGAGCAAATGTGCGAGATGGAAGAGAGCGTGAAACTAGTTTCATTATCTTCATTCGTACATACAAAATAAACCCCACAGGAAGACCTAGAGAGAAGTAAAGAGATCGAGATGTTGTGACAGGATGGATACTGAAAGTGTGCGAGCCGTTAGTTTGTTTGCCGCGAAAAGTTCATTACACGACGTCAGTCCGTGCTTCTTCTATCCACATACTGAGTCATCATCCTGCTTACCATCATCTCCACACACTTAAGAATTTACTGGCCCTAGCATGACAGCCATTCGGTCACGCAGAGTCGTGAGCACTCGCTGTGGCTTCTCTATTGTCTGCTTTTCGATCGCATCCACGCCGGGTGCCACAGCGTCTATGTCGATCCATTGTCGTGTTTGCTCAATCTGTCTTTATTGTGGTATGTTCGCCCAAGGCTCGCATGCGAGCTTTCATGGGCATGCTGTCGTAGCAGAACTCGATAACAAATAATTCGTACCTTCTGTGCGTCTCATAATACATGGTATACAACGTATGAGGGTGCTATCGGCACGGCTGACCTTAGATACGATGTTGACAATGGCAAAGTCTCCATTTATCTTAAAGGCTTACTCTTCTGATTAGACATTTAGAGATGCCTAGTAAAGGCTCCCTAGAGATTAGCACTGCCCCTTGCTAATCGTTGGGAAATAATCACTAGAGCCTACGAATAGACGACAACGCTTTCGGAACGTATATACTGCCTGTGTGGAAGAGCCACAAACAACCATACCATGTTTCACGGCTTCTTGATCATGGGCTTATTGACATACATAGATCTACGCTGAAAGCCGTTTCTTGGCGGCGAAACCTACCTAAGTACTTCTTTATCGGCGCAAACGTCGACAATCTCATCAGCAAAGCTTGCATCTACCTCTATCCAAAGCAACACATCAACCCATTCAACAGAGACCTGGAATTTCCACCCAATAGACATGGAGCAATAAAATTAGCCCTTTCTCAATGAATGAGAACTTCTCGTCATGTCGACAAGAGATACGGTGAGGGTGTTAAGTCGGTCGAGAAACGCACCTCGATAGTGGAAGTAGACTTGCCCAGCCTGCTCAACGAAAATGAGGAGAACTGGGCATGATACAAGACAACTTCACCAACACGGAACTTCGCCTTACACCCCCTGCCTCAAGTCATGTATCAGCCCTTTGCGTTCTTTGTCCACATTGCTATCCAACATTGTGTAAACCAACAGCAGATCATCGATTGCGTTTACGAGGGAAGCGGACCAGCTAGCCTTAGTGACATCTAACAGCATCAGGTTCTTAAGTAGAAGCAGAGGATACGGGAGAAGAAGGAGCTAAAGAAGACTGAAAGAGGAGAATTGAGCAAGTGTGGAAGTCCAGTGAGGGGATAGCTAATGCATACTATGGGAAGTGAACTATGTACACTTTTGGCAGGCTAACTGACCGTGGATCGAATCTATATGAGGTACATAGCGTACGAGGAATTGCGAGGAACTTCTCAGGTAATTGGAAACTTTCTTGAAGTAAGCAGAATTGAGACACTCGTGAGGAAGTAGATTGAGACCATAGTAACTCGACTATGTGACTCGCACGCAATTCTACCTATCATGTATTACGATTGGCGAACTGGTTTCAAGCCAGCGCTCGCACCGATTATTAAGGACGTGCAAAAGGTGAGGCAGTTGCTTAATGCATTTCTACTTTAAATGGACGCGCGTTAGGTGTTGTCACATGTGGGAGCTTTTGGCGGTCTGTGGATCCCGCCCGGACGCCCCCCACCAGAGAACGCATCATCACCGTGGTGTGATCTTTCCCCTCCAAAACGTGAAGCATGATGCCCGGCTGTTTCGCACTAATAGCATATGATAAGCATTGATGACCTCCTTGGCACAGAAGCTTAGCAACGATCTCACGCTAGGACGGGGACGGCGTGATCGAGACCGCGGTGGGCCTGTCGACTCGCCAATGGCTAAACATGAATAGCATCTGGCGCCAGACTTGTCAGCCCTGCAGCAAACTCACTGACGCTTTATGGTTCTCCTCACCACAACAATTGTTTCGCAAGCTTCATAGCGCGTGCTCTAGTCGGTTTTACCTAGGGCAAGCTTCGACAGACCGTCGGAGCGATACTGGGAGACAGGCTCGCATGGGATTAGGCCGAGTAGGCGGACGAAAAGAAGTGTGCAACGCAACAACAGCCTAGCGACCCAGCATCGGGGATCCGCATAGGTTGATCCGCGTATGGTGTGCATCGTGTAGTGTGAGCACGGTGCCTCCCTCCGCGGGTAACTTTCTTGTATAGCTGGCGACGACCCCAAACATTGCTGGCCTAGCTCTTCCGCACACAACTTGTCTTCACTCTTCAAGCTGCATCTGAACATCAATCTTCAGAGGCTGTTGAGGATACTCGACATTTCCCACATACAAAGGGTCTCCACTCTACGTCGCTCCATCGTGTCGCAGACCCCGTGTTCCCTTGACGACTTGGCAGCCAAGAGCATTGCGGCTCTTGAACAAGCCTTCTGCGCAACCCAAGATGTACGTAACTGCTGATCCGTCATTCAATCCATCCATTCCTTCGCGCCCCACAGGCTCCCCGACTGCTGTCCGCCGTGCGTCCGTCAAGTTAGCATCCATGGGGCGGCGCCGTGCACGATGGCTTGTCTTTGCTCACGCTAGAGAGCACTGCCACCATCACCATCGTCGTTCCCCGCGTGGGACCGCGAGAAGGCCCCATATTGCCACTATTACGCAGAGCCGTCCGCAATGCTGACCAAGGGTGCGCGCTATCCAGTTGCTTCCTCTCGCCGTTGTCTAGTTGCACCACCACAGCCCCCCGTCCATCTGAGACAGTTGCGCGTCGCCGTTGCGTGCGCCAGCCCTGAAGCGACCGCCCGAGAACCACAACATCATACGCCGGACACCTGACCGCGTCCTTCATCGTCCCCGTTGCGCCTACCGCCGTGCCTAATCACGCCAGCTCGTTTCTGCGATTCACCCGTCGCCAGCCAGCCAGCCAGTCGCGCGTGCTTCCCGATACCGGTACCTACACCTCACACCCCTGCGCAATAGCCCTTCTCGGCCCTTCCAGCGGCGAGCTCGGTTTGGCGCCTCTGTATAGTCGCGAGGGCTCCCCCAGACAGTTGTCGATATCGCGGGTAGCCGCATGATGTGCGTGGTACACGGAGTATGACTTCCAGCCAGACACGTACACCCGCCACTCCGTCCTCTCCAGTGTCGAGCAGATCGTTTCTATCTCGGCTCAAATCGCCCTTGACCTCCAAGACTCGCTATTACACCGAGTTTTATATCCAGTCTGACGACCCGCATCGGCATTACACTCCAGGAGATATCATCAGCGGAACTGTCATTATCAAGATTGTCAAACCCCTGAGAATCACTCATTTGGTCGTCTCCCTACATGGCTATGCCCAGGTGTTCAAGAACCCAAATACCCCGGGGGACGCGTACAAAAACTATTGTTCAACAGTCGGCTCTGGGAGAGGAAAGAAGGCAGGCAGTTACTTTGGCAATGGGTTCGTTTCGCTGTTCGAGGACGAGGTTGTGCTTTGCGGCGAGGGGAGACTGTCCGAGGGCGTGTACCACTTCAATTTCGAACTCGAGTTTCCGTCCAAAGGCTTGCCCAGCAGCATCGACGTAAGCAATAATCCAGTGCTGTAATTGACCAACACGCTGACAATAAGGTACAGTTTGAGCGCGGAACTATTTCCTATATGCTCAACGCTACCTTGACCCGCCCCACTACCATGTCTCCGACCGCGTCATGCGATACGAAGGTTTACCTTACCGAATCAGTCGACATCGCACCCGTACCGCCGCTAAAGCCCCGTGTCATCTCATTGGAACCTATATCTAGACGAACGCGTGCTAGGTCAACGCGGAAACGGCCAACCGAGGAAGCATCACACACACCTTCTACTTCAGAACCTCAGCCAGTAGGGTCTTCTTTGGAAGCAACAAATACCATCGAGGAGACAGAGGGCCCACGAAGCCCCTCACCTAGCGACGTGAGCTATGAGAGTCAGAGGAGTAGCGGGAACGCTTCTGGCACTGAGTATGGCATTCGCTCAGTCAACACAGCTACAGATGGATCGGGCTCACAGAATGGAAGCCGGACGACCCTGAAAGGAAAGACGATTACAGCTACAATCGACGTACTCAAGGGAGGCTTTCTTAGAGGCGACCAAATACCGATTAAAGTGACCGTAAACCATACAAAGCACATACGGAGCCTGAAAGGCATTATCATCACGCTGTATCGTCAAGCGAGAGTTGATATGCATCCTGCACTACCTGTTGTACCCAACAGCAAAGGCGACAAGACCAAATCCGAAGATTACTATCCAAAGTCAAGAACTGGATTGGGGGGCTTGTCGCTCTCATCGGCTGGATCTAGTCATTTGTTTCGCAAAGATCTATGCCAATCGTTCGCACCGCTCTTCGTCGATCCTAGGACGTTAATGGCCGAAGTGAAGTGTACAGTGCGTGTGCCCGATGAGGCATTTCCCACAATATCAAATGTTCCGGGCGCAATGATATCCTTCAAATACTACGTCGAGGTAGTCGTGGATATACAGGGCAAATTGACAGGCCTCGACCGAATGGTATCTAATGCTGGACTTGTCAACCTACCTTCAGCAGCTGGTGGTACCTCGGCTATGGCACGCGACGATGCTACTGGCAGCATGTTCTCGACCTGGGGCGGCAATTTTGTGGATACCGATCAGATTCGCCGCGAAAAGGGCATCGTTTCTGCTTTGTTCGAAGTTGTTATCGGTACCAGGGATAGCGATAGAAATGGCAAGAAGAAACAAACTCAAGAACAAATGGTCGACAACAACGGCGCCTACGGGGGGCACATGGAGCCGAACGCTGAACACGGCTACGATCAGTACTATTACGAGCAAGACGAGAACGGACAGTATTACGATTACAACTACGATCCAACGTATTATGAAGTTCCTGGGTACGAACAACATAGTACAAGCGGAGCTGCATCCTTCCCGGTACCTGCAGCTGTTCCCGAGGAAGAACAAGGAATGTCAGAGAAAGAGCGATTACGAAGAGCAGAGGAGCGTTTATTGCCTTCTCAGCCGCCTGATACTGCCGGACCATCTGCGCCTTCAGGAACGGTCCAATACGGTATACCAGCGTCGGCGCCATTGTTACCGGAAGACGACGATCCAAACCCCCCTTATGTCGCAGCATCTTCGTCTTCTTCCACTCCGGCGCATCCCCCACCCCCATTCCGTGCTGCCTCATCGCCATTATTATCGTCGCGCACAACTCCGGCACCGCTTTTGCAGCGTCGTGTTACGAACATTACGGACGATGAGACAAGAACCATAAGGACTGAATCCTCGCATACCATACATCCAAATCGCCTAGAACCATCCACTAGTGAAGATAACAACGACCAGTCGAAACCACTACCGCCGCTACCACCGCAGTCACCCAGCACAGTACAAGGGTCGGCGCCTGAGTACGTCGCTAGCTCATCATCACATGTCGAACCAACCGACGACAAGCAAGAGATGACACGGCGGAGACTGGAAATGGAAAGAAGCGCGCCCCCTACGGATCATGATGAAGATGGGGAACCATCGCACGCTCCTTCAGCACCGCCGCTAGACAGAATGCAAAGCTTACAGTTGGCACCTTCGGCACCTATGCTGAACGACGACGACGAAGATCTGGTAGGTGCTGTGCGTCCAGGCCGAAGTACGCAAGGTACGCTACAGGACCACAGACGGGAAAGCGAAGCCTTGCCGGAGTACCGGAGGTGACATGCATGATGTTGGCGTTTATGGTGTTTGGGCAGTGACTGCATAGACTTGAGCGTTGCGCGTAGCCTGAGTCTACCTGGATGATATGGTAATCTTTTTCAAAGCGCAAGATGATTGGAATGTGTTGGGTGGTTTGTTATTATGATACCTGGAATCGAATTATATTATCTTCATATCTGGTGTCTCCTTTACTAGCACATTTTATTGTTGTTTTGCAGTGACTTTGCCCTCAACGCTTCGAATGGAAAACCAAATCCTGTAAAGGAGTGCTGTTCTTGCAAGAAGGTTGCATGCCCTTGGTGTTCCTAGACGTATCAGGGTCACTTCATTTCTCTCAGTCGGCGATCAATGACCGCCTCCAGATCACGAGAGTGCGCATCGTAGATCTTTTGCAAGCTTGCCAACTGCTTCCTCATAGCGGTTTCAATGGCAGCCTTTTGGTCCAAGAATTCTTGGAGGCGTTTGAGCTGCGCTTGGTGGGCTGTTGTACTGAGGTATTGTTAACCTGCGGGGTTGCACCATCTCTTTAATACTGCGTGACCCACGTCTCTCTTACATGTGTGTCAAAGACGGTGTTTATGGAATCTTCGACGCTTTGGTAATGGTTGTTGTAAGCTCTACCTACGTTGTTCTTTGACGCGTCGTACCGCTTGCGTTGCTGTGCGCAGAATTAGCATGTTGCTTCTCAAAGCCTCCTAATCAGGCGTGCTATGCCACTGGTAGGAATGTAGAGACGGTGGTATGTAGTTGATGATTCCATCTAACATACGTCGTCTACCATTTTCGCCATCAGGTGGTCCAGCGGGCCATCGGAGGTGTTCTGCGATGCTTCCGTCTCTTCGTGTGTTGCATTCATATCGCGACCCACACCATTGGCTTCTGCAGAGTTTTCGAGCTCCTCTGTTTCATCGGTAATCTGTCTTCGAGACTGCTGTGCACTCCGGCGAATGGTGGCCATGGAGGCGGTCATGGAAGTGGATTTCTCGGGTGCGCGCGTCGGAGCCATGGGTGCTGGTGGTGAGTGCTGAAATTTAGTAGCGTAGATCAAGACTGCGATCGATTGACTCGTTATCGAAGCATTATTCCTTGCTTCAGCTCAAGTGGTGAGAGCTTGCCAGTTAGAGAGCAATGGTTGAAGCCTTGGAGATGGGGGAGATGGCTTCCCCACATAGCGCCAAGATTCCGCGCTAGCGGGCATCCACAAATTTTTGGTCGTGTTTGCGGACTCCCGCCTTTCCCTTCGACAATCGCAGCCTCGTCCAGTCTGTTCAGTATTTACCATGGGTCTCGCAGCGCCGAAGAAGTATGTCTGCCAGTTTGGCTTCGGCCGACCTCCACGAAACTAACGCAAGACCAGCCGAACGAAGATCTCCAACGATCCCCAGAACACTAACTGGGCAAACAACACCTCGCGCTTCGGCCATCGCATATTGACCTCGCAAGGATGGCAGCCCGGAAACTCTCTCGGTGCGACGGATGCCTCCCATGCTGCTCATTATACCGCTGCCTCGCAATCGCATATTCGCGTGTTTCTCAAAGACGATAATCTTGGCTTGGGCGCAAAGCGAGGGAGTGAGCGCGCTGAAAACTTTGGTCTTGCAGGACTAGAGAGCATTCTTGGGCGTCTGAATGGCAATGAGGCCGAGGTCAAGAAGGAAGAAGAAAGGCGAGAGGAGATTGAGAAAAGGGCGTTCGTGTACCGCAAGTACGGCATGATGAATTTTGTTAGCGGCGGCTTTTTGGTGGGCGACAAGATCACGAAGAGCTCCGATATCAAGAAGGAGGTGGAGATCAAGTCTGAGATCAAGTCTGAGCCAGAGAGCGACGACGGCGCATTGGATAAGAAAGATAAGAAGAGGAAGCGCGATGACCGCACCGACGACGAGCTCAAGGTGAAGCGCAAGAAGAAGAGCGAGGACTTGCGCGACGAAGCAGAGAAGGGAAGCGACAAGTCGAAATCGAAGAAGGACAAGAAGGACAAGAAAGACAAGAAGGATAAGAAAGATAAGAAGAAGGACAAGTCGAAGAAGTCAAAGCGCGCGTCCTCATCAGATGCGGAATCCTCCACTGACGATGTCGCTGCTCCGGCATCTGACCCCGAACCGCTTACGGACAAAGAGCAACGGAAAGCTGAGAAGAAAGCACGCAAGGAGGAGAAGAAAGCGAAGAAGGCTCTGAAGAAAGCAGCCAAGAAAGCAGCGAAAAAGGACAGCTCGGACGACTCCAGCTCTGAAAGCGAGGAAGACGAGAGCACGCCGACAACGATCTCGTCGGTTCCTCTGTCAAAAACATCCACACCGGTACCTGCTGGTCTATCATACACTCCAAGAGGCATGCATGCTGTTAGGCAGAAATGGATCCGTCAGAAGAAGGCTGCGACTATGGATGCACAAGCCATGAAAGAGGTATGTCTACATTTTCCAATTGTTACTTGATCTCTGCTAATACGTTTGTAGATTTTTATGATCAAAACACCATCATAGATTCCTTCCATCCGAACTGTACATGCATAGCGAGGAGTTATTGGATTTGGTTGTTGGGCAGGCACTTGCTAGAATCATATTTACAATCTGGAGATCATTATACGGGTCATACGAATACCTGCCACCGACGACAAGTTTAGGCTATAGTCTTGATGCTTGTGCCTCGATTGCGTTGCCTGTTGTGGCTGTGCCTCGCGTCAATGTCGGATTCCGACGATTTGTCGGACCCCGACGGCTACGTCGTGCTATCGTGCTCCTTGCGGTTTACAGTTAACATGATGTGAAAGTTCCCCGCATCTAAACTATCAGTCTCTAGTGCCATGCCACTGGGCCGCTTTTTCAGCTTACTGCGGCTGCGAAGGACGAGTGCGGAAGGGCAAGGGGTCGCCTTGATATTGTTGTTCGCGTGACTGTGTCGAAGAATGCGAAGCAACTGCAGCCCACGACTGCGCCAACGTCCAGCACTACGTCGTGTTACGCAGTACAGACGTAATGCGAGATGGTGACAGCAGTGCATGTCTTGGAAATGTCCGCGCAGCCATAGGGCGGTTCTAGAAAACAGGGATGTAAGATTAACCCCGACAGTTCCTGCATGGTGGAGCTGATCAACTAGTCCGCCGTAGACTTAGCCCATGTATAATGACCTCGCCCAAGTTTGGTACATGGCCCGACCGTTGAGCACGACGCCTCCTTTGCCATTGGCAGTTCCCTAATCCTTCCACTCACGTTCTCTTGTTGCTTTCACTTTTCTTCTTTTCTCAGCCATGGCGGCAAATAGCAGCATGCGTAGGAATACTGTTGTCGCGCCACGTAAGACAACTCTTTCCAAAAGGCCCAAATCATGGCTAACCCAAACGCAGCGAGCCTTCACCCGCGCACGTCGTCGCATTCCACTCAAACACCCGAACCCTCGCCCACAGACTCGATGCCCGCGCAATTGGGCTCTAATATGCCTTCCATCTCCACCACAAAGCCGAATGGCGCTCCGGCATTGCTCAGGAAGCAGTCGTCGCCTATGATGCCTCCTTTCATGGTTTCCGCACCAGGCAAGGTCATCGTCTACGGAGAACACGCGGTAGTACATGGCAAGGTAGGTTCGATACGACAACCATGGCAAGATGGATGCTGATGTTCTCTAGGCTGCTATCGCCGCCGCCATATCGCTCCGATCCTATCTCCACGTCTCGTTTCTCTCCAAATCGAATCGGACCGTTAAGCTGCGCTTCCCCGACATACAGATGGAGCATACCTGGAACATCGACGACCTGCCCTGGGACAGCTTCTCTAAATCAGGCAAGAAGAAGTACTACTACGACCTCGTCACGTCTCTGGATCCCGACCTTATGGCCGCCATACAACCCTTTATCGATGAAGTCTCGCCAAAAGCCCCCGAGTCGATACGCAAGATCCACCATGCCTCTGCATGTTCTTTCCTATACCTCTTCCTTTCTCTCGCATCCCGCAAAGTGCCCCCGTGTGTTTATACTTTACGATCTACAATTCCCATTGGTGCAGGCCTGGGCAGCAGCGCCAGTATATCCGTCTGTTTGAGTACGGCAATGCTTCTGCAGATACGTGCACTCAGCGGACCCCATCAGGATCAGCCGCCACAAGAATGCGAGCTCAACATTGAGCGCATAAACCGATGGGCGTTCGTCGGCGAGATGTGCATACACGGAAATCCCTCAGGCGTCGACAATACCGTCTCCTCAGGTGGTAAAGCAGTCTTGTTCCAGCGAAGGGATTACGACAAGCCACCTCTAGTCATACCGCTGCATAGCTTTCCTGAGCTTCCACTGCTGCTTGTCAACACACGACAATCTCGCAGCACGGCCACCGAAGTCGCCAAGGTCGCCAACCTACGCAACGTGCACCCCGCCCTCACAGAGAACATCCTCAATGCCATCGGCTTAGTGACCGAATCTGCACACAAACTACTCACATCACCAGACTTCGACGCAACCTCCCCCGACGCACTCAAACACCTCGGCGAACTCGTCACGATAAACCATGGTCTACTCGTCTCATTAGGCGTCTCACATCCCAAACTCGAGCGTATCCGCGAAATCATCGACCACACTGGTATCGGGTGGACAAAGCTCACAGGCGCGGGAGGCGGAGGATGCGCCATTACTATCCTCAAGCCCCAGCCCCCAGCGCTGACCAACGGCCACGCAAATGGTCTACACCACGATATCTCATCTGACGAATCTGACACGTCTGATGAAGCGGATATCGACTGTGGCGCATCCATAATATCTAATGGTACAAAGCTGAAATACAAGATTCTTGACTCCCTCGAGGTAAAGCTGGAGAATGAAGGCTTTGAGAAGTTTGAAACGACGCTTGCTGGTGACGGCGTGGGTGTGCTTTGGCCTGCAGTACTACACAATGGCAATGAAGAGGAAGGTGGGGAGGAGATTGACCAAGAAAAGTTTCTTCGGGCTGAGGGCACTATCGGCATTGAAAGACTGGTCGGAGTGTCGAGTTCGAGACGGAAGGGTGTTCGAGAAGTCAGAGAAGGGTGGAAATTCTGGAGGCCCTGGGAGGTTCCTGAGCGGTAAATCTGGATCTCTTCTCTTAATCAACCTTTTTGCTGATGATGTGTTGTGGCAACGTTCAAGCAGGTCTTAGGTTTCGTCTTCTGTTCATACTTCCTTGTTTGTTTTGCTGCATGTGGGGGATCTATTATGTTTTAAGCCTCCTGGAGGCGTGAAAGGAAGGGTTATAGGATTAATGTCTTGCACATATGAGATGGCTAATACGATCCGGCTGCAAGGTGCCTGCGGTTGAACTACGATACGCCACAGCTCGGTTTAACAATAAAAGACTTGCAACATAGTGAGAAAGAGTGAATGTGGCGCACCCTATGTGATTGGGCAGCGAATTTTTAGGTAGATCGGAAGCGAGCCACGCGCGATGGTGAGCCCAACCATTGTTTCGCGCCTCAGTCAACTTTAGACCATTTCTTTCTTCCACATCACTCGACTATAAAACCCTGCCCTACTGTCAGGACCCTTGGATACATCAGCCTAGACTACGCACAAACCCCGTCTCTTTATAAACGATTGCAACCATGGCACCAGGAAAGTGGGGTACGTCATGTTCGATGCCACTGCGCGCGCTTCAAGATGGAATCGTGAAGGCTTGGGACTAACGTATGTTGCAGACGACGAAGAAGAAGGCAGCTCTCCTCCTACCTCGCCACAGGTAGCGCCTATCGCCCGCCGCAGCAAATTTGACGACGAAGAAGAAGATGACGATGTGCGTCAGCCCACTATGCCCCGCGCTTGCACGATTCAAGCCCCGCCATACAAGGCTACATGTGCTGACTATGGACACAACAGGTACTAGATTCATGGGACGCTGCGGAGGACTCAGAAGTCGAGCGCGAGAAGGCAAAGAAGGCCGCCGAGGCAAAGGCAAAGGCAGACGCAGAAGCAAAGGCAAACCACAAGTCCAAGGCGCAGCGGATCGAGGAGCACAGGCAGGCAGCACTACGCCGGCGGCAGATGGAAGAGGATGGTGAATCTGAAGAGGAAGAGACCGAGGCCGAGCGCCGCGAACGAATGCGCCAGGCAGAGCTTGACGCCTCGCGCGCCCAAGCCGAGGAACTCTTTGGCGACTTGAGCGTCAGCAACAAGACCCGTGCTGGCAAGGCCATCACCGTCACCGACGAGAGCAACCCGGGCAATGCCATCGACCTGTCCTCACTCTCCATCTTCAATCCCAACACAAAAGACCAGTTCACCAAGCTCCGAGAGACACTCACACCTCTGATTGCTGCCAACTCTAAGAAGGGACAATACTCGCTTTTCCTGCAGGAGTTTACCAAGCAGATCGCCAAGGACCTGCCGAGTGAGCAGATCAAGAAGATTGCATCCGGCTTGACCACACTGAGCAACGAGAAGATGAAGGAGGAAAAGGCTGCTGAGAAGGGAGGAAAGAAGACAAAGGCGGCAAAGACCAAGACTACGCTCAACGCGAGCAGAGACGTTGGTGTCAGGGCAGACACGAGGGCATATGATGATGAGGACTTTGGAGAGTGAGTCATGTCGGATTCCGTAGGAGTCCTAGAGGTACTAACATATGTACAGTGACGATTTCATGTGAGGCACGACGACGCTTTATATTCACACGCCTTCCCCCGTCGCAATCTCCTCTCGAGTGCGAGACGATCACATCCTACCGAACCATCCGGTAGTCTGGAGTCGCGGATGGCGTTTTTCGGGAATGAAAAGTCAGCATGCGTCTATGGCAGTCTGCGCTTGGCCTGTCTATCTCACAATCGAATTTCGAGACGAAGCGGCATGGGTTTGACACATAGGCGGTGCATCATAGATAGATACCAGTAGATGTCTGATTCACACAATCGAGCATGATATTACGTTCAAGGTCTAGATTACGTTCAAGTTACAACGCAAAATCGATAGTGGACCGTATTGAGCAAGTGAGTTGATGCCGGCCAATGCCGCGTCGCCAACCTCCGACGCATCGCAACGCGGGGCAACATGTGTTGATGGAACGTCATCCCGCAAAAAAATTGAAGCCGCAGGTCAGTCGCGGTAACCAGATTTACTGCACCAATCGTGGTCTTGTTGTTTGCACGGCCTCTATGCTATTGACATGCACTTTTAGGTATCAAGTTTTTGAGGGTTCCACAGCCTTTGGCGCATCACACGTGTAGCCCGTACCCCTCCTTGAGTCACTAAGTCGAGACGCGCCTCAATCTTGTACACTACAAAACGACACACATACCCACACATCCAAGCCTGCATATCTGCTCTGACGCTGTCCGCGCATTTAGCCACCTCCACGGCAGCGACCTTGTGCCCAATTGCAATTGCCGAAGTGGACCTCGTGCCTAGCCTGTCGCAGAATTCCCCATTCAAAGCCTTGTTGAAGGGTGCACAGCGCGCGTTCGCATTCTACAAGCCCCAGCAATTGCGTGCTTGATTCAGAAGGATGGATCTCGTCAACTCGTACGTTCCGCTTGTCTCCTTTCTCCATTCTTTTCCCTACTTCTGATAAGCCTCTTCTACCACAATGGGTTACACCAATGGCGCAAGTGATAATGAGCGAATCGCGCAAAGAGCGCGCCAGGGCAGCAGGAGTCTTCCGTTCATGACTGACCTCTTGGGCAACAGCTTGAACGACCGCCTGCTCTTTGCGGTGCCTAAGAGTACGTCGTCGACACACTACTGGCAGAGGTCATAGATTGACAAACATCACAGAGGGCCGCCTCCACCAAGCATGTCTTGACCTCCTCCACGGCTCCGACATCCAGTTCCACCGACACTCGCGTCTCGATATCGCACTCGTCAAGAACCACCCGCTCGCTCTTGTGTTTCTGCCTGCCGCTGATATCCCAACTTTCGTAGGAGAGGGTCGCGTAGACTTGGGCATAACAGGGCGCGACCAAGTAGCAGAACATGAGTGCGTCGCACCGCCTACTGCTACCAGCGGTGTAGAGGAGGTCCTAGATCTCGATTTCGGAAAGTGCAGTCTACAGGTACAAGTTCCTGCAAAGGGTGACCTGGCAAAGCCGGAAGACTTGATCGGCAAGAACGTTGTTACAAGCTTCACCAACTTGGCTGAGCAGTATTTCCGGAAACTAGAGGCCGAACAGGCCGGAAACACAAACGGAGAGGCCAATGGTGATGCCAAACTCAAGACAGTCATCAAGTACGTTGGTGGCAGTGTCGAGGCGGCGTGCGCATTGGGCGTCGCAGACGGTATCGTCGATTTGGTGGAATCGGGTGAGACAATGCGCGCAGCTGGTCTCAAGGCCATCTCTACAGTCGTCTCATCAAGTGCTATCCTCATCAAGTCGAAGCACCCATCAGACCCCAAGCTGGTAGAGCTGATCACAGCTCGGATAAAGGGTGTTATCAGTAAGTAGCATCAGATCTCTCGCGTGGTACGGCGTGGCTAACTTCTTCATAGCTGCACAAAAGTACGTCCTGTGCACCTACAACATCGACCGATCGAAGCTCGATATCGCACGCAAGATTACTCCCGGACGCCGCGCTCCCACCGTCAACGCGTTGGAAGAGGATGGCTGGGTGGCTGTTCAGGCTATGGTGTTGAGGAAAGATATCGCTATTGCTATGGACAAGTTGACAGAGGTTGGGGCTACCGACTTGATCGTAACCAAGATCGAGAATTCGAGAACAGGAGATTAAAGCGATCTCTTTGCTAAGGCTTATGGCTATTAGAACATGGCACGCGTTTATTTCACGATGCTCGGTGTGATAGATAGGAATTAAAATAGATTGATTCCATCGAAGCAAATGATGAGCCTGGTTCTTGGACTCATAAATATGAACAATGGGCTCACAGGCTTTCCACCACCTAGAGATGTCAGCTCACAAGAAGATCATTGGTTTTGGCTTTCAGTCTTGTGTATGTGACCCAAATTCAGGTTGGTCAAGCTCATTGTATTGTGAACTAGACGGCTGCGCTGTCTAGCGCTAAGGTTGGAGTTTACCCCTTATTCCGACGCTAAGGCCCATATCCACAGAAACGAACATGTCCGGCCGGCTGAAATCGTCCGTCAAATGCTTGACAACAAGGAATGTCGACGCCAGCCTGCGCGAAACGCTGCGTTTCAATTTGTATTTGCTACATAAAGCGCATAAACGTGAGTCTTTTCATCAAGCATTCTTGGTCCAACGGTAGGATAATTGCCTTCCAAGCAATTGGCCCGGGTTCGACTCCCGGAGGATGCATAACATCCTTCTCCACAATTGCGAGATCTTTCTTTTTGTCGCTGGTCGTGATGTAGGACGATGGCACGCCACAGATGAAGCACGTGATGACCAATCTTTTTGGGCAAGCCAGAACCACACCATCTGGGGCTACTCGCATCACACATTCGTCCTCCATGTAATTACCAGAGCAAAAGGTAAGGAGCTTTCGTGAGGAGTCGAGAAGGTCACTGCCGCACTCGGGCGTGACTGGAATGTTTACATCTGGGTACAGCCATTAGAGTAGGCATGCCTTGTATGTACGGCTCACGATATTTTGTCTATGCAGTATAAAGTACAACAGAATGGAAGGAGACAGGTTTCGTGTGCCATTACTTGTCTCAAAATCGGTGGTGAATTGTCGTCTAGTAGAAGGTCAAACCAAGACCAAAAGATTGTGGTACCATTACCACCATCAACTTTCAATGGAACAAGCAATGAGCTTGGTCGCGTCCCAGGCTTGTTGAGCCGACAGCCCAGCTGGTGTCCAGTTTACAATTCGATTAGTCCCCATCAAGCCAATACCATCCATAGAGCAGGAGTATTGTTGTATAGCAGATGATCTTGAACTGTAGCTGTGGTATTGATATTCCGGGTATTATACTAGACTAGGAAAGCCGATTGCAAAGAAACTCGAATGGTAGCCCAGAAGATCAAAAGCACCATCACTAAACCGACATTTCGTAGAAGTTGTAATGATTTGATTGTGACAAACTAATTACAATCTCGATATTACTGACCCACGTAGAGAGCGAATACTGCAATCACCACAGGTACAAAACAGAGCAAACAATCCTACAATAACCCGTCATAAACTCCATTGCTATGCCACGCTCGCTGATCGAAAAGAGGGAAGTCGTAATTCGTCGTCGTTCGGTTATGCCAGGTCAATCTACTCGATGCTGATCTTTCGAGGCTGAGGAGCCTGGGCTTTGGGAACGAGGATGCTCAAGATACCGTTCTTGAGGCTAGCCTTGACGCTGTCTTGATCGACACGAGCAGGGAAGGCAAAGGATCGGTGGAACTCTCCGACTGAACGCTCGCTGACCCAGTACTTTGCCTTGTTCTCATCATGCTTGGAGACGTCCTTGTGCTCGGACTGCTTGGCGACCTTGTTGTTGGTTTCGCTGGGGTCGTCTTCAACGGTGGGCTGGTGGCCGAGCTTCTTCTGCTGAGAGGATTCGCCGTTTTCGATGAAACCCTGAGGACGTTGGCCTTCCTCGCGGACGTGCTCGTGGCGACCAGAGATGGTCAGCGTGTTGTTGTCGGTCCATTCGATGTTGATGTCCTTTTGCTCGACACCGGGAAGTTCGCCGTGAAGCTCGTAACCCTCTTTCGTTTCTTTCACATCGAATTTGGGAGTGAAGGATCTGATGTTGTTGAATTCCCGGTCGATATTGCGGAAGGCTTGCCTATCATACTCGTCGAAGAGACGGAAGATAGGAGCGAATTCCTGAGTGAATCGTGGGAAGAGAGACATCGTCGCTGGTGTAGTGGTAAAGTGTCGAGTAGTTGTAATCGTAGGCTTGGTGATGCGGTTGAGTTGTTGAGGAGCTCGTCGGATAGTTGAGCGAAGTGATTGCATAGAAGACTTGTTGATCTTTGTTGTTCTGATGATGAACTACAGGAGCTGCCTCGAAGGCTATATATAATCGAGGGACATGGTTCTCGAATCATCGCAGAGTGCGGAGAACATTGGTGTTGCGTAAACCAAGATGTTGCAAGAAGCTTCGGAGATGGCTCGGGGAGTTTCTAGAGCTTTCGAACACGATGTTTGCCGTCATGTCTTCGTATGCGATCAGAAGACATCGTGAGATGAGAAGCTTCCAGTAATTGGAGGAAGTAGCCGTAATGGCATGTGCCCGGAAGATCATGCTTCGAGAGGGGGCAAGCACCAACTAGAAAGTTCAGAGTAATGGCTCAGAGCAGGTCACGTGATGGTGATGCTCGAAGTTTCCAGCGCGGAAGCAACATGTGATGCAAGAGTTGTCCAAGGAACATGTCACTACCCCGCGATGGCGGAACGAGCTGCATGGTGCTGGTCTGATGAACTGTATTGATGTGTCGTTGGCTCGCCGCCCAGCAATGCGCCGCTTCGACGTGCAAACTTCGATCTGGCATTCTCCCGCTACCTGTGGATGTCTCGGATACCTGGCTCAGACCATGTTTCCAATTGATTTCTTCCTCTTCTAAGTAAGTACTCGATGGTGCCAAAATCCTTTTTACCGACGTCTCTATGCTTGTGAAACTCAGATCTACGTATCATCATCAGCCGCCACACCAGCATGTTGCTCTATTGAGCTTGCCGTACCTTGCAAAATCTCGGAAATGTGACTGCGTCTCCTACAGCTGTATGAGTAGGTTGTCAAGTTGGAGGCATCTGAATAGCATACCGTTGGCTTCTGCTTCACAGCTCTTAAGCATTGTCGGTAGAGCGACAATACGTCCTTCTGAAGTCCTGATAATCGTACCATCTCGCCTGGAATCGGATGCTCCGAGTGATTGAATATTCCACACTACGTAAAGCTGCGAATGATAGCGACCTTCGAATGCAGTACAAGTGTTGGCGAACCCAGCCCTAGCCGAAGAGTAAACACTTCAAACCCGAAGTGGCTAGCGCGATAGACTAAGAATCCCTATGATGTTAGCATCGCGTGCGCGAATCGTAATATACCCAAGCAAACACAACAACGCATTCTAGCTGCCTTCATACCTCGCGAAGTTTCGTGCACGGAGACGGGGTATGGAGCGCCAGCCTCCACAACTAAACAACTACATACATAGCTGCAAATACATCCCGAACGCACGTTATGCGCATGCGTCACGTAAACGAGAACCGCGCGGCAGATAGCAGATGACACGCAAATTTCATGGAACAGTCCGCCTGGATCGAAGAATCATCGCAATAAGAATTTCAGTGATATATAGGAAGCTCAAACTACAGATCACCACCAACCTTCCGTACCTGTTACATTCCATGTAAGATAGCCGTCTAGAGACAATCAGGGTGCGCTGATGCTCTCAAGTGGGTTGAGTTTGACCTTGATATCATGCGGCCATACAAACCATTGTTTGTGAAGATCCCATTCTTTGCTCGGGTCTTCAAGCTCAATCTGCCGGAACGTCAGCTCTCGTGTATCATGTTGGGGGTGGGCAATGCATACCTTATATCTACCGAACACCGTCGCAACTACTTTGTACACTTCAACCAGAGCTAATGGCCTGCCAATACATATCCTATTTCCGCCTCCGAATGACAAGTCCGCATCTTTCATCTTCTTGATCCTGGCCTCGTAAGCGCCAATCTCTTCTTGTTCGCCTTGCAGCCAGCGCTCCGGCCGGAATTCATGGGTTTTTGCGCCGAAGATGCTCTCCTTGTAATGAACGACCCATGGATTCACACCGACAATTGTTCCAGGCGGTAATGTCTCTCCATTAGGTAACGCGAGACCAGTTGCAGGTACCACGCGCTCGAGAATATGGCCAACAACGGGATGCATACGGAGGCCCTCTTTGATGCATGCATCGAGGTAAGGTAGGTGCTCGATTGTGGTATAAGGTGCGGGGTACGAGAGATTTGCAGCAACGAGTTCCTCGACGAGGCGCGCTTTCGAGGCTGGTGACTTGAGGATGTGGTAGAAAATAGCCTTTATCACAATGGCGAGGGTGTCGGCACCACCGAGAATCTGTAGGAGCAGAATCAGTCATGTTCTTATCGTAACATAGCTATGGGACACTCACGTTGATGATCATATATCCGATGACCTCATTATCAGTAACAAGTTCTGGAAACTCCTTTTTTGCCTCGAGAAAGCCATTGAGGAAGTCTTTCTTCCCATCGCCAAGTTCAGGTTTCTGCATGCGTTCCATAAAGCGCTCCACGGAGAAACCGGCAGCGACAGAGAAGTCATCGAACTTGTATAGCGAGCGTGGCCAACTGGGGTTCTTTCCAAGCCATTTGTCGAGAGAGGGAATTTGACCAACCTAGATGGGGTCAGTAGAGATTCACATACTGTAGAAGTTGTGACGACTTGTCAAGCACATACTACTGAGAAGTAGCGCATCACACGTTCAGCGGTCCCAAGCATATCGCCAACATCCGTACCCTGTTCCATGAAGCCAATGCGCTTGCTCCAAGTCATATCGCCCAGAAAATCCCAAGCAAAGAATGAGATCCAGTCAGCGATATCGCATGTCTTGTCCTTGTTAGCACCTTCCACGAAGCGAGCGTCAAGTTGAGTGCATAGTGTACGCAGATCGTCGTCCATAATGCTTTCGATTTGAAGAGCATTTTGAAGACTGTACAACTTTTGAACAGGCTTGACACCTTTGGAATGGAACTCGTTGCTGCGTGTGCTGAAGATGTTCTGGATGATGTGACCGTCTTGAAGGGCATCGTTAATGGTCTGACGTGATCAGTATGATGCATAGGTATCAGTGACTGCTTGAAACTTACGTAGTAATCGCTCTGTTGTAATGTTAGCGACCATCATACACAACATTGTCACTGTACATGCTCACCTTCAAGTACGTTCCACGGGTGTTGTAAATGGTCTTGATCAGACTAGCATCAGCAACACTAACGGTGTTGGGACCAAGACGAACGATGTCGCCATGTTGTTCGTGGAGTCGCCTCTGTGTCTCGATGTGAGTTTGTCCATAGTGATTCAGGAAACGCCAGATATCGGAGAATTTGGCTAAGAAGGGACCAGGTATAGTCTTGAGTGGTGACTGTAGATAAGCCAGAACATATCGAGTAATGAGAAGTATTGCTCCAAGGCCGATTGCCTTCGCAAGTAACCCCATCAATGCCATCGTGTCACCTTGCTATGTGCATGCAATGTGATTCATGAAAAGAAAAGAAGAATATAAGTGGGAGGGGTAACGAACAAGGTAATGTAAGTGACAACCTTGGAAGGTCTTGACCTACCATGCAGGCCGTCCACTTTATGGGGACTGTTGCTAACTACCCGCATGTTCAAACTTGCATCTGATAGATGGGGAGGTGGAGCTAGAATCCAGCCGCTCCCGTTTGGGGACCGTGGTGCGCTGAAGCCGAACGAGACTTGCCAGGGTACGGCAGGGCGCCGCTTGTGTACGTCTATGGAGCAGACCTCGGGACTGCTTTTGTCCGCCACCCCTTTATCGCAATAACACGCATAACGATTGGTTGTAGCAGCCATGGTGAGTATCGGGGAAGCGGATTTGCGTGCTAGTAGGGGACTGACAGCGGGATGTGTGGAGTGTCACTGTACTAACGGAGACTAAAAATGCAGGCTGCTGCCGAGTTGGAGGAGATGAAAGGAAAAAGAAGTTCGTTCAAACTGCAGGTTCGAGCGTATTAAAGCTTTGCAAAGCGTACACCACTACACCATGAAGATCTTGATGGTGCCTGCATGAGCAATATGGACTGGCACGCGTACCATAGTCCTGGAAAACAATCTCGAAGGATCATCTTCCTTCACTCCTTTCCGCACACGATGCTGGTCAGACCGAAATTGATCCGTCGGATGTCAAAACGCTACTAAGGGTCGTTTAACCGAAGAGAGCTTAGCTAGTACTCGACCCCAGCGATTGCTAGCGCGGGCAACGGCCCGCCACGGAAAGGCCAAAACGTTTTTGTACCACCTTACCTGCATGTCATGGGATTGTTGAAGAAAGAATGAATTATTGAGATGCGATCTTGAAGCCGCTTGCGTAGCACGAACTGTCCAAGGTTTCGCGATGGGCCAGACTAACGCACAGCACAGGCTGCCCGAGGCGGGATTTTACGAGATAGGCCCTCCACCCACGGGACAAGGGACAACCGGCAGCGGCACACTGTGAGTATCGTGTATTGATTGGGCCTGAATATCACTAGTGTTGCTGCCGAACGGTGAAGGAACGCGCCCCTGCTCCCGGGGCCGCGTCGACGTTCCAGGGGCAGGACACTTAGAGCGACAAAGATGGCAACAAAGCTTTGACACTATGCCCCGTTCGATTGTCCATGCAGGTCCCGAACACTAGCTGATCGTTTTCGCTTGGAAGGTCGGGCCCGTTCAGTTTCCCATAGGTGTGAGAGATGTGCATTGGTCTGCTCGAGCCTCGGACGCGCTGCAGGTATGTTTGTTCTTTAGCATGGGTGTCTCAATTCGTGGGCGTAAACAAGGCTGTGAGTACGTCAGTTCACTGACACTCCTTGCCGCCACTCGAGTTCCTCATCTAGAGGATAAAGCAGTCGATATCAAGGATACGCTGCTCATCCAAACCCCATCCTTCCCCTGGTAGCACATATCCAGCTCTTTCGTACTTGTCTTTTGATTCGGCGACACCTCTGCCAGCGATATCCTCCCCGGGGAACAGCAGAGCAGAAAGCGAAGAAAAAAGCGTCTTCACTACGACCTTAGCTCTATCAGCCGCCGAGATGGGCAAGCCAGCAGACTTTGCGAACATACTCAATGGAGTGATGTGGGCTCAGGTGGTTCTTGGTACTTTTCTTGTTGCATTGCGAATGTACACGAGACAGTACATTGTCAGAAACGTCGGATGGGACGACGTGTTGATGTTGGTCAATCTGGTAAGTTACGTTGCTTACTCCCAGACAACAAAAGCACCTCTTCACAAACAATCATCTCAACATTCATCGTAAGCTTTTATGACTGACTTTTTAAGGCTACCTTTATTGGCTATGTCGGCTGTATATCGGTCGGTATTACCTACGGTGTTGGTAAACAGACAGCGGATATCGTTCGTCTTGACCTCAACTACTCCAAGTCTATCATGTGGGAAGCCATCGGCCAAGGCATATGCATCATGGGCATAGCTGCTTCCAAAGGCTCAGTAGCGCTCTTCCTCTTGCGCATCGTTCTCAAGAGATGGCATATCGCTATCCTCTGGTTCTGTATAGTCAGCACAACAGTGCTTTGCATCATTACGACAACCCTGTTATACACACAGTGTGTACCTTCGGCATTCTTGTGGGACCAAACAATCAAGGGTGGCTACTGCTGGCTCAACTTCACCGAGGTCGGCCTGACCATGGGTGCTTGGTCTGCAAGCATGGACTTTGTTCTTGCTCTCCTTCGTACGTAACTCTGCTACGCAATGATTTCGAGGACGACACTGATTCAAACTAGCCTGGCATATCATCATGGGACTAAATATGAAGCGTAAAGACAAGATCGCAATCGCATCTGGTCTTTCACTCGGCATCTTCGCGGGCGCGTGCTCCGTTGTCCGGACTATCGAACTACAATCTCTGTCGTCCATGGAGAACTACGTATACGACACCGCTAGCATGCTTTTATGGTCCTCTACCGAAGTATTTCTCACAATTGTTTGCGCCTGTGTACCAGTCCTCCGTCCGCTTTACGTCCGCATCAGATACGGTACCCGTGGCGACTCTTCAGGCCAAAACTCATATCCACTCAAAGACTACTCCAAGTCTAAGAGTAGTCGCGGTATGGATGGAAGCAGAAGGTCAGAGAAGATATACATGGGCCCTGGAGAGAGCGTGTTACAGACAACTGTTCGCATGGGCAGTGATACAGCGAGCGAGGAAACGATACTTCGGGAGAGTCACGCCAACAACGCATGGAACAATGAGCCAAGGACAAAAGATCCCAACGATATCACGATCACTACTACGGTCAGTACGAGGGACGATTATGTATAATTATAACAGGACAAATAGCACACATCAATGCTTGTTTGGAAACACTTATCTGGAGCAACACCTAACGTGACGCGTGCCATCTATCGAATTCTTGATTGTTGGTACAAAACCAGCAACAAAACGCATGGACAGAGATTCTGCTACTTAAACAAGCCACGAAAGCTCGCGATAAAGCTATATACCGCTAGCTCTACCGTGGATCAACTTTGTGTCAAGAGGTCTACTTGACATGAGCGACGACAGCACATCTTTCATTTCCAAGGTTGTCAAGACGGCCTTTATTAGAGCACTATGTGCTACCAACGACAAAAATAGTCAGTATATTCTCTGACCTCATAGAGCTATGTAGACAGTGACACAAACACACGACGAACTCCTTGGTAGAATAGCGAACGCTTGATACATGTTGTGCGTGAGCGTTTCTTCTGCTCGGGGAGGAGTCCTAGGGAGAGTATCTCCCCGCACCACCTTCTCAACAGAGGAGAATTGAACGACAGACTAGTGTCTCTGGCCCCTGCCTCCGGAAGGCGATGTCTGTTCCCTTTTTCTTTAGTACTGCAGCTGTGCCTCATCGGTTCACGGCCCCACAATTTTGCCCTGCGGAAGCTTGCAAGGGTCTTGCCGTAGCCGCAGCCGTCGCAACACTCCTCTGTAGATCGCACTCTCCCCCTCTTTGATTTTACTTTTTGAGCACTTTTTTTTCTGCAAATCTACAAGGCGTGCTGCAGCAAAATCCGCAAACAGTATGTTCCCCACCAGCTCATCGCGTTCCCCGCTCGGGAGGAGTGAGATCCGTTCCCACCTCGGGTCGGGTCATCACCCTCCAAGGCCCTCGAAGAGCTTTTAGATAAGGATCGTTGTGGCTTACTACAAAGCTGCATGACTGTGGAGAGCGACCTCCATTTTGCTTATGTGATACTCCGACCTTCTTCTAAGTGATCAGCAGCACTGTCTAGTCGGAAACTCTCGGACACAATTTAGCATGAAGCTTGAGCGTGTGCGTTGCGTCGATTTCCTCCTCACAAATGTACAGTCGCCCTGATCTACTGTGTTTGGAGACGCGAATTGATTGACCAAGATGTAGAGGAAGAGATGGAAGATATGCAGTTGTTGTTTGCTCGCATTCGACTGTGAGCGATGCGCTTGAGTGGTAAATAACGACGAGGCAAAAAATGTTCACGACAATGAGAAAACAGTCCCAAGATCTGTTGCCACCAAAGCGACTGAGAAAACATGTAACAGTTTGACAATACAACAGGTCGATATATAAAGATAAGATTCCTTCTCAACAGAACACACTCTTCGATAGTCACGTGGACACCTCCTAAACATCGAGATAGCTAAAATCCCTTAGAGAGTACAGGAGTTTGTGTAACGCACAAGTTTAGCCGCATCTTCGTTCTTCCCAACAGTCCGATTGAGTTGCGACCAAGGTCCGGGAGAGACCGGTCCCACGTCCTTCACACTACGATCCTCTCTGTCCGTCAAGGCTCGAGAGCAATGCGATGGTGTGTAGCTCACTGGACACCGCCCGTGCTGTTCCGGATGGCGGCTTTGGTCATGTTCTTCCTGTGTTTCGGGCTCAACAGTAGTTGATATAGATAGTCGGCGGAGGTCTATCGCTCTATCAGCATGTCTCAGGATAGGTTTCGGCAAAGCTTCGCTCAAACGAAAAAATTGTAAGTGAACTTACTGTTGACTGATCTTTGACGTTGGAACTCCTTGTACTCATGTGACGGAAGATACGCGCCACATCCTGTTGGAGTACATGCGCGGGATGTGGGTGATTCATCTGCAGCGCTACTTCCTGGTTCAGTTCTTGCTCGAGGGTAGGTGTCCAGGGATATTGGTGTGGAAACAGGGTCGCTATGCATGGCTTCGCTGTCGGTGAGCTCGAGCCTACTAGGCCAAGGCTCATGCTTTGAGAGATCAAGATGAGCACCCATGCAGCCCAGCTCTGTCAGATCAAGCCGTTTATCTGGGACTGGTGACTGTCTTCTAGCTCGAATATCGCGACGGAATTGGTCCTCGCGGGCTTGGATGCGGTCTGGGCGAATATCCGATTCCCCATTACTAGACACCATTCTGTCCACATGTGGTGAGACGATGCAGGACGTGAGATTCGCAGGTAAAGAGGCTGAGAGTAAGACGAAGGAATGGTGGTAAGAGTACCAGGCAAAGCGACAAGATGATGGACCAGGGTGTCTACTGCAGCTGAGATGATATTGCTTGCGAAGATTGCCAGCACTACGAAGTGTTTGTAGAAACATCGACAAGACTGATCAGACATGGGTATATATACGACTTAAGAAGCGGCTATATAATGTGCTGGCGGCTCGCACATGCTTTTGCGTGGTGGGTGAATCTCTAATCGTGCTTCCGACACTCACTCATGCAGGTCAAGTTCCCACAGGAACATGAACAACGAACGTTCCATCAAACCAGAGAATTCGGAGAGACCGTGAAACAGTGTGAGCCAGGATTCAGGAGTAGGTCTATCCTCCGAAACGTCTTTCTTCGCCGACGACCTTACCGTATGCGACGAACGGTAGCCCTGCAGCAAGGCGCTAGTACTCGTTCGCTCCTGGGAATAAGGCTTCAACGGCAGCGCCGGACTGACACGACAGCATTCTCGAAGCTTTTGACACAGGAGCCGTGCGCGTTGAAGCGTCACTGCCGTGAGCCGTTTGCTTCGGCTCGCTCTAACCTATTAGGCTCGTGGTCAGCCCATGTCAGGGCTCATGTGGTCTGCGACGTAGACGGATAGGATCAGGATGCCTGTATTCTATCCGCCGCCAGTATCACACGGGTATACCGATGCCTTCGCAAAGTCTGGGGGCCAAGACATCGTGTTTGGATCCTGAAGCCTACATCCATCCAAAAACGTGTGAACTACCGGCAAGAATCGATGAAAGCTTTCACCGCTTGTCCTTGAGTTTGTTACCGGGTTCATACGCTAACTACAAACGTTCGGAGAGACTGTCGATCCATTATTATCATGGTGTGCATAGAATTAACACGATGGTGGTACAGTTCGTGCACCCTGCCGTCCCAGTCCATTGGAGTGGGTGGTGGCTGCATAAGCGGAAGACACATGCATCATGACAAGACATGGTCGAGAATTACTGGCCGAATAATCCGTACAAGTTAAGATCTCTATGGGTCACCAGTAGCAGGGCATGAGCCGATGCCTAGTTCGCGATATTGCGACACCCAAACCAACAAAAGGAGCGCACGACCTTTCTATTCGCGTCCATTTGAGGTACTGAAGTGGAGGTAGAATCGCGAAAGGCTACGGATGCGGTGCAATGATACCCAATCGTTTCCAGCGTCAACTCATGAGATGTCAGACGAAGTAGCGGTAAGCTTCTCCAGTTGACGTTGGTGCTCACCGGAAGCAAGGCGTCTGACCACTGAACAATATGGGGGAGACATAGTTCCTGCTATTCCAAGTACCGAACTTGGATTCTTCTATGGCGTTGCGGTGTGCCGAAAGTTATTCTACCAACGACTATTCGGACGTGTTGCACAATTCGGGCAATGGCCTACCAGGGTAGTAAACAAGCCTTAAGACTTGGCTGCATGCGGCGTGAACCGAGTTCGTGCCACAATAACCGCGCCTGTCACAAGGATAGACTCGGTAACCACCCGTACGTCTCAGGCTAAGGCATATCTAATCTTATCAGCAACGCCGGGTCAGAGACGACTGTCTACCAGATGGGTGTGCTACGACCTAATGAGCTTGAACACGGGTTTGCTTCTACACACTGTCTCTCTCTTCCAGCACCCTAAACAAGAAGAAGACTCGTCCGAAGTCCTTGTCATCTAGGAGATCAGACCTTATAGAGTAGCTGCGCTGTGTTCGTGCTAAACACTATCCACTGGGCGAAGGCAATATCATCCATTTAACTTACCTAAAACTATCCACTAGGACCATGATATCAATGCGGGGTCGGACACGCCGACCTTGTCAGCCTTGCCGGCACGTCATTGTACAGGGTTCCTCCCGCTGCCTGTTTGGGGAATGGGAAGAACGCGAACAGCGACCACAGTGGAGAAGGGGTTGTGGTATGAATTAGATCGGCAACGGCGAGTCCGAAGCTTGACGCCAGGTGATGCGCTATCACAACTGCGGCGCATAGTGCTCCAAAAAGCTAAACGGTGTGTTCACGACGTATTTGTGATGAGAGAACACAACGCACCACTGCGGTGAAAGATGGCGGGGGCCAGGGTAAACGGGGCCAGTGTCGGACCTAAACACGGGGCAGCTAGATATGAACTTCTGGAGTCGTTGGAAGTCGAGATTGATGTTTCTACCGAGAGGTAATTCTGCAGCGGCATGACGTCAGCATTACTGTTGTAAACACGGACAATCATCAAGTGCAAGAACAACTATATACTGTCTTCTCTCTGATACGTTTAGGAACTAAACAGTAAAGTGCAAGTAATGTATGATCATGCCGGAAGAGATAGAAATGACAATGCTTACTTATGACTCTTGCATTCTATGCATAGCTGCTTTTCCAGTCTCCTACCCACCTCTTCGCGATAAGTCTCGTCCAAAGTTTTCGAAGTAAGCGTTGAGTGTGTTCGCTCGGTCCATTGTCGCTATACTGTTTGTGAACATCCATACACCAACAACCAAACATCACAACCCTGGACGGGGTACGCATTCCTTTGGACTCGTTACATTCCAGCGCCATATCACTTTTCGACACCGTGCAGAATCCTCTAGCGACACCAAGTTCACTTCTGTGGCTCAATCAATTGAGACAACGAGCTCTTTCCGACGTGCTTTTGCTCTACGTGCTTTTGCTTTTCGACGCGCTCTCTGTTGAGCACGATTGTGCTTCTCGATAAGCTTCAACGTGTGATCGATTTTCAACTCCTGAGGGAAAGTGACAGGGTTGCGCCAGTAGTCCATAGGAGACCCTATGGAGAAGTGAAGCCAGGACTCATCCGCCACGCTTCCACAGACACACATCGTATCGAGTGACACTGTACCATTCTTCATAAATGCGCGGTGTGTTAGCCCGCAGCCTGGACACAGCTGGCCGATACGCAGTTCGCCGTTTGGATGCCGGGATAGGTCTTTGACGCCAATCTGGAGGATATCGGAGCATGCAAATCTTTTGGAAAAGACAAGGCCACATGCTCGACACGTCAGATGTTTGAAGGGGTGAGCTCCGCGGAAGTGAATCAAGGTGTTTTCGGTGCCGCATTTGCATAAGAACGCTCCGTCCGCAACATTCATACCGTGGTTTCGGCGTGTGATGTTCGGGGTTTCCTGGTCGTACCAGAGACTATCATCTGGGATCCCTTCAGCACGACGTGCTTCCCTCAAGTCCTTCTCCAGTCGAACAGCAGATTTGGGCTTGTTCGCAATGCGGAGAAGCAATCGGATGGTGTTGACGACGTGTACTAGCATTTTTGTGTTGGTGGATTGTATATTGGACGATTATTTCGTTTGATTGTTGTCGTCTGTGTTGGTTTGGGGGCCAGTTTAGTGGATATATGATGATTTGTTGGCTGATAGGAGGTTGGGCGAGTCAGAGGGAAAAGCAAGTTATGTGCAGAAAGTAAGTATTGTAGCAAGTTAAAGTGTACCATTATGTAGAGTCAAAATTCAGTATTTTCAGCTAGGCCTCTTCTAATGAGACATTGGCCCATACTATCAGGATGTCGTATAAGGTATTAATCATCATTTGCGCCCTGGCATGAGCACCTGTAGTATCACTCAGAAGCAGACATACGGGCTAAAATAGAAACGAGGTGTTAGACCCTTGGATAAGGCTGGTCCAACAAGTGGACGCTAATTGGATAAGTTTTCTGGTACACCAAGCTACCCCTAACCCCTAGGGTCCATGTCTACAGTATTTATTTTTTCTTCTGATGTTTTCACTAAACACTAGAGAACAAATAAACAGTCCTGTTACATTGCAGTCCCCAGGTCACCCGTTTACTGGTGCGCAGGCATGGTTGTAGACTAATAAGAATAGCTTTCCGTAAATAAAGTGTTGCGGTTTGCCTATGCTTGGGGCTGCCGCGCGCTCACAACGTATTAAAACTTGATCTCAACGATATCACTTAGTGCCTCCGTGGTGAATGAGATAGCATTAGCTAATGCGTAACACCACAAGGTGTTGGTACTGTTCAGCGTCCTTTTATTCATCTTCTAAATAACCATTGAAGACATGCGTGGACGACACCATTCTCATTTTGTGTCTTACAGACTATCCGTCTCCACTCTTGTCGAGACCTTGTCTTTCTTCAGTCCGGTAACAGTCTCCACGTGATCCGTCCCCAATACCGCCGCCTTTATAAACAAACTCGCTGCAAAACTCAAGAAAGCAAACACCGTGTAGGTGATCCACATGTTGCGCATCGCATACGCGAAGGCTTGTTTCGCGGCAAGCTCCCATGCTGGATTTTCGAAGGTAGCAGGAAGCATAACATTGGCCATCGCACTATCGCCATCAAGCTGACTCAAGAGGTTCTGTGGCAACCCGGCGTCTCGGAGAAACGAAGCGCGGTTGTTCATCGAATTTTGGAAGATGGTGCCACCGATTATGGTCGAAATTGAGACGCCGATATTGCGGATAAAAGATAGAGTTGCAGTAGCACTTGCAACATCATGCTGTTCAACCTGACTTTGGATAGCAATCATAGGCGCTTCGAATAGGATACCGGATCCTAAGCCACCAACTATAACAAGGCCGACTGCTTTAGCTGTCGATGTGTAGGCATCGAAGGAGATAAATAGGCCAAAGCCAACGGTGAGGAGAAAGGTACCGACCCAGATTATCTCGCGAAAATGTCCCGTCTTATGCATTATGAAGCCACAGAAGACTCCCGCGATTGCGCCTGTGACGATGAAAGGGAGAAGAAGCAGTCCAGATCGTAAGGGCGAAGCTTCGAGGACGGCTTGGAAAAACAGTGGTAGATAATACTCTCCTGCAATGAAGACGAAGCCGTGGAAGAAGACAACGAGGAAAGCGGCGATGTTTGTCCTTCGACGGAATAACGTCATGGGAATCAAAGGATATTTCGCCACTTTGGCCTCGCTGTAAATGAATGCAAGGATCATGGCTCCACCCACTACGAGTAGTGCAATGACTTTAGCAGAGCTCCATGGAAATAGGACGCCACCGAAATCCAGACCCAAGAGAATCATGAGTGTAAATCCGAGGAAGGTGAAGATTCCGAGCCAATCTATGGCTTTGATGCCATCGAAGAAAGAGGTGTGTTCGTGCTTGATGTCCAGGAAGAGAAGAATAAGCAAAGCGGCGAATCCGCTGATGGGTAAGTTGATGTAGACTTTGAATCGTAAAGACTAGATGTCAGCGTAGATTCATGAAGCTCGATGTGATGGTAAATCACTTACAGCACCATCTCCATGTCACCAGGCTAGCGAAGATACCTCCCAGAACGGGTCCGATACCGCCGGCTAATGCCCAGATGCCTTCCGTAAAGCCCTACGCACGAAGTGTTAGCCGAATCCATCAGCCCAACATGATGCAACAAGCGGCTTACCATTAGCAAACTCCTCTGCCTCAGGCTAAACAGATCGCTGATACAAACATGAACTAAAAGAATGAGTCCACCACCCGCCGTCCCCTGGAAAGCCCGCCCGATGATCAATTCCTGCATCGTCTTCGCCGTTGCACAAACAGCTGAACTAGCGAAGAAGATAGCAAGCGCTGCCAACATGATTGGTTTTCGACCCCAGATGTCAGACAACTTGGCCCAGATAGGGCCAGACGCGGCGTTGGCAAGTAGATACGCGCCTCCAATCCAGGTGTAGCCAGCGGCACTGTTAAGATCGCTGGATATGGTCGGCAGGGCTGTGGCGACGATTGTTGCATCAAGGGCGGAGACGAAGAGCGAGAGCTAAATAGAGTGGATTAGCGAGAAGTTTATTGTGAAGATTCTGAATATGTTTCATCGAAATGATACGATGAGAAGTGAAAAGCTCAGACGTACAAAAAGCGCCGTGACGATAGCGATCATCCTGAACCTACTCCGCTTCCCGTTCCATGCTGCTCCAACTTGCAGTTCATCTTCTGTCCCGCATTGTCCCTTCTGCGTCATTTCCACCTCCTCTTTCCCCATCACGGTTGATTGTGGGGACCTTTCTGTATCGATACTGGATTCTTGAGGCATGATTTCAACGAATTACGGTATCCCAACAGGCCTTAGCGAGTGCAAGAACAATACCAATGAGAAATGAATGGGTTAGTTATAGATAAACATGACTACAACTTAGAGGTCTGGATATGTACTGGAGAGAAGTAGGAGTTATCTAATGAAGAAAGGCTCAATGGCTGGAGGCTTGAAGCCCTTTTTTTCCTGCGCGTCACCGCCAACGCCTTCCGCCAATCGGACCCCCATGTGGGGCCAAACTAGACACAACTACTTTCCTATCCGGGCTAGAACGAGCGCCCTTATGTATGCTCTATGCCTACATGCATGCCTTATGTAGCTGAGTGGAATCCGGGGGAGATGCGAGACGTCCTGGTAGGTTGTTGTAAGAAGGTCGATCGGTATTGTTTATTCGGCGTACGCACATGCTGAGTCATACCAAAACTCAACTACTTGGATCATGACTGGCATGATTGGAATGATTGGAATGATTGTATGGTCTGGGCCGCAGTGGTATGCATATGCCAAGAGACGGAGTATGCGACGTGGTATTCGTGTGTTGCTTTTTCGTTTTCGCCTCAGGCCAAGAAAAAATGTCTTGGTAGCATGCAATGCACCGCCACTATATCCCTCTGGCATGTTGTTTGTACATAGAACCTGGAAACTTTGTGCCCGTAGCACGATAGTATTCTTAATGCCCCGTCGCTGTCAATGATGGCTATGACTGACCCAAGATAAAGCCTAGATAATACCTCCACAACAATGATATTACTCTATAAAACTCAAGCTTTCTAATCGTTCCTCGAACCCCCACTTTAATAAGGAATTCCATTAGTAATAAGTTGGAACCGATCATATGTTCCTGTCGAATAGCTTCCCCTACTCTTCTCAATCAGGCCTCTCATATAATCCGCCGCCTCCCTCTCACTCTTGTCCAATACAAATCGATCACGGAAATTCTTCATACTCTCGGGTTTAAAGCAGGGCAGTCCACTGTCCAACATGACCTGTACGACGTGACAAAGATGTTCACAGTGCTGTCTGCTAGCGAGGAAAGCTTTGACAGTAAGTTCCTCGAACCAGCGGTACGCTTGCGATTGATATGGGTTTGCGGAGTTCTTGCCAGACATGACAGCGATCATTTCGGCTGTGAGTTTGAACGGTGCACGTTCAAATTTGATACCGCCGGGTGCGATATCGAAGCAGAAACCGAAATCGATGTGGATAATGTGGCCAGCGTCGTCGATCATGATATTGCCGTTGTGGCGATCTTTGAACTGTAGGAGGAAACTGATGACTGAATAGGCAGCCATTGACTTGACAAAGTTGGAGCGTGCCTCCTGGTAGCGAATCGAGTCCTCGTTGCCGTAGCGTGACACGAAGTAGTCGTCGAGTCGGTTAACGGCCTCTCGACCGAGCATGTCGCGTGAGATAGAGTTGGGAAGGACGTCGATGACTCCACAACCTGGCGCAGTTGCTGTAACACGGTAGGGGAAGACCCAGACGTCGAGTCCGACGGTATTGAAAATGCCTCGGAAGGCGGCGATCATCTGTAACGCAAGCACGTCTTGACGACAGTCATCTCCGACCTTGAAAATCGCAGAGAGCCATGTTTCGTAGCTGTTGTCTTTCTTTTGCGCAACATCGCGATTCTCGTCCTCCTGCTCTTCTAGGCCTTGATCGTCAGGCCTGGTCTTTCTGATGCGGAACGTAGCCATGAAAGGTGTCTTTGCGTGACTCTGTAGCGGCTTGCCAGATTTACGATCGATACCAATGACTTGACCATCAGGGTTTGAGGGTAGGTAGACACCAACCTCCACTTGGATCTTGCGAAGTTCTTCTTCAATCTTCTGTTTCTTTACCTCCTTGGGTTCGTGCAGGACAGAGCGTAGAGTACCAGAGATACCCGTGACTTCATTAAAGAAAGCAAACTCGCGCTCGTAGAAGGCATGGTCTTCCTTGGAGAAACTGGATTCCAAACTACCCATCACCTTGTCAAGTGTCGGTTTGACGGGATCTGGTACCTCAGAGGCCTCATCTTTGTACGCGTTTGCCTTCATGTTCCAAATGATTTGATGGGCGAACAACTGAGAGAACTTGGCCGTCTCGATGATGTAGCGCTCGACGTACCCTAGAACGTCATATCGAAGCGTTTGCACAATCTGGTAGACATAGAAGAACATGACGTCCACAGAATGGCTCTCTAGTGCTCTCATCGCATATTGGATGATAAAGGGATGGTTGCCATACGCTGGAAGGAAGTACGTGACGGCTGTGATAGGGTTTACGGGCTTCCAGTAGAGCATGTACTTGAGCTGGAATGATACGTCACTTGGCAAGAGGCTGCCCAGGAGGATCTCAAGAGCATCTGGTTCATCCAACACCTTGTGCGGGAAGTTCAGTACCTGCCATCGCACCTCGGTGTTGAGACGCTGAGATTGGAAGCGTTTGAGGAGATGTACAGCGATCGCAGGATTCTCAGCCCAGGCCGTCTTCAGATGAGCGGACACAGCAGTCTAGCAATATTAGCCTGCATTATTCAGCATACACAGATAACTTACATCGGGAAGTGTGTTGTTATGGCGTCCGGCAGTAAAATGATGCTTCTTGCCGTAATCGAGAGGGAACAGCCACACCATAAGACGAGTCTGCTCGTTCGAGAGCAGTAGAGATAGAAGATCCTGCTTTGCCTTTAGTTTTGCGCCGACATCCGCGCCTGTTATGACTTTTCCGATAATGTCAAGCTGCGCCTGCACGTCTGCAAGGACATGCGTCTCAGCCTTGATCTGTAGTCGATTGCCTCCAAAAGACCATTGCGGTGCTTTCGCGAACCATGCCAGAGCAGCTGTCAGTATGCGATCGGTCAACCGCCACCTAATAGTCGCTGATAAGGTAGTACAATGACGTGCAATGCGCAGTCCGAGCAGAACGATATGGAAGTACGACTCGCGAGCAAGCGGCTGCGAACAACCGGCGCTCATCGCGTCAAGCGTAATATGCATCAACCGAACATATACGCGCTCCACATCCGCCCTGCTCAATCGTGAAGCGCTAAAGTGGCTAGACAAAAACTGTAACAGGCGGAAATGCGGCGCGATAAGGTTGTAGATTTGCTGTTGGCGTTTCGAGAGCGCTTCTTTGTCCGTTGCAGCGAATTCTTGCTTCCCGTAGAAGGGATCTTCGTGTCTCAATGCGGGACTGAAGATACCACGACGCTTGCGTACCGTATTTTCCCAATTCTCGGCGATAGCAACAAGGATTCGAGATTCCATACGAGGGTTCTCCTTTGCAACGCTTGTCCACAGTGAGATACCAAGTTTGATAGATTGCTTCGAGAAAACCGCAAAGGGAATTCCGACTAAATGCTGAACGATAGGCGATTGGTCTGTTTTGACCCTACACAGAAGCGCGGCTGCTCTCCGTAGTATGTCACGAAGCTCAGCGATCGTAACATGCTTGTGGTTGAGGGTACGATTCTCCAGGTCTACGAGGAGACTTGTCGCCTCGTGCAAGCTCCGTGAGAGGTAGGTTGACTTTCTTCCTGAGGGTGGTGCGCCCTGAAGCCATTCTTCTTCTTGATCAGCCACACCCTCAAGGAACTTGTACTCCTGTCTCGTCGTGTATTGTGTGATGAAGTCTGACGCAGTGTTGATGTTTATGCCCTGGCGTTCAATGGCACCAAGACGTTGGTCGGTTGACGGAATAATAGACCCCATCTCCAAGGCGAAAGATCGCCCTAGCGAGATGTGGCCAAAAGTCATCTCATCATCAAACTCGGAGAGATAGGACTGCAGGAGTCCTTTCACGTCGAGTGGAGCATTGTCAAGTGCTCCCTTCACCCATACTGTCGCACGCTTATGTAACGCATCGAGAGTCGCTCTTCGGAAAGCGTAGTCGTCTGAAAGTTCTACAACGATATTAGATCGCTTTGATGTAAACGTTGACTTCCAAGTATAATCGTCAGTCTCGCCTTCCAGGCAGCTGTACCACATCATAGAAAGAAGTTCCAACAGGGCGAAGAGTGCGCTTTTCTGACACAGGGTGGACGGTACTTCACGGATGATGATATCTGCACAAGTAGCTGCCGCTTGCTGAACGCGAGCGATGCGATGACAGCATGCTGAGAATATTGTCGCTAGTTGCCTCGCCAGGTATGGGGTCGAGAACGTATGTGACTGACCCGACACAGTCTTTGCCAGATAGGTTCGAACAGCGGTTGTTGTGATGGCAGCCATACAATTACCCACTGCACCAGTTCGCAGCTTTGGATCGAGGAAGTAGGCAAGTGCTTTAGTGCAATCACCTGTACTTGCGCGCAGGTCTTCGACCAGGTACGCGGTGCTCAAGAAGACTGCTTCTTGGTAACTCAAAGACTTGGTATCAGGCTCGCAGGATGGGAGCAGTTTCCCGAGCCGCTTCTTTTGCTCGACTGTATGTTCTGGTGACTTGCCACGACGCAACACGGTGTTGAGTTCTATGTCACTCTCGGAAAGGAAAGGTCGTTCCTCAGCGATGAGTGGCTTACTGAATCGCGCAAGAGTGCGCAATTCTTCCCTGTGTTGTTTCCCGAGATCAGAGAGAAGATCGAAGCCATGAACGACAATATTGAACCAGGCATCGCGCTGGAGCCCAATAATGGAGTCGTCGAGCTCTGAATACTCGGCTCGTTCCGCATTTCTTTCAAGTAGAAGCGCAAGAGGCTTCAGCAGCTGCCCAATCTCTTGAGCTGCAAGCTCCGTATCTCTTATGTGGCGATGCGACGTCTCTTGAGCATCTCCTTTGCTGACTATTGTATCTAGTAAGTGTGTGAGGTAGATCTCAAAGGTAGGCTCATCGGCAGATATCTCCTTGGAGAGGTTGAGACGGGCTGCCATGACAGCTTCGAGTATAGCCCCGTCATCAGAGACCAATGCGTCGTGCGAGAGCTTAGTGTAGACCTTGAGCAAAGA